CCTCAGACTGGTTCACCTCCAAGCCGAGATAGTATTTCAACAGCCCGAGATCGCTCATCTGAAAAGTGCCCTTCATCTCCTCCTTGAACTGCATGAGCTCGCCGGAGTGGCCGCCCGTGATGATGAGGTCGTTGATGTACACCCCGACCACCAGCCGATGCACACCCATGCCACGCATGTACACAGCGTGTTCCGAGTCGCTCCGGTGAAAACCGAGCATTAGCAGCGACGCGTCGAGCTTGGCGTACCAAGCGCGCTGTGCCTGACGCAGCCCATAGAGCGCCTTGTCAAGGTGGAGCACCTTGTGCTCTTGCCCGTCGACGACGAATCCCGGCGGCTGCGCGACATAGACCTCCTCCAGAAGCTCGTTCAAGAACGCCGATTTGACGTCCATGTGATGCACGGCCCTGCCCTCACACGCCGCATGCGCCAGCAGCAAGCGGACGGACTTGAGCCGCGCCACCGGTGCGAACACCTCGTCGAAGTCGATGCCCTGCCGCTGCACGTACCCCTTCGCGACCAGGCATGCTTTGTACTTGGTGATGTTGCCGGCGGCGTCTTTCTTGGCCTTATAGACCCACTTGAGCCCGATCGGATGTTGGCGAGCCGGCGGATCAACGAGCCGCCACGTCTTGTTTGCTTCAATGGAGCGCATCTCCTTGATCATCGATTGTCGCCAGTAGCTGTGCTGCTCTGCTTCAGCGAACGACGCCGGCTCCTCCGCTGTTACCGCGAACAGTTCCTCGCTCAGCTCGCGAACGGCCTGTCCCGGCGGCGTCGCGGGCCCAAGCACGTCGTCAATGCGATGGAAACGAAGTGGCGCGTCATCGTGGTCCGCGTCGAGATCATCCTCCACGTCAGGCGGAGGAGAGACGAACTCCACCGGCGGCTCTTCGGCCAGAGGCGGAGTTGGCGGAGTCGAGCCTGATGCAGGCGAGCGCGGCGAGGCCGGAGCTCCCCCGTGCTCCGTGCCGATTTGCGTCGGGGCCGCCGTCGCTAGGTGGTACACCGTGGTGTACTCGATGGTGAAGCCGGAGTCGACGTTGGCGGCCGCCTCGCCATCCCAATTCCACTGCGCCTCCTTGTCGAACACCACGTCTCGGGAGACGTGGACGCGCCGCGTCGCCGGGTCGTAGACACGGTACGCCTTGGAGCCAGGCTCATAGCCGACGAAAATCATCGGCCGGCTGCGGTCGTCCAGCTTCTTCATGTTCGGCGCCGTGACCTTCACATGTGCCACACACCGGAACGCGCAGGTGGTGCACGGCCAGTGGGACTCCATTCCAAAGCTCGTATGGGGTCTTGCCACCAATGCTCTTGGACGAGCTCCTGTTCAACAGATACACAGCCGTGTTCATCGCCTCCCCCCAAAACATACCTAGGAGTCCTTTGGCCTTAAGCATGCTTCGCGCCGTGCCCACAACGGACTGGTTCCGGCGTTCGACGACGCCGTTTTGTTGCGGCGAGTAGGGAGCCGTCAGCTCGCGTTGCACCCCGAGCTCCGCACAATACTCGGTGAAGTGGCCGACGGTGAACTCGCCCCCGCGATCGGTGCGGAGTGCCCAAAGCTTGCGGCCGCTCTTGCGTTCGGCCGCCGCCTGAACGCGCTTGATGGCAGCCGGTGCACCGTCTTTGGTGGCGAGGAGCGTCAGCCACATGTAGCGGCTGTAGTCGTCGACGAGCAGGAGGAAGTAGCGGTTGCCGCTGGGTGTCGCCGGTGTGATCGGACCACAAAGATCGCCATGGATCAGCGCGAGCAGCTCAGTGGCGTTGTGGAGTGCCTCTTGCGCGAAGGGGGCACGCCGGTGCTTGCCGGCGAGGCACGCCTCGCATACCCGTTCGACCTGCGACAAGACAGGCAAACCACGTACCAGGGACTCACGGCCCATCTTGCGCAATGCAGCGAAGTTGATGTGGCCGAAACGAGCATGCCAACGCCACGCGTCCTCCCCCGCGCGCGCCATCAGGCAGACCGGCCGTGCAAGGTTGATGTCGAGCAAGTAAAGCCGGCCCGGGCTGCGAGCTATGCAAGCGAGCAGACGACGCCGCTCATCCCACACGCGCATGACGCCATCCTCGACCACCACCTTGAAGCCCGTCTCATCCAGCTGCCCCACACTTATGATGTTGGCGGCGAGACGCGGAAGGTAGTATGTGTTGTGCAGCATGCGGTGTTCGCTGTTCTTGCAGGCAAACAGTACCGTCCCGCGTCCTCCGATGCGGACGAGTAAGCTGTCCCCGAGCCAGACATTGCCAGCGACATTGGTGTCGATGTCAGAGAACGCCGCCCTCGAGCCGGTCATGTGGTTCGACGCGCCGGTGTCGAGGATCCAGCACTTGTTGTCGTGGTCGGTGGCGTCGTCCAGCGCGGTGAACACCTTTTGCTCAACCAGCTCGATGACGTCTGGGCGAGGCTGCGGCGCGAGCGGCGATGGCGTCGCGCACTGCGCGCCCGTCTCCTCCACCTCATCAATGCAGCTGCCTGTCATGAGCATGAGCGTGGGCTCATCCTCGTCCTGGACCACGTGGGCCTGCTCCTGCTTGGGCTTGCTCCTGCAATCCTTGGCACAGTGGCCAAGTTTGCCACAGTTGCGGCACTTGTCGGTCTTGCGAGCTGGGCCAACGCCAGTGCTGTCCGCGTTCCCGACGCCACCGCCGCCGCCGCTAGTGTGCCCTTGTCCGCCGCGGCGCTTGCCACGGCCGTTCCCTCCGCCATTCCTCTTCTTGGCCTCCTGCTGCTTCTTCTTGTGACGTTCAAGCCACTCCTCCTCAGTGAGGTAGAGCTTGGCCCCGGCACCTGGTGAAGACGAGGACGACGACTGGCCGGAGTCCTCAACCGCCTTGAGGCGTCCAGTGACTTCCTCCAGCGTCAAAGTGGAGATGTCAAGTAGGGTTTCAATGGAGAGAACTAGCTGGGAGAACCTGGGACGCGCGACGCAGAGATATTTCTCGACGACTTTGTCATCTGGCTCGGGATCCCCCAATGTGGACAGCTGCGTCACGACGGTGTTGAGGCGCATGGCGAAATCCTCGACCGACTCCCCGTCGCGAAACGCGAGAGCCTCGTATTCCGAGCGCAGCTTCTGTGCACTCGCCTTGCGAATGCGGTCGTTGACGACGCGCATGGTCTTGATGCAGTCCCACGCCGCCTTCGCCGTCTCCTTGGTCGCCAGCGTGGAGATCATCTCCGCGGGGACCACGCTGCAGATGGCATCGAGTGTCATCCGATCTTCATGGAGCTCAACCTCTCCTGGGTCGATTGCTCCCCACAAGCAGCGAGCTTGCAACTTGATCTTCATCAACAGTGACCATACGTTGTAATTCGTCTTCATGAGCACCGGGTTGTTTGCCGGACCTCCCGCCTCCTTGACCACGCGGTGAATCAACAGCCCGCGATCATTCCCGCCACTGCCCATGGCGCGGCCGCCGGAACTTCCTAGAGTATGCCCGATCGGGGACGACGAGCGACGGCGAGGCATGAATGCTGCTTCTAGTGCGCGATCACGTGTCCACGCCCTAAACCTCGCTCTGATACCAATTGTCAGGAATCACCCAACCAATCGGCGAGCCGAACACACGCGACACTTTGGACGAACACCTTTGTGGAACACTGTACACCGTCTGAAAACGCGAAGAACAGAGCAAACAGAGGAGTTTGGCGCTGCAAACTGCTTGCAGCTTTTCAGGTTTTTTCTTCTCCTTATTTATAGCAAATACAAGGATGCAAAGAAGGGAAACGTGTGCTTCAGAAACGTTCCCACGTCGCGGATTTGATCGTGTCCACCCCCACGGATCCGCAGAATGCGTGCACACCCCCGTCGCCTGCGCCACGCCGAGCTATTCTCGCGCCATGACATCTATTCGCACAGCTTCCACAAACCGGGGCTCGCACGCATGCAAAACAGAAAGAGAAACATGCAAACACACAAGGTTTATCTACTAACATTCTCCTCGGCGAGGCGAGGCTGGTGGTGAGAGGGAACTGGAAGAGGAGCTACGGAGGAGGAGATCGACTGGTGGTGATGATGGCCAGACAAGGGAAGAGAGAGAGAAGCAGAGCTTCAAGCTCTGTTGATGTAGGGAAAAAGAGGGGACCTTGCCGTCAATTTATAGGCGGCAAGAGGTCGGTTCGAAGAAGAGGAGGTCAAGAAGGACATGGTGACGGCGGCGTGGAGAAGAGGAGCATGGCGCCGGCTCTGTCCGTTGATTGGCCGGTGATGGCAATTCGGCTCGGAAACAAATTGCGGCTGACGTTGGTGATGTGAGGTGGTGGCTGACGTCGGCGGTGGTTCCTTGGTGTCGACGGCAAGACAACGGCGGCGGCACCGAGCTGTGGGCGGCGGTGGGGGCGGCGCAAATTACGGCGATGGCGGCGGTGGCATGTGCGCATGCCACGCACGCCCATAGGTGAGGAGAGAGCGGTGGCTCGGCTAGAATAGATGGGCCGGCTTGCGCTGTGGGGAGAATAAAAAGGAGGCCCAAAGTGAATAGAAACTGTTTCTGAATTTTGAAGGGGATTTGGGTAATGGAATTGAATAGGATTTATATTTGGAGAGAATTTGAATAGGAAAGTTTGAGAGTGTCACGCCCTGAAGTTTTCCCCCTTTTTTCTTGCTTTAAAAATTTATTAAATAAATCGTCTGAAGAAATTGTTTTAATTAACCTAGAGCTAATTCCTTAATTAATAAATGCAATTAATAATTGGAAATGGCATTGTGGGATTTTTCTTGGGTTCCACATGTCACAATTGATTAACAGGATTTTTAGTGGAATTTTCAGAGCCTTAGAAATAATTTTAACCAATTAAAAACATCAAAGTGCAATATTTAATCCTTGGGGAAAATCCTTTCTTCTTTTTCCTCTTTATTTTCCCTATTTTCCTTTTTCTTGGGCCGCCGGCCCACCTCTTCTCGCGCCGGCCTGCTCCTCCCTCCCCCTCCGAAGTTCACCCGGTCTCCCTCTCTCTCGGGCGCTGACAGGTAGGGCCCACCTGTCAGCCCTTTCCCTTACCTCCAGCCGCCGCTCCTCAAGCCGGCAACCGCCGCCCGCGCACGTCGCCGCCCATGCCGCCGCTTTCCTCGCCCTTCCCCACACCCACGCACCTCCCCACGTTGCCGACCATGTCCCGTCGTTTCCCGCCCTCGCGCACGCCCGAGAATGGGCGGGATTCGTTTCGAATCCCCTCCCCCCTCTCTCTCTCCCTCCACTCCCCCACGTCGCCAGCCAAATCAACCACCCTCCCAGCCACGTTCTCCCCTCCCATGCCCATAAAATCCTTCCCCCGAGCCTCCTCTCCCGTTTTCCACATTCGCCGCGCCCTCCCGTGCTTCCTACCGCCGCCGCGCCGTCACACCGAGCTCCGCCCCCTGCCACCGCACTCCGAACGAGCGCCACCGCCGCTAGAGCTGCCGCCGCACCGTGAAGTCGTCGTCATCGCGCTCGCGGGTGCCGCCCGCTCCTCGGCCGCCGCTTGGTTGCCACCAATCACCCCCGAAGCCCTGTTTCCCTCGCTCACCGGTGAGCTCTCCATTTTCATCCATCTCCGGCCGGCCACTTTGGTCGTCGCGGTCGTCCTCTCCATCCCTAACTCCTCTCCTCCCCTTCTCTAGGTGTCGCCACTGCCCGTCCGCGCCTCGGCATCGCCGGTCGTCGCCGCCACCCTCGTTTTCTGCACCGGTCGCCGCCACCCCCTCCGGTGAGGACTCCCTCCCCCTCCCTTTTCTCCCCTTCCCGCGTGCGCCGCCGCCCTTGGCTGTGCCGCCACTCCGGCCGTCCGCCGCCGCCTTTCGCGCTGTCTGCCGCCGCCTCGCTCCGCCGGTCGCCGCCGTCGGCGGCCATGCACCGCCGCCGCTTGCCATGGCCGGCCAGCAGGCTTTGTGCCGAGCCGTGCCGTGCCTCGCCGCCGCCGCACCGTCCTATCGGCCTCGGGGCTGATCTGGACCGTCGGTCCCGTGGACCGGGGGTGGACCACCCGTGTGGTCCCGGTCCACGGTGGACCGGCGCCCTTTGTGCCTTTGACCCGTGGGGCCCACCTGTCGGCGCCCCCGCCCCTTGGATAATGTCAGCCCTGGGTATTATTGCGCAATAAATCGAATAAGGATTTTTTTATTAGTAAAAACACATATTATCTTCTAAAATTTATATCTAATTCATCCGAGCTCCACTTAAGTCCATTCAAGTCTCAGTAGATCAAGAAAAATGCAAAGAATCCATTAAAAATGGTTTTGTATTCTGTTTCAGTAGTCTTATAGCATGTTTTGCTTGTGTGCTTTGTTTGTCGCGTAGATTTCGGCAGTTTTGTCGATCTGCGGTTTCTCGAAGACGTTGCTGTGGTCTCATCAGTGCGAGAGCAAGGCAAGTCATGCATTACAATTAATCATATTGTACCCAATTTACAAATATCCCGCATTTCTATTAAATTTTGTATTCTTTTACAATGTCATGTGGGATGGGTCCTACTACTCAGCCATATATTGTTTACCTTATGCCATTGATAACTTGGGCATCAAAATGATTAGATGTTGGTTTAGGAAATACTTAGCCATGCTTAGTTCAACTAGTACATAAATAGGGATCACATTATTACATAGACTTTGACTATTAGCATAGCTTCGGATTGGTGCCACCGCAAGGGTGTTAGTTAATTAAAGGGGCAATTGTGTTCTTGCCCCTACTTTGCAGTTCAATTGTGATTTTACCCCTGTTTTTAGGGTTTGTGATTTTGCCCCTACTTTTTTGAAATGAAGCACCCGTTTGCCCCTTTTTTTTGACGGTAGTTTGATGGGCCCGAAATTTCCCAATAAAGCGAAGAAAGAAAATGATATTATAATTTGTGAATGACCATTCTACCCTTGGTTTACTAAAAGGGCTTACCATTAACCACTTCTCTTGCTGGAACGATTTCCCCAAATCGAAAACCTAGCGACAAGCGGCGGCGGCGGCGGCGACGGGCGCGGCAGGGAGGCGCGGCGGCCCCGCGGGCCAGCGCGCGGCAGGGAGACGTGGCGGCCCGGTGGTCCAACTGCCATGGGCCAGCGCGCAGGAGGGCGCAGCGCGGCGGGCGCACGCGCAGGGATCAAGACTTTTGTAATTCAGGGGGAGGAGGACACCTGCAGCTTCGTCTTCCTCTGTCAGTGCCTTCGCTACCGCCTCCGATTCGCAGAGGTGATTTGATCGATTCAGCTTGGAGTTGCATTGAGCCATTGGTTGGGGACGCTGATTTCATCTTCTTGATTGCGAATCGGGGATGGATGTGAATGTGATTTGCGGGTTTGTAGGCTAGCCGGGAAGGTCGTCGTCATCACCGGCGGCGCCAGCGGCATCGGCAGGGCGACGGCGGAGGAGTTTATTGTCCCAAATAATGTGTTCTAATCATATGACGGAGAGGGTGTACATATTGTCCCAAATAATGTGTTCTGTCATCTTTTTTAAATTATGTCAAAATTATTGCTAAAATTCTGTCAAAACTATCCTAAATATTGTGTTCTGTCAACTTGTACAAAATTTATCAACATTTAGGTCCCATATGAAAAATACGCACGAATTTAACTTGAAACATGTCCAATGTTCATGCCAAAATTATAGTAGGGGTATATTTGTCCATTCACCACATATTTAACACCATTATAATGAGGTAACAGAGTAGGGGCAAGCGGCTGCTTCATTTAAAAAAAGCAGGGGCAAAATCACAAACCCTAAAAAGTAGGGGTAAAATCACAATTGAACTGTAAAGCAAGGGTAAGAACACAATTGCCCCTTGATTAAAATATACTGAATGGTGGGCTGTGGGTGCATGGTTTTGATGGTCGCACCCATTGCAATTAAGGACCGGTTCACGGGAAACCCTGGGAGACTTACCGTGCTTACCACAAGCGGGAGTGGGTAACTACTTGATCTGAAGTATAGCTCGACCCTTTCCTAGGCACCGGTGGCGAGCGTGGGCGTGATGGAGTTGGGTCAGCCGGGGTGTCCGGTTGTCCAGCTGCCGGATTCACCACGGCGCACGAGGGGACTGCCCACTGCTTTTTGAGGGGTGAGGGTGAAACCTTAGCGTGGTGTGGATGGTTAGGGGCGGGTTATGCGAAGGGTCTTGTCACGAATTCCCCCTTTGCAGTGCCATGGTGGTACTTCGGGGCATGGCGACATGTGTGGAATCGTGTCTTGTGGGTACAGTTGTGCACCTCTGGCCAGAGTAAAACTATTCGAATAGCCGTGCCCACGGTTATGGGCGATCAACCAGATTCACCGTGATTAGTCTCACCCCTAGTTTAGCTTAATGAACTGGTGTAGTTCAGGTGGTTGGTTGGGCCTGTTGCAACGTGGTGTAGCGTTGGACAGTGATTGGTTAATATTGCTTAATCTACTGCAATTGTTTTATTGTTTTCAACTACTATTTTTAAATGCCTGCTTTATGCAAATGAACCTTTAGCCTCCTTTGGTTATATCCTGCATCATACCTCCTCTTCCGGTATGACTTGCTGAGTACAGTGGGTAGTACTCAGTCTTGCTCTCTTTCCCCCCACACCAGAGCGGAAGTTCTTCCCAGTTGGAGCTGTCTCAAAAAGGTTGGTTTCGTCGCTACCGTCAAGGATGCCTGTGGAGTGGAGTCGCCCCGCTGCAGAAGTCAAGTTTCCAAGTTTAGCTCGTTTTATCTTTTCCGCTGCATTTGTAATCTTTTACTTTTTTGTAAGACGTGGACTGTATGTCAACAATTGTCGTTTGTGTACCCTGGCTGGTCCTGGACAGGGGTTTAATGCACATCCAGCTTAGAAATTCTGGTTCGTAAATTTCTGGGCGTGACAGAAAGGAAATTATATTTGAATATAATTTCTAAAAGAGATATTTTCTAGTTTGAGTGCAATATTCTTAGAAGTGGAATATGGTGGAATCTATTGATGCACTCAAATGGGAGAGAGATATATATATTATTGCATGAGTACTATGATTCCTAAAATTGAACCTATATATTGTTGGGAATGTGGGAGGGAAATAAATGGAGGAAGATAAACAAGATTTTTAGCCCCGAAATATATGGCATGGGTTTCAAAGAATTGTTTGAGGCTAATAAGAAATTTGGATGACAAGGATATAATCTATTTTCTTAGCACAAGAGCAATTATTCACAATATTTGTAATAATATTATTCTTGTGCTGAAAAGGAAATCAAGCCACAGGAAATAAATGAGCGGCTAGATCAAAAGGAGGAATTCAGATATTTGGATCAAGAACTAAGGATAGGTCTAAGATCAAAGGATAGGTTAACAATTAATTCCAATAAAATTGGAATTGCTTTGGTTTAGGTTCTAGCACAATATAGGAAGGTTTCTTGGACCATAATTCATAATAGGTAAGAAGGGTTTTCAAACTAAATTTAAATAAAGAAAGTTTTAGACGAAAGAAGGTTTTTAGATTAAAACCAAATCAAGAAATACCTCAAGATAAATCTTAAATGAAAATCATAAAAGAAATTAAATACCAAAGAGAAATTTTATATAAGTTAGTTTTAGGAGGTCTCTCTAATCATATTTTCCTAGGTTTAGAAGGATATTAAGAACATAAGAATATGCATGATGCAAGACTAGAAAAATAGTTAATTTTCAGGATGTTACAATTTACCAGATTTAATCTTCATTTAAAAGTGACCGTTTTTATTCCGAGTTTTATGGATTTACTCATTTTGATAAAAACGAAAAGAGTTGATCAAGTGTATCAAACAACCTCAACCAATTTTGGAAGATCGAGAAAGATTCGATCCGTTCGAGCATCATACGGACACTCTTCCGGCCGGAGTTTAAAGATGGCAGTCGGCTATGCAAGAAGACTTTGTATATATACGTATACAAAGTTGGTATATTTTGTATATACACATATATATACAAAGTTTGTATATGTATGGGTACAAACTTTGTATGTGTACGTATACAAACTTTGTGTATGATATATTTTTATACATTAAAAAAATATACATATAAAAAAGATATATTTGTATATACGTATGTATAAACTTTGTGTACGTGTATAAAAAGTTTATACGTACCATATACATACGTACATACAGTAGAGGTCGTGTATTAGCGATACCCGGGTCTACAGCTCCACTTGACCACTTGTGGACTAGGTAAAAAAGAGGCAGGCTAAGCAGAGAGGTAGCGGGCTACACTGAAACTGAAAAGAAATGAAGAAATGAGCTTTTGGCCTAAAACAAAGTGTATGATGTATGCGATTCAAAAATGTTTTTGCCCATTACAACGCACGGGCATTTTTTATAGTCTCTTAATAATCCAAATTATGAATGTAGCCTAAACATAGCATGAAAATCAGTCCCTGTCACTGGTGCCTCTCTCCTCGTATGGATATATTATAACAGAAACTTTAACTAAACTGATTTAAGATGGATGTATATATATTTTTCAATTTACTCAATTCAATATATATCGACGTGACTTGCATGTGCAAGCTGACTAGTGTAGGTAGATAAGCAAGTAGTACTAGACAACGATATTATATTATTATATATCACTGGGATTGGTGGTACATATGGTCCATATGGATGAAGCAACATATCACGAAACTTATTACAGACACACGTACGTACTGCATCCCCAAATGCTACAAGTATATAACCTTCGACACACGATAGAAGTGACGAGTATATAAGTGCTGGATATTAATTATATATCTCCAGCAGCAAGGTATGCAAAGCAGCTGGCAGCATGCGTACGCAGTACAGTACGATGAAGTAGGTACTATATGGCATACATACATACATCAGCCCCTGCGGGTCCAGACGACAGCGTCAGGCTGCATGAAGTGGCAGACAGGCACAGTCCCAGGCTTGACGCCGAGCACATGGAAGGCAGCGTGCTCTGGGTTCCAGTCCGACGTGTCGGTGTGGCACACGGCGACCGCCTCCACCGCAGTACCATCTTTGCCGACCAATGAGGCCTTGTACGCCCTCGTCGTCGCCTCTGTGAGGTGGCACATGAACACAGCGTACGGGTACGACTCCGGATGGCAAGCGATGAGCTGGCCGGTTCCGGCCATTCGCCTCACGCCGCTCACCGTGTAGTCCTGCGCCAGCGAAGAAGACTCCACCGCCTTACTGAGCACAACGGTGGAGGCGGCGTCGACGTCACTGGCCCCAAAGCTGGATGTGACGAAGTCGACTATAGACTCCAGCGACGTGGCGCAGGCCTTCTTCTCTCCCTTATTCGCCGGCAGCTCGCAGTCCTGCAGCGTAGCACTCATCTCAGCCGCGTCGTCGGAGCCCGGCCGCACCCCGAACCGGTCCAGGATCTCGGGTAGTTCTTTAGAGGAGAACGGGATGGAGTCCGCCTTGCCTCGTGGCAGGAACTTGGAGTTCGTAGTGGCCAACAAGTTGGCGAAGTGGAGGGCGTTATTAATTTTTTTACCTTGTTGAAGATTCTTCTCAAGGAAGAAGAGCGCCATGTCGGGGTCTTTGAGAAGTTCTGGCGTCTCCAAAACTGATGACTTGTAATTGCGTTGACCATCTGTATAGTGAACTAGTTCAGTGGCAGGTAAAACTGATAACTTGTAATTGCGTTGACCATCATCTACACGGTGAGGTAGTTCAGCAGCAGGTGAAACTGATAACTTGTAGTTGCGTTGACCATCATCTGCACGGTGAGGTAGTTCAGCCATAGGTGAAACTGATGACTTGTAGTTGCGTTGACCAGCATCTATACGGTGAGGTAGTTCATTAGTGGCAGGTAAAGCTGATAACTTGTAGTTGCGTTGGCCATCATCTACACGGTGAGGTAGTTCAGCCACAGGTGAAACTGATGACTTGTAGTTGCGTTGACCAGCATCCGTACGGTGAGGTAGTTCATTAGTGGCAGGTAAAGCTGATAACTTGTAGTTGCGTTGACCATCATCTACACGGTGAGGTAGTTCAGCCACAGGTGAAACTGATGACTTGTAGTTGCGTTGACCAGCATCCGTANGGTGAGGTAGTTCATTAGTGGCAGGTAAAGCTGATAACTTGTAGTTGCGTTGACCATCATCTACACGGTGAGATAGTTCAGCCATAGGTGAAACTGATGACTTGTAGTTGCGTTGACCAGCATCCGTANGGTGAGGTAGTTCATTAGTGGCAGGTAAAGCTGATAACTTGTAGTTGCGTTGNCCATCATCTACACGGTGAGNTAGTTCAGCCANAGGTGAAACTGATGACTTGTAGTTGCGTTGACCAGCATCCGTACGGTGAGGTAGTTCATTAGTGGCAGGTAAAGCTGATAACTTGTAGTTGCGTTGGCCATCATCTACACGGTGAGGTAGTTCAGCCACAGGTGAAACTGATGACTTGTAGTTGCGTTGACCAGCATCCGTACGGTGAGGTAGTTCATTAGTGGCAGGTAAAGCTGATAACTTGTAGTTGCGTTGGCCATCATCTACACGGTGAGATCGTTCAGCCACATGTGAAACTGATGATTTGTAGTTGCGCTGACCAGCATCCGTACGGCGAGGTAATCTAACAGCAGGCAAGTAAGGGTAGTTAAGAAGTTGGGAGATGGAGCTTGGCATTGGGGTGTTAGGGAGGATGGATCGCCAGTATTGCTCGGGGGACAGATCAGCTGCATGGCTTACTGCCGCAATCTACACACATAAAACTTCAAAATTATGCAAGACCTTTTTAATTAAGATGCTTTCAAAATTATGCAAGACCTTTTTAATTAAGATGCTCCACCTAGCTAGGGTGGTATAAGAGCTTACAGTAAATCTTAACCATTAATTTTGGTTTTATTTATTTATTAACCAATATATTTGAAACTTTTATTACTACTCCCTTCAATTTTTTTAATACATGACACGCTAATTTTTTACATGACGTTTCACTACTCGTCGTATTAAAAAAATAGCGTAAATATGCTAAAGCATAAGTCGTACTTAAAGTTTTTTTAATGATAAAACATGTCACAACAAAATAAGTATTATTTATATAAATTTCTTTTGAATAGGAAAAATAGTTAAATATTATTTAAAAGTCAACCACGTCATCCATTAAAAAACTGATGTAGTAAATCATAGCAACACAAGAAAAGTACTAATTCCCACGATAATTGTACATGTCAAAATTGCGTTATTCAATTCTTATACTTTACAAAACAAGATGTCTCACATTTTACAAAACATTACTGTAGTGTTTTAAAATTACAAGTTCTAGTAAATAAGAGAATAAAACTAAAATGTGTTTCAGATTGTTTGGTCAAAAAATATGATTCAGATTTCAAACTATTCAAATTGCTATAAGCATTTAAATACACGAATTATTTATGAATATGTATATTTCAATATTTTATATTTTTATTCAGATCGATGATCATAGGTACAAATAATAGGTAAAATTCGTTTGTATTTATATACGAGCAGATATATATCTCTGTAGATATATACGTTTGTAGATAAGTTTTTGACAGGCCATTTTGTGATCCCGAGACAATCCTTTATCTCCTAACTATTTACTTTTGTATGATTTAATCCTCTGCCTACCACTTTTGTACTAATTTAATTCTTACCTAATAAATTTTGTATTTATTCTTTCTCCTGTCACCTTTTGTACGATCACCTGTATATTTTTTTACTTCTTTAATCTTTGCAAAAGAAAAGGAATAATCCACTATTAAAAAAGAGAATATATATCGGACTCTACTTTGAGCGCATATGCCATAAGTTAAAGTGGGATAAATTCTCTTAGCTAGGTAATACATGTCATTTAGAGATAATCATCTAGCAACAGTTAAAGATAGTAAAGACTCTAAATATAAACCCTTCAAAATATTTTTAGGGACATTATTACTTTTCTTTCCTTTTTTCCTCCTAACTTCATGCAATAAAAAAAATCTTTTCATAGAAGGTAAGAGCCAATCTCAAGCGAATGTTAAGATAAGATCGATGTTTCCCTCTCCTCTATTCTCTCTTCCATAGCAGCAAATTCTTGGATTGAGATCCCATAACAGCAAATTTACCTAGCTAGTTCGTATGACTAATAGCCTCCTCTTAATTTGATTCAGTTGAACATATATCCTAATATATAGACGGTCTAAATTAAACAAACTTGGAGCACCATAAAAAATTTCATATAAATATCATATAAACTTGGAGTAACATGCAATTTAAATAATTACAGGAACAATGGATCAGTTAAGTTAGAATGTGCGTGATTGTCATTGTATTTAATTAAATCTATTAATAAATTTATCTGATCGAATTTGAAATTATTTGCTTTCTGAAAATGAAACTTGCAATACTAGCTTGCCCCCTCTGACATGATCTGTTCTCAACATATGTAACATAAATTATATCGAAAGAAGAAGAAAATAAAAGAAAATGTTGGTTGAAACAGTAATATAATGCTATATGAGATATGTGTGTGTCTATATATATATATATATATATATATATATATATATATATATATATATATGTCTATTATATGGTAAGAACTGATGGAAAACAAACCAGTAGGAAGCAAAAGAAACGGGCGAAGATCCTATCCATTGTAGAAGGCAATAAACTAATTAAACTCCGTGTATAAGTGAATTGCACTACGAAGGATGCATATGCCAACCGTGCAAAGTTGGTATTTATAGCCAAATGGCAGCAAGTTGCGTAGTGGAAGATAGCACTGAATTCGGACAATACATATATATGTGACCTTCTCAGACAAGCGTTCAACAAGGATTGGGATCACATGCAGTGGCTATAGCAACTTATGCAGTCCTAAGGACACCATTGGATTATAAATTAACGTTCTAGATCTTTCCTTGATACTGTTCACAAATGACCGTACAAAGTTCGTTCCTGTAGCAGGTGCTGTAGCAATTATTGTTTAAAACAACCGTAGCATTTGTTTCAGCCGTTGATTGCCTTGATCCAATGATGAAAAATGGTTCCAACTGCTAAACCTGCAGTCTCTTCTATGACTGCACCGGATCTGGATTCGTTCAACAGAGAAAATTTGCTAGCGTCTCACGCAACATCAAGAAACATGCATGCGACTCCATAGACCACACATATGAATATCTATACATTGCCAAACAATTATTGCCGTTCATATACTAGATACCAAGAAACTAGACAGTATGAGTCAATTATTGAGATCGAGATAACAGTCAAAGAAAACGTTTACACAGTATAGCGCAGACACTCACAACAGACGCACACTCACTCCTATGATTGAAATCCTGAAAAATTCTCTCATGGAAAATTTGCTCCCATGGGGAGTCGAATCCAGGATCTAAGGTGCTACTGAGACTCTTGTAACCACTAGGCTACATGCCCTTTTGCATCCATAGCAAACTTTGATCATTCAGTACCCATTTTGGTTTTTAAGAGATGATATTGTTGACTCATATGTCGACGGGGGATACCCGTGGACCATATTATGAGGTTATTGGGGTATGTTGGTATAAGGATCTACACGATACGATATTAAGCATATAAAAAGACAAGGATTATACTGGTTTAGATTCCTCGTAAGATAATAGCCCTAATCCTGTTTATATGATATTATAGAGAAAATCACAGAGTACAAAAGAGAACAACTAAACTCCGAAATTACCGAAAAGATCCTTGTCGAGAGAGACTCGACGAGATCTATCGGCGAATAGGCTTCAAATCCTCCGGATTGCTTTTGTCGTGGCGGGTGTCTTACACTTAGGATTCGGATTCGATGACCTGTACCTCCTAGGTAGCCTATATTTATACTGCAAATCGCCTTAGTCTGCAAATATAACTCGGAGACAACGGACCCCGCACGGTAATATAGTTTCCTAATCTTTTTCGAGTAGAACTCTATTATTTCCCCTTTCATGAACACTATTTTCTTAATCTAGCAAACTCTTTCCATATACTCATAGATATATTGTATTCGTAGGGTCTGTTTGCTACAGCTCTAACTCCTAAATTTAGCTCTAGAAGTTGGGTCTAGAGTGGAGTTGTGGAGCTGCCTAAACCCAGCTCCACAACTCTAGTATATTTTGTGAGAGAGCTCCACCCAACTCCACTCCTAGTTTTGGTGGAGCTGAAACTGTTTGGCTGGAGCTGTGCCAAACAGGCCCGTATATCACATGACTCCAACGATAGAGGGTATACCTTATCCATAACCCTGACATCATTACTGGGTCGTATTAAAATTTTAAATGAGTAACTTTTAGATAATGAAGATATTACGAAACAAATGACACAACTGAAGAAACCATCTTTACTGGGTTGGCCAAAAACCACAATAATCCCATTTTAAATAGAAACCAGGACTTAATATGGTTTTTTTGTCCCGGTTTAAAACTCTATCGCCTATCGCCCTTGGATAATCTTTAATCCCGGTTCATTTACTGTCAGAGGCTATCAGGGGGCTGGCGATCTTTAGTCCTGGTTGGTAACACCAACCAGGACTAAAAACCGATGCACCATATATAATCCTTTGGACTTATCCTCCCAAATTCCTCATCTTTCTATTCTTGATCTCTCTCTTATCCTTTTCTTTAATCTCTCTCTTCTCTTCTTCTTATCCTCTCCTTCTTCCTTTCGCTGCAGATTGAGGAGCGAGGAGCAGGAGCGAGCGAGGCCGACAGAGGGCCGCGGCGGCCTGCGTGTCGGGCGACGGCGGCCTGCGCGCGCCGGAGCCGGGAGGGCAGGCGGTCGGGCGGGGTCGGCGGTGGGAGAAGCGGTGGCGGCCGCCGGGTGGGGATGGCGGCGGCTGGGCTGGGGAGGCGGCGGCCTCGCCCTCCCCTCCCCTAGATCCGGCGGGAGGGGAGGCGGCGGCGGCGGAGCAACGGCGGCTGGACCGGAGGAGGATTTATTTTTAAAAGATTTGTGATGAATTTGTTTTTGAGAATATGTGATGTATTTGATTTGTGTGAGATGTGAATATGTGATGTATTTGTAATGTTTTTTTAGAATTTGTGATGTATTTGGAGATGATTGATTTGGAGATTTGGAAATGATTCCTTTTGTTTTGTGATGATTGATTTGGGGATGTAGTGAAATTAACATTCAAAGTTAAAAACAATGAAAAAAAGAAAAAAAACTACCAACCGGACCTGGCCTGGCTCCATCTTACCAACCGAGACTAAAAAATTTAATCCTAGTTATTTTAATCGGAACTAAAATAAACCTAGATTCATATAACTGGGACTACAGGAAGTTACGAACCAGCATTAAAGATGGGTACCACATTAATTCATATATGTACTTTGGCGATATTGTTTATATACGCACTTGCCTATCCCTTCAACTATGCAACTTGCTGGCATTTGTCCGTAGGAAAGAGATAAGATTTACGAGGAGGCCTCTATCACAGCATTAATTCACTGTTCATGGCATTAGTTCACTATAGCTACAGCGAAATGACACTGTTTATATGGCATTAATCCGCTGTTTCTCTCACATAAACAGGACTTCTCTGCAGTGCGTGCTATATACGAATATACGATCCTGATCCGTATTGTCCACTTACGAGAACAATTGCTAGTTGACACAGCAATCCATATTCGCTCCTGACGGTGATGGGCATCTGAACATCCAAAAGATGACAAAACAGAAAAGCAAAGACGTCCACGATTAAAGAAACAACAGTCTGTAAACCCTTATCTCTAATGATGACAGCACACTGTACAAGCACGCATAAAAAATCATGCCAAAAATATCAATAATTTAAATAGGCAAAGAGTTCAAATACTGAAATAAGAGTAAGCATTTGTTAATGGTATCGCAATGGGCATATACACATGGTAAACAAGAAAATGATTTTGTTGATGATATATATAGATATATGTAAATTGTTATTTGGCAGAAAAGGGTGACAAACACGTATAGCTCTCGCCATTTAATGCTTTTGACCTCTTTCCTTGATAATTAATTTTAAGATCATAGTGACTAGTTCCTGGACACCTAAATGAGATACAGGTATATATATGGGCCATTCAACTATATTTGGCAATGAGAGTGTCATAGATTTCAGGTCACTGAATTTTTCATAATTGTGGTAAGGAATTTCAGTTACTTTTCACACCATGTCGATTCTGAAAATTGGCAATGACAAAAAAAAGGTAGCACATGAAACTTAAAAGTAGATGAATGTGAAACATAAGGGTTTAGGTAGGTTCAGTCCCTCTTGATAAGAGGTAATACCCTACTACTGTTTGGGATTGTATTCACCAGATGTTGCATTGATTTGACGATCTGATAGTTGTTATGCCCTTCGAGGCTCCCTGCCCACCTTATATATTACATGGTAGTATTCAACCGGGACTCTAGGCCCTGCCATAGAACACACGGCAATACTGCGACCGAGTCTTAATCTGCACTCCTTAAGAGTAAATTTCACAAAACTACAAGTACTTTGGTCAAATTATCATAAAACTACAGATTTAACGTAATATATCATAAAACTACAGATTTAGCACTAATTTTATCACAAAACTACAGATTTAAGGTAAAATATCGTAAAACTATAGGTCCAGTAACAAAATTATAAAAAAACTTCAGGTTTAATATCAATTTAATCATAAAACTTAGACATTTACAACTCAAACATAACATTAGTGCAAAGAATTTAACCCCCAAAATATGTAGTTTAGTGATAATTTTATTATTAGATATGTAGTTTTGTGATATTTAGTCTTAAATATGTAGTTTTGTGATAAATTTGTTGTAAATATGTAGTTCTATGATATATGACCTTAAATCTGTAGCTTATATAATGTGGAGTATTAGTTATCCCCAAGTACACACTACAATTTGTGCGACGTTTCGTGTTCTTGGGTTTTGATGTGTGCATTATTACATCTGTTAAAATTTTTAGTAGAAAATTTGTCAAAAATTTTTGTAGGGTTGAAAGTTGAAACAACCAGCTAATGATATCGGGTTAAGGATCGGAGAGGGGGAGGGGTGGTGGATTCGATTCGAGTCTAGTAAACCACTGGTAGTGCCACAAATTGGCACCGGAGAAGTGCTAACAGATATGAAATTCCACCTGAATTATTATCTTTTCGGAAAATGGAAAGGGAGCAGAAATTCTGTTGCAATTCTTGCGAATGCAAAAGCCTGCATCACCTTCAGTTAATGGAGATATTGGTTCAGTAACTTCAGGTGAGAGCTACATCACTGCATTTCAGTTCACTGCACTTTAACTTAGGAATAAACGAAAAAAAAAGTGGGAGCTCCGAGCCTCCGAAGCTGTCGACTCACAAATGTTCTATGTTATATACTTCTATATAATGTACAATATCGCTGGGAGTTTGACGGTAACACAAAGATAATAAAGAAGAGCAATTCATAGAAAGGGGTCGACTTAATTCCAATCTGCTATCAATCCCATGCAGGACGTAGGACAAGCAAAATACATATAGGTATTCAAATACATCACAATAAACGAAGGGAAAATAGAGGACTTCTCCAATTGAGTGTGAAAATCATGACAACATAAAAAGACCACAAACATGTAAACGGCAAGTAGGGACCAACCAAGAGGCTTTCAAAGTTTCAAGGATACATCTGTGTACTTGACTTATTCAAAGAGCCCCCCCAAAAGGACTAACTTTATTCAAATAGCTTCTGTGTATTTCTTTTGAAAAAATCTTTCCAGTTTCCAGGCACGGGAAGGCAGTAGTTGAACTAGATCCAGCTTGCTCTTGTAAATTCTGAAAAAAAAAACCACAGCGTTAGAATTCAGGTACATGTTAAAAGTACATACAGAAAGGAAGTATATGGAGTCATGCGCTCTGAAAGACCAAGAACGGCTATAGAGGGGGGTGAATATAGCAATTCAAATCTTGCCCCCGAAAATACTTATCAAGCCGGATTTCTCAAAATCCTTACTGGAACCGCGGCTATTAGAGAAGCCGGATCTAGAAAAGAAGAGAGAAGGAATTCCCGACACTAGAAGAGGAAGAGAAAAGGAATTCCCGAAACTAGAAGAGAGGTGAGGAGGAGTGAGCAAAACTCATCATCGCAAAGTTCAAATTGCAAGTGGAATTTAAATTGCGGAATTTAAATGAACAAGACAAAAACGAAATCCTTCAAATCATTTCATTCATAGGTGATGCAAAATAATCGCTCAACTAGGAGCAAACATACACCTTCAGAGGAACATTAACACAGACTTAAAATCTCTCGGACAAACACACTCCAAACTAATCCTAATACAAAAGCCTCTCAGGCAAACACACTCCAAACTCACACCATAACTCTCTCACCGAGCATCTCAAAAGGATTACGAAAGGAGCAACCTCCACCCTTGCATCCATCTCTCTATTTATAGCCTAAGACCCCTAAGACATTGTCTCAAATACCCCTAGGGCGAAAACCTAACTCAGAACAGATCTGTTCCATCCATTGTTCCTTCTACTCAAAGGAAGCTCCAGATCGCTGCCACCTAGTCAATCCAAAAACTCCTCGCACTCCCGATCCGTGTGATCCCAATCCAAACCAATCCATGCACGCCACGTCGCCAGCCGTGCCGCACGCGCGTCCCTCACGCGAGCTCGTGCTCCCGGCCGGGCCCACTTGACAGCGAGGGAGAGCGCCATCTCCCGCGCGCGCGCGGAGTCGCTTGGGTCCCACGCCCGCGCGCGAAACCGATGCTGCCACGTCGCCCAGCCGCTCCCGCGCACCTTCTCCTCCCGCGCACGCCATCTGAATTTGGCATGGGTCCCGCATGTAGTCGATCTCCCGCGCGAGAGCGCGCAGTCGAGTCCGCGCCTGCCGCGTGTCCCTCACGCGCGCGTCGTCGCCGAGACCTCCTGCCTTGACGCCCTTGCTTGCCGAGCTGGGCCGTCGTTGCTTGGATCATGCTGGCCTCTGCTCCATCTTGGACTGGGCCAGTCCGGTCCAGCCGTGTGGCATCCTGGCCGAGCCCATGATCACGATGGATTGGTGGCCTCCCTACCAACCAATCACAACACACATGCACATCACCTTGTCCATGCATGCACTGCTCAAACCAATGCACACACATGCACAGCTTGCATGCTAGCTTGCTTGACCAAGTCTTCCAACCAAGTGCATGCACGTGCACTTTTCTCATTGGCTGCATGCTACAGTACCACGTGTACTGTAGCACTGCTTGCTCCTTTCATCCGTCGGCTTTCTTCGCGAATCCCGGCACTTGCACTTGACCTTGCGAAGCCCGTCGCAAAGTCTTCCCGACACGGTGTTCGTCCACCATGTGTCACCTTGATCTTAACCTTGTCACACAGCTTCGTCGATCATTCTGGACCTCAACTCCCCCTCAGTCTAGTCCCGATCCGCCGTCGACCTAGGTTGACCATCAGGGATCATGACGTCAGTCCCACCTTGTCACATGGCCTCTTGACCGTGCCGGACCTATGCTCCTCCCTGAGCATAGTCCCGGTCCTCGCCATTGACCGAGGTTGACTTCGATCACCTGCACACACGTAAACCAAACATCCGATTCTGGGCACAGATATCGCAACCTGACCCACATTAGTCATAAGCACTGATGCCTAAAATCGCCAACAATCCAAAGCAAATTTCTCACTCAAAACCAACTCATGGTTATATATTTCGTTGCCAATTTTCCATCACAAATAAACCAAAACCACACTTGGTTTTACACGCTCACCATAGTATTTGTGGCACATTAACTCCTGAAGCTGCTGGAAGATATGCCATTCTTTTCTTCATTCTCACCATGTGATTGCTTTGCTGTATCTTTTGGACCATTTCTGCTCTCCTTTCCCCTCCTAAAGCTTCTTGTCTTGAGCTCTTCTGAACTCTCGATTCCATCCTCATTAGCTGGCTCATCCATAGGTATAACATTTCTGGTTTCAGTACTGCTTTCTTGAGGTACTTGAGAATTGTTTTCAAATGCTTCATCCTTGTGCCACAGGCTGCTCTTTTCGATGCCACAGTGCCAAAGCAATGCCCAGATTAGAGTAATGAACTCGCCTCCAGACTCGAGATTATTCTTATGATCTGATGCATTCCAGCTTGGGGCGATGTGCACAAGTAAATCAGCCCAAACCTCAGCTAGGATCTTCCAACAGGCTTCATCATCCTTCATTCCGATCAGGTCCTTGGCTAGAGTAACACCTTGCTGCAGTATGTTCATTTTCAATTTCTCATCTACACTGCTTGGTGTTGCTTGCAGTGCAATTCCCATGAGTTTGTTATATCTACACCATTTCAGGTTACAATCCTTGAGTTGTTCGCGGGCATGCTTTAAGGTTTCCACAAATAGCACTTCAGGGACAAGAAAACTATCTGGTAACAGTTCAGAACGAAAAACCTGTAGATAAGCGCAATACCGTGACAAGCTGATCGCGATATGGTAGTTTGTTTTGAGCCCAGCAGACAGGCCACTGTTCTCGCCTATAAGGTATGGGTAGGAAGAGAAGCAGCAGAGCTTTTTTTTCATGTACGACCAGGCAGAACACAAGAACCCAGGTTTGGTTAAGTCAATTTTCTTGTCATGCGCAAGCTTGATCTCGCAGAGGCTGGTTGCGATGTGCCACACTAGAATGACTTGAGAGCATGTACGTAGCTTCTCAGTGATGGGATTTCTCTCGGTAACGGTCTACTGGTGAGGCCGATGCGGCGGATTGCCTGTAGGATTGCTAGCTTTACACATTGAGGGATCTTGATGGCTTCACCAGTTTTTTTCCCATCCAATTTGCCTTTAATCTTTCCCAGGGTGATGACATTTGCCAGTTTCCATAATGTTGGCTTGTAAGTAATTTGCTGCAAGAAGTCATACTGATCGATACGTCCATGCCATGGTTCGCCAATTTTTGACTCGAAAAATGACCTTACTAGATGCTTCGTGAGTCGTTCACTCACAAACCAAGCCTGGTCCTGCACATACTTGCACAGGACAAGTAATCTTGTCCAGTTTGATACCAGGTATGTGACTATTTCCCAGATCTCCTTGAACATCACACAGAACATGAACACCCATGTCATGATGATGTCAAAATTACATCCATCCACCCAGAGCACAAGATTGCCCTCTGGGGGTTGATAGACCTTGCGGATTCCTACGGCCAGCCAGAAGGCAATGGCGAAAGTTGCAGCGGACAGGAGCAGACTCAAACAGAGAGAACCAAGCCCTTCCCAGAAGACCAATGGGTAGAGGGTGTAGAAGTAGTCTCTGACAAATGCAAGCTCCAACTCAAGGATCCTGAATGTCCGCTCAGCCTCGACAGCCTGGTGCCCGTCCACCTTCTCCTCCTGCCGTTGTCCTCGGCTGTCAGGAATGAACTCCGAGATGATTAGATGCTGCATGTCGTTAATGCTATCTTTGTTCAGTGTCACATCTTCAAGCCTGCACCGAAGCAGCCTTGACAGTGAGAAGGCCATGCTCAAGTCTTTAAACTTACTGTCTCCATCTCTGTTGTTCATCCCCTTCCAATTGTACTCCTGAATCTTGCCCAGTGTGACCAGTGACTGAGCGCTGCTGTTGCTGATATTTATAGTGTATTGAGGCTTCTTTAAGGTGATGTCTTTGTTGGACTCTCCGCAGATCAGATATTTTTTGCCTGGCATCATAGTTGATGTGTTTCTATCATCATGATTGACGCCTGTCTCCTGGTCCTCAGGAATGAAGGTGCGCATGTACTCAGGAATAAACTCTGAGCTCCGGCCATGCCACAAGGATTCGTTTGCCATGCCATGTGCGAAGAACCGGTACATGCTCTTCAGTTGCAGGATGGCCCAAAATGACCAGAGTGGCCTTGCATACTTCAAGCCACGAGTGCCAGCCAAGACCCCTGCCCCTATGAACTTGATCACATTTGCCAGCTCCATGAATTGTCGATCACGGTCTGAGATGCCATACCCAGAGAGATAGCCGAGGCTGGTACGGAGACTCACCAGCACGATGGCCCAGACCGGGAACAGCTCATTCTCAAACCTCGCGGATTGCATGGCTCCAATGAGGTACACTACTATCTGATCAGATAATTCGTCGATGCTTTCAAGAATGGTGGTCAAGATTGAGCTACGAGTTCGGCAGCGGTAGAAGTCTATGATGAACATTGCAAGGAATATCAATGTCACCAGTGCCACCAAGGACTCAATGCGGATCAAGACATAGATGTTCTCTTTCAGCATGACAAAAAATGATTCAATCACAGCACGGACGTCCACCATTTTCAATTTTTAAGCTTGTTCGATGGCCCTGTTTGTTAATTTATTGATGATGAGCAAGTAAAAGATAAACAGGAAATTTACAGTTATTACTCCTACACTAGGGACCATTTTATTATTAACTTTTTTTTTTCATTTTGGCAAGCAACAACTCATGATACGGAGAATGCATCAAGCAAACAGTATATGAGTTTACATTTTGGACAATTTTCATCTCGCTGGTAGCACATAGTGTGTACATGATATATGCTGCTCTTATTCTTTTGCAACAAGATACATAATAATTTGAAGTGCAGAAATAACATCTATCTAACTACTACTGCATTTGTCAAGGGATCTGTAGAGACTTGTTTTTGTGCTAGTTTTGTTTTAGGTTGTAAGAGTTGGGCTTTCTAGGTTTGTTTTTTTAGACAATAGATCTTTCGATGAATGAACCCAGCTAGCTTTATAAAGAACTAAGGAAGCCCATGGTTTTTTTTTTGAGAAATGGGATTAATTTTCGTACGCACAGTGAATCAAGAATCAAAGAAAAATGCAATGAGCAGCCATACATATGTAAGAACTTTCCATGTCTACATGCTGCAGGGCATGAGTGTATTCCCAGACATTACTGACTGTGCTAGCTGCAGGTGCATGCGTACCTGAGGGTAACTGGATTCAGAAGCTGCCGCTGCTGCCCGCTCACTACCAAGGTATCACTGGCAGAAGGAAAGCTTAAGCTTTAGTAAATCGGTACTCATATATCCCAATCGGAAAGATTAATGAGGACTAATAAAGTATTTTTCCTTGACCAAAGGAGGTCATTTCCTTTATTGTCTCTTTTCTTATTTCCTTTTTCCTTTTATCATTGCACCCTTCAGGTAGTTGCGCCGGCTGGAAAGATGCATTAGCTGCAGGCAGCAGTCAACTTGCTTCACAGAGTCATGGTCAGTGGTCTTCTACTAATTATATTCCACAACTACCTTTTGCACTAAGTAGTGCCAATTAATCATGCATCCACATGTCATTGGAATAAAGCTTAGAACTGTCAGTTTGCATTCACCCTTCACAGGAGTAAAGCTTAGCACCAGTATTCTAAAAGTCGGCCCTCAGGTGGCTAACCTGCCTTGGGACTCTTGTGCTGGTCCTGCTATTTGAGTGTCCTATTGTCTAACTTGCCATTAGAATTTAGAAATATACTCTACACTTTAGTTTCTGTACTTGACATTTTTTTTGAAAGCTTACATAGTTAGATTGAAACAAGCATCCCACATCTTACAATGAGTCGTCTGTCCGCCTTCTCCTCCCATCACAGGGAACACGCAACCACTGTCTTACCCCTAGAGAACCAGGAAAAAAATGAGTAATGAAATCTCTGTTGGATTTTGGATGGATTGAACACACCCTAGTAATACGAATCTAGATAGGGAAGAAGTCTATCTAGATTTGTATATGTCCAGATTTGTAGTTATAGGATGTGTCCCATCCATATAAAATCCCTTGTATTTTGGGACGCAGGGAGTACAACCTACCAGCTATTAATTCCAAAATTTTTAATTATTAAATCAAGTGAAAACTATAACTGAGACTCCTAACATAGCACAACTAGATGTTTATTAATTTGGAATCAAGAACCTATTAAATCATGAAAAAACCACTCTATAATTGAGACTTGAAGCCAAGTGAAACTCCAACACAAATGCAAACATTAAGTTATAAAGCATACTAAATTGTGACTCTAGCACAAATGCAACTAAATACTTATTTACTTTTGGATTTTTTAAATATTAAATTAAAAATGAAAGTAACTGAATATTAGGATGGACTCTACATATGATTTTGCAATCATTATTAAGTTTGATATCATTTTGTCCTTAGTAATTTTAAAAAAAATTAGGAGTAAAGTAGATAAAAATGCCCATGCAATGCGGACTAATGAATTATAATTGGTTGCTAATAGTCCTAGGGAAAATCCCAGATATGCCATTAACAAGCGCCCAATTCCAAGAAATGACATCGACAAGCGCGAGTTTCATGAAATGCCATCGTACAAGTGACTTTGTTCTAGAAATATCATCGCCGTTAGGTCCTGTTAGCAGCCCTCCGTTAGGTGCTATAGGATGAACATTGCATTTAATGGCGTGGGATGGACGGAACCATAACGACGATGATATTTTTGGGACAAAGTCGCTTGTACGATGATATTTTGTGGAACTTGCACTTGTCGATGGTATTTCTTGTAATTGGGTGCTTGTCAATGGTGTTTCTTGGATTTTCTTATAATCTTATCATAGATATCTTGTATTTACTAGCCAATGTCATCTAAATATATTTATGATTAAGCTATCAAACAGCTATGGCCTTACTTCAACATCAGTAGACTGTCAAAAACCGCTGTGTAATACTTCCCTTCGATACCAAATGTAACTTATTTAGTATTCTCAACTTTTTCCTAAATTTGATTCATTTCGAAACTTTGAATAACTTTTTCCACTTTTCTCCCATATGTGCTCTTAGGAAATAACGATATTCCTCAAATAAATTAGGAAATCCATATATTTGAAACGTCAATAAATGAAGCCAAAAAGAAAGTCAATCAAGTTATTTTCTTAAAATTTGTACACAAGTCTAAGATGGTTTATATTGAAGTTAGAGAAATCATCATGAAAGTTTGTATTTGGCTCATAAAGCTCGAAGGAAAGTTTGTATTTGGCTCATAAAGCTCGAAGGCTTGTGGCGGCGTTGTCGGATGGCCATATGATGATGTGTTGTTTAGTTTAACGTTTAAGGATAATGCATGATCATTCCAGAATTCTGGTGGGGTTGATGATGGTCTAACCCACCTTACCATTCTTAAATAAATTATGTGGTGGGGGTTGGTGATGGCCTAACCAACCTTACCATTCTTAAACAAGTATGTGCTTCTCCCTTTTGGCTTTTAGTTAGATGCAAAAGATTCTAGTCTTCGTCATCGCATCATCATGTATGCCTAATGCATCTTGTGCGTGTCTTCTCTTAATTTGTTATCTGGTGGACACACTGCAAATAAATAATACTGGCCAAAGCCCTAGACCTTGATTATATCAAGAGCTAAATAGTTGCAGCTACTTTTTTGCAACTTTTTGTGAGTGCGGTCATATTGTAGAAGGCCTTTTTTTCTGGAAAAAAAGGATGTCGGGAATCTAGTTGCGCGTGCGTCCTAGCTCTAATTTATGCAAAGGTCTCCTTAGAACCCAGGAATGCAAAAAACATGGGAAAAATGCATATGTAAAACAGAGGATTAAAAACGTGATAAATTTAGGAATGATCATACGTTCACATAATTGGTGAGGAAAATGCAGGAATACCCTGTAGTAAGTAAATGTAAATCAGACTTGAATGTTTTAATCCATGCATCTTGAGGCCAAGTACATAGAACAGTGAGTGCTTTGCCTCAATCCTATGTGCATGAATAGAAAAAAGAGCTCTATGTTTTCCTATGAATTTCCTTTGGAAACATATCCAAAGGAATTTTTTCTATGTTTCTCCTTTGCTCCATTCGTACAAACCAAATGGATGAAACGTGCAGGAATTTTTTCTATTTCTATAGAATTCTTGTTACTATGTTTTTTTCTCCATTTTTCCTACAAACCAAAGGGGGTGGGTTAGGACAACCTTCACGCATATGTTGCCTCCCCAAGTTTTGTAACCTCATTTTGTATGTGCCATTAAGGCGTCTAGATATTCAATAATTTCTGGATGAATACAATACAGACCGAGGAAAGGGATGGTGAAAGACTGAAACTGTTCCCACCACTGTTTTTGACTAGCGCTATATTGGTAGAAATCAGAAATGAGCCTTAGTCAGTGTGGAATTCTCGACCATTTCCACACCTACTTGTGGGAGTAAGACTGCAAATAATTGTAGTATTTCAATATAGCCTTAATAGTTATAAAGTTTTCTTAAAAATATGACAACATAGACTATTGTCTCATACACCCTCCATAATATTTAATCTAGAGTGAATCTATGTAGAGAGAAGTAAAAATAACAAAATAGAATAGTGCAATCTCATTTATGGTTGGATTTACAATTTTTATTTCTCGATAAAAGGTGTAATCTCACTCACAGTTAGATGTGTGCAGCGGATTTAATTTTGAATATTTATAGAGGAATATCTAAGACAATAGTATATGTTCTCTAATTTAGTAATTTTCATAGGCTACTATTGTCTGCCCAACTTTGTATGATTGGACTCATTGTATGATACTCCCTCCTTTCCTAAATGTTTGACGCCATTGACTTTTTAAAATATGTTTGACCGTTCGTCTTATTTAAAAACTTTTGTGAAATATGTAAAACTATATGTATACATAAAAGTATATTTAACAATAAATTAAATGGTAGGAAAAGAATTAATAATTGCTTAAATTTTTTGAATAAAACGAACGGTCAAACATGTTTAAAAAAGTCAACGGCGTCAAACATTTAGGGATGGAGGGAGTATCATTTAAAGGAATGAGGGCATCCAGTGCTCAGGACTTAAAACAGTTTCCCATTTGAAAATGCTATATTGCGATAACCATGTGATAGATAACATTTTTCATTGACGCAATAAGTCATGGCAGCAACTTTTCTTTATAAAGTCATTAAAATTCTATGGGAACGCGACAACCATATACTAGCGTTATGTCTTTTTTTAAAGTAAGCATCTTGACTTGACGTCAAAACCAGTGAGTTGAGCTTATCATTTTGGGATGAGCTAATTAACTAGCTAAGTTGCTATACCAAAGTTTTCAGTTCAAGCAGTGTTAATGTGTTTGGCTAGCTTGCTAGTTAAGTTGCTAATGTGTGTTTAGCTTGCTAAGTAGGCTTCGTCAGACGGCAGTAGTGTGCAAATGCAAGATGGCTAATATTGTTCTGACGATCCTCCACTTGATCTCCACAACTGTAGGAGGGTTGTTCCGTCATGACAGCACCACTGGTGCAGCCAGTGTCGAGTTCTGGGTGGCGGCGGCGACAACGCTGCTGCTGATCAAGTTCGCCGTCGATTCCATCGGCCCCCGCTTCTCCTCCCAGAAGTACATCAACCCTGCTGTCCAGCTCCTGCGGATACTGAACCATTATGCTGTGAGCTACACCCTGGGGCTCATGCCGCCGTCGTCCTCCCATCAAGGTACCGTGGCGAACGCCTTCTTCAAGGTGTGGGCCGTCCTCATCGTCACCATGCAGGACAGCATCCGCATCGGCCGGCCGTACCAGCCCAAGGAGATGACCCTCGTCGACATGCTCACCTCGCTGTGGTCGGCCAACCAGCTTCGGGCGAAGACGGCGATACACCTCAGGGTGCCTCTCTGGCTCATGTGGTCCATCCACGCCTCGCGCATCGTCTGGTACTACATCACCTCCAGCGCGGCTGCCAGAGCTAGAGATGATGACATGAAGCTTGTCAGTGACTACATGGCGATGCCGACGCAGCACACGTCCAACGATGCCAACCCGGCCACCATGGCGGGGTACAAGTACATCGTTCTCGGGGAGGAGAAGCTGAAGCAGCAGATAAAGGTCGAACCACCCAGCTTCACACAGACGCAACTTGCGCAGGAGGAGGTCATCACTGTGGAGAAGGTCTGGAGCCAAGGGAGCAGCGATGCCCTGCTCGGTGAGGCCGGCGACAGCAGCAACCGGTTCAAGGACGTGTGCCTCTCCTTCGCCCTGTACAAGCTGCTGCGCCGTCGGTTCTTCAACTTCCCCATACATGAGGCCAGCCATGCAGGCACCCGGCAGCTCGTTGTGGACGCCATCCTAGATGACAAGAAGGGCTACGAGAGGGCGTTCCGTGTGACGGAGGTAGAGCTGTCCTTCCTCCAGGACTTCTTCTACAGCAAGCACGCTGATGTCTTCGCCAGTGGCTTCCCTTGCGTGAGGTTGCTGCTATCGCTTCTGATGACAGCAGCTGCCTCATACCTGGCCTACGCAGTGCATGATATGCCTAGTGTTAGCACAGGCCTCACTGCCAAGGGCCGCCTCGCTAGGATCAGCCATGGAGTGTTCGTCACCCACTGCATCATCGCCATACTTGTCATTAGAGAGCTCTGGGAGATTATCGTGCACGTCTTCTCGCAGTGGACCAATGTCTTGATCATCTGCAGCTACATCAGGTTGCGAGGACGTCAAGGCTGCTGGATCCAGGGGCTGCGGCTTTGGATGATGGAGAAGGTGGCGAGGATCATGTTCTGGCTCATCGGGAGGGGACGAAGCCGACGGGACCGCAATATTCGCCAGTGCAACCTAGTGATGTCGGCTCGGACTGGAAGCATAGCCCGCGTTACAAGAGTTATCTTTAGGTAAACAATTTATCGATCTCTTCTAAATAAATTGAATCCATTTTCGTTATTCATCAGTGCACTGAGAAGAGTTCCCCTAAAATCTTAGTTGACCAATGAATATAATGTTGATCAAGATCCACGGCATAGCAACCGTCTTCTACCTGAATTGAGCATGAGGGAGGGAGACGGTGAGAATGGTGGTGTGTTGGGTTGTGGGCCTCAACGATGCTGACAAGGGAAAGGATGGTGGTGCGTTGGGTTGGGGAGCAGTATAAGCGGGTTGGGTCATGTAGGCAAGGGAGAGGGAGAGGGTCGGAGGTTTGCACCATTGTATTGAAAAGTGGCTTATTGAAAAGAGTGTGTCGAACTTTTAAAAATCAGTTAATTGATGAATAGATGACCCCTTTATTAGTCATCAATCACCATGCTATTTTGATCATGATTATCAACGGATGACCAATTTGTAGTTCTCCTATATATTATATATAATTCAAATCAATTTTTCACCTTGGCATACAGAACAAGGTAGCTGCGGAGGGAGGTGAAGATGGAACTGTTTTCGTCAATCAAGGCCCTCCTGAATTCTCAAGAGGCGGCAGCGTCAGTGGCGGCTGGAAGGACGAGGAGTTCACCAGAGGAGTTGGCGCAGAAAAAGAACGAGCTATTGCGGTCTTACCTTGGGAATGCCTTCGCCGACATCGAACACCTTGTCAGTCAGATCGAGCATATCCAAAGAGAGATCAAGGGCGAGGGCGAGACCCACAAGATTCTAGCCTGGCACATCGCCACCAGCCTCTGCCAGATCAAACTACTGGAACAACAAGCCACCGGTCGCTGGCGAGACGACCTGTATAACCTCACTCTGCCCGAGGGCGGTGGTGATGGTGAACTCGCAGATGTGTGGCCGCATTATGTCACCGCCGTCACCCTGTCCAACTACCGTGCGTACCTGGTCAGGCAGGCACTGGTGCCGGACAATGGCCTCGTCGCCTACAAGGTCCTCCATGAAGTGAGGAGGGAGGCCGCACAATCCATGCGCGGGTGCAACGCGATGCAAGGGCTTCCGCATCAGCTCATCCTAAACTCCAACAGGCCGCGGTGCAATGGGGACGACGGTGAGAGGGCATCATTGACATTGGCGCGCTGCTATCGGAGGAGCTCGTGGCGGCGTTCGGTGGCGGCGCCGAGGTCGAGCTATGGAAGAGGCTGGGCAAGTTCTGGGCGGGTTTCCTGCTGCACCTGTCGGCATCGACGAGGGCGGCGAAGCATCAGGTGCACCTGCGCGGGAGCGGGGAGCTCACCACGCACCTGTGGGTGCTCCTTTCGCACGCCGGCTTCCTTGGTGAGACCAGCCATGGCGATCAAATGCTCGACCCGGCTGACCTCACCAACTCCTAATTATGCTGAAGCATCGTATATAGATTTATTAACATCTATATGAATGTGAGCAATGCTAGAAAGTTTTATAACCTGAAACAGAGGGAGTAGCTTGTATCATCATATCATAGGCAGATTGTACTTTTAAGCATATATTGCAAGCTAATAAACTTGGGTTTAAGAGCAAATTATGACATATCTTTGTCATTCCCCATTGGGCCACTACCACTCTATAAATACTACACAAACTGAGGTAGCTTAGCTTCTTTTTTTTTTAGATATAATGGGCAGTACCGAAATGACCACCACTTAAACAGTTCCAACCCTTACAAAAGAAGAGAAACAAAGATTAAGCTTGTAATCTTCCCCTGAAGTTCCATCCTTGCCTAGAGAAGAAGCTCATCACACTCTGGCCTCCAACATCTTGCAGCCTCTCTTCATCAAATATAAAAAAAAGAGAAAATTCCCTATATACCCCTGAAAATTTACTCAATCCCTTCAATACCCCTGAATTTGACATTATCCCTTATATACCCCTGAGTTTTCATTTTGATCTCCTCTATACCCATCTCCGTTAGTTGACCATTAGTTGACCGTTAAATATTTTAAAATGACTATATTACCCATCCTATACATATGTGTGGTACCTACCCAATAAATTTTCATATGAAAAATAAACTTATACAAAATACAAGCAATATAATCATTTAATGCCCAACTTAAAAAATAAAACTTATTATTTTTTATTTTTTAAAAATTATGATTAAATCCATACATTAGTTTCACCAGAAAATTAAGAGCAAAAACTAAATGTTATTTAGGTTTAAATTTTTGGGAAGATATACGAAATTCATCAAATTTGATCTGAAATTTATTTAAAAATTTTAAATTTGTTTTCTAATTTGTGATAAACTAATTATATCCCCTTTGTTTTTTCACAACGAATCTTTTTTCACTAAATATTTGTTGAAAAGTAATTTTCAAATCTTATGCAGAACTTTTTTTTACAATAAATCTTTTTTTATTTTAATGAAATAATGTTTTATTTTCAAAAATTCATCACAAATATTTAGTAATTTATTCCTTATTGGTTTTCACAACTCAAATAATTTACACATAAAACATTTCTAGCTTTTAACAATATAACAAGGACAATAAAGTAATTTCTACAATAACTAACGGTCAAACTAATGGTCAACTAACGGAATGGGTATGTAAGGGATCCAAATAAAAACTCAGGGGTATATAAGAGATCAAACAAATTTCAGGGGCGTAGAAGGGATTGGGTGAAATTACATGGGCATATAGGGAATTGGCCCAAAAAAGATACGGCACTCCACATGTTTTTGGCTACTTGACATTCAAAAAAGAGATGCTGTATAGTCTCATTAGCATTACATAAACAATATCAGTGATCCCTTTTCATTTCCTTTTAACTAGAATGTCTTTTGTCAACATGACATCTTCTCCCATATACCATAGAAATGTCTTTATATTTAACGGAAATCTAGGCTTCCAGATAATAGAATTGTATGATATCTCGATACATGAGCACCTTATACATGGAGTTAACCGTGAAGATTCCATTCTTTTGAACTTTCCATTTAAAAAGATCATCTTGTTCAGATAGATTAAATGCACAAACTCTTGAGACCAGTTTATACCAATCCTTTAGAGGTGTTGTACTAAGCCTCTGCCACTATTGTGTTCCTTTTCCTTGCCAAAGAATACAAGGAAGAATATAGTAAGTTGAATGGCCTATCACCACACCAGTAATCCTCCCAAAATCTCACTTGAGAACCCTTCCTAATCTCCTAGGATCCCAATGGCAGAAAGGATTTCTTAGCCTCCATGAACCTTGCCCAAAATGAGAGCCCACTCGTCGCTTTTCTACTTCAGTGATATTCTTTTTGGACACATACTTTCTTCTAAGAAGATCATGCCACAGCCCCTCTTCATTAATTAACTTTGCTTAGCAAATATTTCTTCTGTACCTCGAGGTTAATATTCTGAGACCCCCCACATTCTTTAGGTCTGCATAAGACACTCCATTTAGCAAGTCTATGGCCCTGTTTGGGGGAGCTTGTCTGCTAGAAACTGCCCCAAACAGTCCACAACTTCTGAGAATCTGTAGTTACAGATTCTGAAAAATGAACTAAGAAGTCAGAAGTTGGGTTTCAGAGCTTTTCCAGATTCTCAGAAGCTGGCTACCAAACAACTACTTCTCAGAATCTAAAGCTCCCCCAAACAGGCCCTATATTTCTTTTTATGCTCATCACACTGCAAAAGAATCTAGACCAGTAATTACCTAGATTCTTGAGTGTACCTTTAGGTGCCTCAATTAAAGGAGATCATAAATATAGCTAGGCTACTTAAAACTTAATGGGACTACCTATATTTATGTCGCCATATTTCTTATGAAAAATAGTGCCATATTTCTTATGAAAAATAGTTAGCATGTATTTATACATTGTAAGTCCCTAAATTACATATGTAATTTTAGTGTATTGCAATGTAAGTTCCAAAGTTACATTTGTAAGTTTCTAAATTATATATGTAATTTTAGCTTCACGTACTGTCATTTTAAGTTGAGAAATGCTATTATTCAAACATTTTTGGCCTCGCCATTTTAATGGGCCTGCCAACGTGACAAGGAACTGGATATGGACATGATGATATGGGTTCCTGGGTCTATGTCAGCACAAATCGCAAAACCAATCGAACGATTAGAAATTTGACTGTAATGAGGGAAGAAAACTGTTGCCACAAATATAGCGATTCCGAAGCTTAATTGATCAAAATCAACCTTCCTCCAATAGACAAAAAATTTCCTTTCCAACTACTCAGTTTCTTTTGGAATATGTCCTTGATCGCCTACCAAATCCTTGTTTGATAGTCTCTTGTGAAGTTGTGATGCATCAGGATACCAATATATCTGAATGGATGTTTTCCCATCCCGCACCCAAAATTAACGTGCTTATAGGCCAAAATTGCATGCACTTATGCACTGAAATTGTGCCACTTATGGGCCGAAATGATAACCACTTTGGGATCAAATATGCAACTTATGGACATGACCACACGAGTTCTATTTAAGCATGTTCACGAGAAACTTAAAAAGAATAACACATTTATGCATTTTTAATGGAAGTTATCAAACAAAAAAAAAATCAGCATTTGGTCATGATCTTCAGTTTTCACGCTTTTTATAAATCTTTTCATGCCAAAATAGAAATTTGGACTAGAGGAACACAAAGAAAGCAACATATATACGCATCGTATTCAGAGTTAACACAGAATAAATCATAGTGAAGGGCATGAGTCAGCGAAGTGAGTACAATTTTTGCTTCAATTTATGTGGTGCCAGAGCAGGGAACAGATTGTGAAGCAAGGCTAAGGGGGTAACCAGAATAATTCCAGAATCACAAGCATGTATATATACGCAAAACTTTGCAGTAACCAAATCGATTCACAGGCCACACATACAGGTAGTATACAGATTCGTCTACACACAAGGTTATTGCAGAGGCAAAACACGAGGTATGTATATCAAACGCTCTAGAAAAGATTCATGTGATGAAATACATGATGAACCACGTATGTTCTCAAGGTAAAATTAATTAATGCAGTATAGTTTTAACTTTGTCCATCGATCTCAACCTGTAACTGTGACGACACACTGGCTACAGTGCCCTCGAGGTACTAGCAGTATAGCAGTAGCTGTAGTACGTAGCAGCAGCAGCAGCAGGTTCACTGTCTTGATTGGATTGGATCGGATTAGTAGACGTAGTTCTTGACGAACATGCCCTCCTTGGCCTCGGCGGCCTCGCCGTCGCTGGTGTACTTGCCGAGCTGCGCCAGCGAGTTGGCCTTGGCGCGGAGGAGCAGCGCGTCCTGCGCCGCCTTCACGTTCTCCGGCTGCCCGCCCCACGTCTTGAGGCACGTGTTCTGCAGCGCCCTCGCGTACGAGAACGACACGTGCCACGGGTTGGGCCCCTGGTTCATCGCGTTCAGGTTCTGCGTCGCCTCCACCTCCGACTGCCCACCCGACAAGAACTGCACCAAACAACAATCAATCAATATTATCGATCAGCTCTACTTTCAGGTTTATTCTTGATCATCTACATCTGCAGAGACAGTTAGTAGTATCGTTGTGCAAGAAGAATCATGTCAGAATTAGCAGATCAACATTTGCAGTGGCAGTTTCTTGATCAACATTTCCAGTCAGGTTAAGCCATTTTGCAAGAAGAATCAGGTTAAGCTTTTAACATTTGCAGCGGCAGTTTCTTGATCAACATTCCAAGTCAGGTTAAGCCATTTTGCAAGAAGTAAAGCAATATTAGTAGCTTCCTAAGCTTTAGTTTCAGTTTCTTTATCAGTGGTAGAATGCTGACCATGATGCCGGGGACGGCAGGGGGGATCCTTCTGTGGAGGAGCTTGAGGGTGTAGTCAGATACTTGCTCAGGGGTGGCCCTGTCCTTGCACTCGGCACCGGGTGTCACCATGCTTGGCTTGAGGAGGATGCCCTCGAACATCACATTGTTCTCGGCCATGTAGAAGAAGGTCTCCGCCCACACCTTCTGCGCCACCTCGAAGGTCCTGTCGATGCCATGCTCACCGTCGAGGAGGATCTCAGGCTCGACAATCGGCACCAGCCCGTTGTCCTAGTATTATTCAAGAAAATTGTTCATGCTTGCAGCATCATCAGGAAAGAGATTTATTATGTTCTTGCAGTTTTTGTTCTGTAATCAAGTTTGATATGTACCTGAGAAATGGCGGCGTAGCGGGCAAGGCCCCAGGCAGCCTCCTTCACGGCGAGTTCAGATGGGCCGTTGGGGATGCTGACAACAGTGCGCCTGAAGATGAAGAACTTCATGTCAGACACTGGAATGATATCCACAAATGATAGTATGTGAAAGGTAACTGGCCATTATATTTGTAGGTGAAAAATTTGTCTCACCACTTGGCGAAGCGAGCGCCCTGCTGGTAGTATGCCGCCTCGCGCGAGGCAAGGCCGTCGAGACCTTGGCACCATGACTCGTTGTTGGAGCCAGCAAGGGGCACAAGACCCTGACATCGAGCACAAATTCAGAAGAATTAATGTTGTAGTTCCTTCAATCTAGAACAATGATTTTCTCTAGTAATAACAACTCTAACACATTCAGTTCTTTAACAGCTTTAATAAATTTGATACTACTTTGAATGAGCAACAAGGATCAGGGGTCAGTTTGGAGTGAAATTCATACCTTGTCGACCTTGATACCTGGAACGATTTTCTGCTCAGTGAGGATGTCGACAATCTTCTTGCCATCTACAGTTGACTGGTACAGAGTCTCCTCGAAGAGGATAGCACCGGAGATGTACTGTCCCAAGCCCGGTGCGGTGACAAGGAGGGTCCGGTAAGCCTGGCGGTTGGCCTCGGTGTTCTCAAGGCCAATTGACGCAAGCCTCTTACCGCAGGTCGCGTTCGACTCATCCATGGCAAGGATACCCCTTCCTGGTGATGCAATGGTTTTCTACAGCAAGAAGGATAAAGTTTTTAATCTTCTAGTTCTGAACCATAATTGAATGAAAAACTCATCTTAAGAATTTATTATCCAAAGTTGATAAAAGTATGCTTGTTATGTTGTAGGATTAGAAGTTCCAAACTTTTCTTCTGAATTATGACCTGCAGATGGTTCATAGAACATAAGCAGGACACATGAATGCTTCATGCTTTATCCTTACAACTGCTAGTGGTTAACCCATGTCATGTCTTGATGCAGATGTCGAGTTTACAAATGTATTACTAGTATATTTTGAGTCTCTAAGTTCATTTGGTATACACAAATCATATCTATTTTGCTTTCTGTGAAGTTGAAGATAGAAATTTTCCTTCAAATGCATTATATAACTTTGAAGAGTAGATTTGAACTAGAGATGCCAGTATATTTGAATCATGTTATATCAAAACAAGTGTTTTATGTTCACTGAATTCTGCTATATATAACTTAGCTTGACTGCACATCCTATTTGATTTCCTGACGATAAAGTGCTTATATCTATCATAAAACTACATAAAGTTCCTTCACTTGTCATTGATATAAAGAGGAAACAAATGCATGCCAAAAACCATAGAACAGTACGGATGATATTCAGAAAGCATACCGCGGTCTTGACAAGCTCATCGTCGTAGGCACCAGCGCGGACAACCATGGAGACAGTCACCGGCTTGGGGGCGGCAGCCTGGCGGGTGGCACCCCATTCAGACTTCTTGGGAAGGAAAGATGACTTGAGGAGAGTAGCAGACGCCATTGCTTCCGGTTTCTCTGAAGGCAAAGGAGAGCAAGGTGCTACTACCCTCTCCTTGACACAGGCCTTTTCTTTGCAGTCTTTCCTTAGAGGGGGGGTGAGAAGTGCAGCAACTTCTCAGATTTAAGGGCAAAAGGGATATGAGTTGTGAGGTGGAGGTTGGCCTCCTGGATATGAATGGCTCTGCTTTGGTTGCTCCAATCCTCTTGCCACCACCTCCTTTGTCCTGACCCTGGCAACATGATTTCCTCCCCATGATTTTCCTTTCCCTTTTTTTTGTGTACCATGTAAAAACAGAGTTTTTTCTTCTTCGCGATACGCGGTCCATAAATAAGGATCATCCCTGGCTGGATGATGAAGAATTCTGGCTTTCTGTGGGTGCATTTCACCAGGAACTGTTGCCCATAGGCGTCTTTCGAGTTTCGACGGTGGAGATGTCCTGATATATGACATCCATGAACCTGTCCTGACCATTGAAATTCACAAGAATTTCCTGTTGGTGTTTGGGTGATAACAACTCCAGCAGTGAGTTGTTTGTTGTATGCTGGGTCCCTTCTGTGGCACACATTGTTCTAGTAGATCAGGAGACAGATGGCTGCAGAAGACATATTCACCACTAATTTGACAAGTCTATGCCAAGAGTGCCTTCAAACAATTCCAGCCATGTAGTAGTCTTGCAGATCATCTGTGGTAGCACTTGATATGATAATCACAATTAGGATAGATATGCCTTTCCCTAGCTCCACTAATATGTCTGAAGCTACTGAATGTAATACAAGGATGGGAGAAATCATGCACATAATCAGAGTGAAAGATGATTGAGAAAATTGAAGGCCAAAAAACAAACATAAATGACATATTATTCTACTACCCACCAAAAACATTGATATCAGAGATCCAAGTTGGTAGATGGCACCTATTGGTCTCAATGAAAAGGAAAGAGACAAAGTACCATGAAAGAGATTTTACTATTGAATAACAAAAGCTGGGATAGTTACAAAATATTTACAAGTGCATAATTGTGGCCTACTTAAATCGGATGAACTCCTATAACTCAGGAGAAATTCATCCACACATACACCTGTGGCTATGTTTCTGAAGAAAATATATCACGCCCACACAAAAACGTTCAGCATCACAAGGATGCAGTGCATGTTGTCTCTGCAGCACATTTGAACATAAGATCTGTATATTTTTGTCTTAGGCTTGTAGCATCCAAAAGCTCATATTGAGGTTTCTTCAATCAGTTCAGGCAGATTGTAAATTTGTATGAAGACCTAGTTTTCTGCTGTACATGAATTTGTTATATTTAAAACAAAGGTAAATACATGGCATGAAGCACATATTGTGTCCAGTTAAATGTATTCCATTTCCATCCTTCAGGTGAGAAACCAATGCCAAGGCCAGTTCATTATCTCCATAACCATGAATATGAGTATGCTAACAAGGTTGTGTAGTTCACTGGATGGGTTAGACTGTAACTCTGTAAACAAATGTGTCTGTGATGCGATGTAACATGTCAGCAGAGATTTAGTATGCGTAGCTCTGCTCATATGACCAGCTGTTGGTAAGCCACATTCTACAATCCGTATTCTTCCACCTTCAAAGCATGCGTTCACCTCTACACGTGATGCCATACAATCTTCAAGTCCTCTTTCCAGGTCTTCCTGAAGATCCCAAAAGGAGAAATTGCGGGCAAGTGGTGTTGAGTTCATTCCTAACATGCTACTCTGTTGAACAGTAAAAGGGTCTAGTTTGAGCAAACTCTGTTGTTCAAATCCATTGCTTTAGAAGCCTCATCAATGGGTTGCCCACAAGTTTTTTCGGTTTCTTCAGGACTAGCAGAAGATAAAAATGCCACAAGTTTCTGCCTCAGCATCGGTGAAAGCTTCTCACAGCATGTCAATATATCCAAGGAAGGGACCACTCCTTTCTTCACCAGTACCGCAAATGCGTTCCTTACACACTCAGCAATCGCCTCCTTCCTCCGCACGTCATAGTTCTCGACAAGAAGAAACAAGAACTCAAGTAGCATGTTTGTGATATCAGTATACTGAGACACTGAGTTTACCATCAGGAGCATTGCAGGCTCAATATTCATGAGATTGCCCTTACCCTCGTCGAAAAACAACCAGTCATAGAACAGCGCAACCTTTGCATTCGCCTGCACATAGCTCTTATTGCAGCTTGTCAGCAGCCAACCTATGACCGCCCATCGGGCAATGACACCAGACTGCATAACCTTATTTGTTGGGTGATACCCGCAACAGATGAACCGGACAATGTCGGGTATCCTCTCCTCCCCTCCAGGCACCATCAAATGCTTCCTCGCAAACCACAGCTGGTACCTCTTCTGATTCCCCCACCTCACATTGTTCATCATGAACAGCAGCTGCGTCTCCATCTCCGGTGAGACGGCCATCGCGGTGCACCAACCCGGCATGCCAATGCGGCAGATCTCCGCCGCACGGCCCAGCATCGAGTCCTTCCACAGTTCATGGAACTCCTGCACGAGCACCAGTTCATGGAGACACCTCACGAGGTCCCTCCCGATCAGCTCACACACTTGGGTGTGATCCCGCAACACGGAGGCGCAAAACGACACCAGATTCTCCCTGCATCCTGCAAGATTCTTCGCGTTCTTGCACTCGCCACAGTCGCTGCACTCGAGACACTGCGGGGCCGGATCGAGGCGGTTCTTGGCGAGGAGGCGGAGGAAGGCGAAGACGGCGGAGGCGAGGAGCTGGGGCTCTTCGTCGGCGAGGAAGGAGGCGTGCTCGTGGAAGATATCGAGCAGGCGGGCGTCGCCGGGGAAGGGGAGGCGGCGGAGGAGCGAGACGAGCAATGGCGCGAACCCCGGCGCCGCCGCGCGGGCGAGCTCGGAGGCGGCGAGGAGGAGGCGGTTGCGCGGGTGGGGGAGGAGGAGCGGGAAGGGGAGGGAGAGAAGCGCGGAGGCGAAGGCGTGGTAGAAGGCGGGGTAGCGGCCGCCGGCGGCGTGGAGCACGACGAGGAGGCGGCGGGGGAGGGGGGAAGGGTCGGCGAGGAAGGAGAAGGCGAGGGCGAGAGGGAGGTGAAGGGAGGGGAGGTCGGAGGGGGAGGGGGAAGGGAGGAGGGAGGTGGGCGGAGAGGAACCGGGTGCTCCGGCGAGGACGCGGAGGTGGGTGACGGGTGGTGGTCGCCGCCGGCGAGAAGCCGCGGCGGCGGCGGCGGCGGCGGCATTTGGGAAGGGAGAGGATTTTGGATGGATTCCCTCTCCTCACCTTCTTATCCAGATTTGGGCCCCACAATGCGCGGCCCATTTTCGTTGATGGGCCGTGATTTTGGAGTAAAATACAGGCCCGTTTCAGAATCAATAAGAGGGGCCTTCTATATAGCGGTTAGGATTAAGCTAGTTAAACCATTAATATATAATTAATAAAGTATTATATATTGTAAACTTCAATTGATTTTTAAGAAACTTCTCTATATGAGGTTTTAGCACGAAACATATCGTTTAGCAGTTTGAAAAGCGTGCTTACGTTAAACGAGTGATTAACCTAGCCTAAACCCAATTTAGAACACAGCATTTGAAAGCTATTTAAACATTGTTTTCTGACATTTACTATAATTTTTATAAAACTGTTTAAGAATACTGGCTCATATTTTAAGCATAAGTTTAAGATTGCTCAATAGCAGAGCCTGAAAATTATGTTTAGAACTTGGAGTGACATTTAACATCAACAACCTGTACTAACGATAGAATAATAGATAGAAGAGACAGAATTGATGCCAAGAGCATTCCCCAACTATCAACAATGTTCAGTCTACAAGGACAGGAATACATATAAGCTGTTCATTGTACTATCATCTCCAGCATCATCTAAGATCAGTTACACTGATAGGATATTACGATCACATAACGCCAATTTCTCTTACACTCTAGTAGCTGTAGCTATTACTGCTACGAAAATTCTTCAGCGTCTCATGTAACGCCAAAGCACAATTCACTCAACGGCTTTGCCCTCTTAGAGATTAGTCCAGCTGATGAGGCGTGCAGAGATTCAGACAATGATGGCATGTAACAGCCATGGCCTTCCTGTAGGAGTTTAGCTGTTGCTGGGGTTCAAGATCTCACCAAGATTCAACTGCAAGCTGTTCCTCATGGTTCTCCTTCCAGCTCCACCAGCATTGCCCTTTCTCATCATCGCCGTGAACTCGCTGTAGTCAATTTGTCCGTCCTGAAAACGGGTGAAGAAATCAATTGGTGAACAAACAAGTCAAAAATTGGACAAACTACAGAATGCAGAGTATAAGAACAACTCACATTGTTTTGATCAACATCTTTAATCATATCCTCAAGGTGAAGATCATCAAGGCCAAATTCGCGGCATGCTTGTGACAGCTCATCAATAGTTATGAAACCACTTCCATCTTTGTCGAAAAATGAGAATGCTGATACTAAGTTTTCCTCCCTCTCTAGCTTATTCATGTGGAGAGTAGCAGCAATGAATTCACCATAGTCGATGGTTCCACTGTTGTCGATATCAGCCTGAAACAAATGAACATATTACAATTTAGCAAAAGCAGCAAGACATGCTATCTTAAATCTTAATACAAAACACCTTTCTTTCCTAGTGAAGGATTTTTCTTTTCCATTTTAGCAAAGGCAAGAGAGATGCCGAGATGTAAATTACGAGACATAAAAATTACAGCATGCAAGAAATACAAAATGCTGAGGATCAGAAGGCCCCTGCAAGTTACATTTCCCTGAAGGATCAACTAACAAAGAAGCACTTACCGCTTCCATTAAAGCCTGGATTTCATGTTCTGTTAATTCTGAACCCACCCTTTTCAAGCCCTCTTTCAGCTCATCAAAAGTTATAGTTCCACTATCGTCAGTATCAATCATTTTGAATAGCTCCTTTAGTCCTCCAATCTCTTCCTCAGACAGGCTTTCAGCAATAACCTGCAAAATGAAAGATACTTAACAATATGTAAAGAGCTCAAGATGATCATTGCATGTTTCACAAGCTAGATCGAGCATTTCAAAAGAAAAGAAAAACTACGATGCCTATAATGCATTAAGTGTCTGGGCTGCCAAGGAAACAGGTTTCGTGTAGCCCCAAACAAATGTCAGAAAGAATCAGTTTGCTACATCATCTTAGTTAACATTGACCTGAACAGAATAGTTACTGGATATATTCCAAATGAACCTGGGTTCAAACAAAGGTGGTGTCAATGGATGAAAAGAGGCATCATGATTCAAGAGATCAGATAGCTCTCTCTACTAAAAATGCACATGGTTGTAGAATATATCAACACTTAATTATTTTTTGAATTCCACAGATGCAAGACTTTTATAAGTAAATGAAGTTAACAGTGAGATTCATTTCCTACAAACAAATCAGGGGAGAAAATGAGACTTGTCAGGTGCCTTTCATATATGAGGCAAACAAGGTCAACCTGAGAGTAATTGAAATAAGCAAATAATTGAATCACAAACTTATAGACAAATCTCCGTACCCTCAATGCCATCTTCTTGAGCTTGTTCATTGCCGAAAAGTGCTTCAGTCTTGACAAAACAGCAGAATCAATAGGCTTGTCAGGTGCCACAGCATCATCAACAATCCATGGATGACCTGGAATAGGCAATGCCATCACAAGGAGAAAAAAGAAGACATCCTACCTATGTCATATTTAAGCAAAGCAGACCTATGGCGAGTAAGAGTAGGAAACAGGGTTGACTTACAGAGAACCTCATGGGCTGTAAGTCTCTTTGTAGGATCCCGGCAAAGCATATTACGGACTAGATCTTTAGCACTGTCAGAGATGCTAGGCCAGGGTTCAGATTCAAAATCAAGTTTGCCTCGTAGAATCTGCCTGAAAATTCCAGCTTCAGTTTCTGCAAGGCAAGAGACAATATGACAATGGAAACGTGAGAATTTGGAGGGACCTACTAATTTAGTTGTTTAGTGGCAAATAATTTACCTGCCCAAAATGGTGGAACACCACATAGCAAAATGTAAAGAATTACCCCAGCACTCCAGACATCAGATTCTGGACCATAGCATTTCTGAAGTACCTCAGGTGCAACATAATAGGGGCTCCCAACAACATCAGAGAACTTATCACCTGAGGAAATGAAAATCAGAGTTTCATAAACTTAACATGACTCATACAGCATTCCTGACAAGATCCAAGTCAAAATACACAGTACAGATACAAACAAATAAGGAACAACAACAATGGCGATGGTGGTAGCAGTAGGTATGACACTGCATTTCACATCATCTTCCTAAATTAGGCAATTTGCAACCAATCTCATGTCCAACAATACATAACACTACCATTGAACTAGACTTAGCTGAATAGTGACTACATGGAGACAAAGATACCTCTTCCCTACCCATTTTAAGGTTACATAACGTAATCATAAGAGCACTTAAATACTTAATGGTTCCTTGCGAAAATTACCAGCTGGCAACTATCACAATATCATAAAAAATATTTGACATGCATTAAAAAGTTCAAATGAGATAAACCACAAAAGCAGTACTATTGCCATTTACATCAAAGTTACTAGTACTAGGATGTAGGAACTGTTTGTGGTATTCCTTTTCTCAAAAATGGACTAACTTGCACAGATTGAGTTTCCAGCTAGAACCCAAGAACGTTTCAATTCCCTCTCCCATTATCATATCAATGTCATACCACACACATATCTCAGCCTCATTTATTCAAACCCAAAACCCAATGTATGAGTGCAGACCAGGGTGTAACAGAAGGACAGATGGGCCACAAGTAAGTAAGAATCTAGCAGACAAGTAAGCTGTCTTCCAGCAAAATGAACAATGTATGCAAGAACTATTGCTGAGTTCAATTAATCTGAAGACAGCCAAATGAACAATGTATGAAAGAACTATTACTAAGCTTAATTGATTCAACCAAGGCAAGCTATAAACAAAGCTCCGACTTAGTCATTTGAATGCAACATAAGCAGTACACAATTTTAATGCAAACACATGAACAATAACAACAACGAATTGCTTACCAAAATGAGCAAATGTGAAACTAAGAAACCACACATACCAGGCTTGTAGAACATGGAGAGGCCGAAATCAGTGGCCTTGAGGGGGGCGTCCTCGGCGGCGCTGGCGAAGAGGAAGTTCTCGGGCTTGAGGTCCCGGTGCATGACGCCGAGCGAGTGGCATCCCTCGACGACGGCGACGATGGTGCGGATGAGCTGCGCGGCGGCGCGCTCGGTGTAGTGGCCCTTGGCGACGATGCGGTCGAAGAGCTCGCCGCCGGCGCAGAGCTCCATGACGATGTGGACGAACAGCGCGTCCTCGTAGGCGCCGCGGATGCGGACGACGTTGGGGTGCTCGGAGAGGTGGTGCATGATCTGGATCTCGCGCCACACGTCCTCGTAGTCCTCCCGGCACAGCAGCTTCCGCTTGGGGATGGACTTGCACGCGAACTCGCCGCCGCTCGCCTTGTCCACGCACAGGTACGTCGTCCCGAACTGCCCCTGCCCGAGCTTCTTCCCGATGCGGTAGTGGTCGCGCACGTTCGCCGTCTTGTGCGGCAGCACCGACACCGGCCGACCTCCCGCCGCCGTCACCGGCGGCGGCGCCAGCTTCGCCTTCGCATTGGCGTTGCCGTCGCCGCCGCTCCCGCTCGGGTCCGGCTGCATTGGCGGCGACCCCAGATCAAGAACCGTACGGACTACGGACACCCAAGCTTCTTGCCTTGTAGCGCTCTCCCTGAAATCAAAGAATCGAAGAGAAGCTAATGAATTCGAGAGAGAGAGGAGACGCGATCAAGAACCAATCGAGAAACGGAAGCTCATTTACCCCTCTCCAGAAATCCCACCGCTTTGCCCACCCCGGGATTTCTACGGAAGAAGAAGAAGACACGGAATTCGGGATCTTGGATTTCACACTCGGGCGATTCTCGAAGGAGAGGAAGAAAGAAAGAAAAAACGAACCAAGAAACCGAGCTTTATGGGAGGTTTATGGCCAAAAAGAGGAACAAAAAAACCGAAGAAAATCTCGCTCTCGCTATCTCAGGTGTCACTCACTCCTCGGAGGAAGAAGAAGAAGATGCAAATCTTGCAGAAACGAAACGAAAAAGAAAAGAAGATGGGGGGATTTGGGTGTTGATCCTGCGTGGAGGTGGAGCTACAGGTTGCGCACACAAGAGGACAGGATCTTGGCGGCGTTGGGTGATGGCTCAATCCATTTCTTTATAGGATTTTTTTCTCTCGGGTGTGTGCTGGTGATGACGATGACGAGGAGGAGGAGGAGGAGATGATAAGAGTTGGAAAATCTCCGCTTTTTGGTTGGATTTTTTTTGGGGGTTGGAACTTGGAAATGGTAAAGGGGGAGGAGGAGGAGGGTGGTTTGGTGAAGTATTTTTGTGAGGGCAGCCAGGTCGTATCTATGCCTTTTTCTCCTCCTCCATGGGTGTGACAAGACAAGAACGAAGGCAGGAGGAAGGAGAAGGAGAAGATGGTATGCTTGGTTGGAACCTTCTCTTCGAATTTCTATTTTCTTTCTTGTTTGTTTTTTTTTTTTTTTTTTGCTGTTCCTTACATTTTTCTTTGTGTCAACCTATTTTCTACTCACTCCGTTTGTAAATATTACGAGTCATTTTGAATTTTTTTTCTAGTCAAGCTTATTTAGGTTTAACTAAGTTTATTTAAAAAATTGACAATATTTATAATATCAAGTTAGTTTTATTAAATATAACATTGAATATATTTTGATGATATGAGAAAATCCTTTAGCTGGATAAGGGACGGATGTAGCCAAGTTGATCAAGGCAGTGGATTGTGAATCCACCATGCGCGGGTTCAATTCCCGTCGTTCGCCCATCCTATTTATTTTTGTTAGAGATATTGCTATACTTTTTTTATAGATTTAATCAAACTTAAAAAATTTGACAAAAAAAAGTCAAAGCTTTTATAATATGAAGTGAAAAGCGTTGTCCTAAAAAGATTCAAATCGAGTAGGTTTTGTGTATGAAATTTTTAGCATTTGCTATGTAAGTTATTTTTGTCTATATCAAATTTTATAATCCTATAAAGTTTCGTTGGAATGCCTTAAGGAAGCCGATTATAAACCGTAATGCGTATTTACGATAAAAAACAGTATGGGTAAACTTTTATATATGTGTTATTAGCAATTTAAAAGACAATATTAAAAAATAAAGTACGGTAAAAATAAAATTAACTCTAAAATTTAAATTTTGGTTACGACGGATAAGCTGAATAGCAAATAATGGAGCTGACCTTGTGAAATATTTTTCTCTGAGTCTCTATTTCTCCATAAATTCATGTATTTTTTCTATAATCTATCTATAAAGTTATTCATATGCTTTCCCTATGCTCTATGCTCTTTTATTTTGTAATTGCATTTCCAATAAACTGCTTCTCTTGGTCCTGTATATTATCAATATTATGTCCTCTCGAAAAGAGTCTTTTATGCGGAGAACAAATTTCTTTTAGTCACTGCTAGTTTTCTTCATATTTCAGCTATACTTTACTGGAATCTCGGATTTGGAATATTTCTTCAGACAATGGGTACAAACGATTTTTTTTTCTTTTCTCTGAACATGAGTTCACGGGAAATTGTTGCTGTATAAGGTTAGGACGACACAGACAACAGTAGGAATCCAAAGGTTTTTTTTTTTAGATAATGTCCAAAGGTTTCATTGGATCCATTAGCTCTTTCTTTGTTTCGTACACTTCCCTTCTTCTTGTTTATTCTTTCCATTCCATTGCATCTTGACTCATTCCTTTGGGCAGGTGCATCTTCCTTGCCAAATGTTAATTTTCTTCAACTTTTTGTACACCAGATAAGAGCTTCAACATTTTGTACACGGTTTTCAGTAAATCAGGTATCCATCCTGTCATCATTCTGCATTTTGTGTGATTAAAAAATAGCTAAAAAAAAGCCTACTTGACAGTACTTCTTCCAGTTTTGAAAACATTATTTTGAACATCCATATGGCCTTCAAAATGCAACCTTGACTGCTAATTTTACAGTATGTTTATATACTAGCATGTTGAAATTATAATAATCAAAATACGTCTGTACTTATAATTTTCATACTTTCAGTATAAGATGTACTAGATGTTTAGAGTTTTTTTAAGTTTAACCTGAAACATGCTCAAAACGATGTATTTTCAAAACCGAAGTTAGTAGCACCATCCTATGATTCCTTTGAAGTCTGCTTTCGAATTTGTTTTAGAATTTTGAAGCAGTGCTATCAGACAGACATGTCATGGTTGAATGGCCGACCAACTGGTCCAAGTGTGTTTTCTTCTAGCACTGGCCCCTCTAAATAACTGTTAGTTCGTACTATTGTACTAATCAAGACCGATTAAGACCCTGTTTAGATGGGACTAAAACTTTCCCTATCACATCGGATGTTTAGACAATCCATCCATAATCTTAGACTAATTCGCGAGACGAATCTATTAAGCCTAATTAATCCATGATTAGTCTACGTGATGCTACAATAAACATTCTCTAATTATAGATTAATTAGGCTTAAAAAATTTGTCTCACAAATTAGCTTTCATTTATGTAATTAGTTTTGTAAGTAGTCTATATTTAATACTCTAAATTAGTGTCTAAATACAGAGACTAAAGTTAAGTCCCTGATCCAAACACCACCTAGACACGAATTTGTTGGGTCGGTAGGTGGGAGCTCCGATCAGAATTCAGGACCACCTAACACTATCCCAAATTCCAAATCCATGTGCAATGATAAGTTCTATTCCTCCACAAATGAATTATTTCAATCCTATGTTTTCACTAACTTCGTCATGATTTTGATGTGAAAAAAAGAAATATATCTGAAATACTAGTACATAGGCATTTGCTGACATTAACCACTGAAGCAAATTAATCACACAATTGTGTACTCGTGCTAACTTTCACCCACGATTTGGCGTTCAAAATGGCAAGCTTGACAACTTTCCATGTCACAAAAATTCCTAAATAATAGCTTGACATGAATTTGTCCAAGGCTCAGTCCATCTTTCAGGGGGTGTTTGGGAGACATAAGTCCCTCCCCTAAGGACTTATTGTTTCCCTCTCTCCCAAACACCCCCTCAGTACTCTCTTGTTGAAATGAAGTGGCTACTAATGATAGCTTGCAAGAAAGGAGGAGATGATGAAATCATGGTGCCCACAAATGGTGATAGAGATTGTGTGAGACAGTGGATGAGGACACTGAGCATGGCATTGGATTGGACCCCATTTCCATCACTGTCAACTTTGTGATCATCTACCAAACCTGCAAGGATAAACTCATGTTTTAATCAGGGATGATATATGTTCTTTGTTTATGGGAGATGATATGTATGCCTGTTAATAACTTGAGATGTTGCAAGAGGTGTGATCATCAGATCATGGACTCATTGGTGGGGTGGTTACTGTTAACCACCCTTGGTTTTCACTGAAACTGACTGATGAGTTTTCTGAGAATGAGACCTTGAGTTGCCTCTGCAACTGTTGGCAATTTCAATTTATAATGGCACAACTGAAGAAAGTGTGATGTTGAGAGATTCAGTGTAGGAACAAGCTTTAAACTTTACTTCGCACCATCTGACCACCTTTATTATTCCCTAAATTTAAAATTTAAACTGAAATTCAACTATGCATGCCATCCGTCTTACGGTTCGTCGAAACCGACTTCGTCTAACGTGACAAAACTTGAAGATATTCAGAATGATTAAGGATTTGTCGCTTTTGAAATGCGCAATCAAGGGCAACTAATATTTACACGTGTAAAGTAGATCAAAAGCTTGAAAACTACGGGTTTTTTTTTAAAGATCAGCATCCGAATTTTATGGCCAGTGCAGTCCTCTTCCATGTCTGAGACATCGTTCTCCTTCAGAGAAAATGACCCTGTACGTAATGGCCATTCATGATGCTTTTCCGCGTTACACTTGGTCAGTCACTCAAGCTAAGCAGTTGTGAATGAACACAGAAAACTTTGAAGTCAAGTAACAAGTGGTGGATCGATCTATATTCTACTTCCCGTCCCACAAAGACACTATTTTTCAGTTTTTAGATACAACGTTTGATTCTTCGTCTTATTAAAAGTTTTCTATGATTAGTATTTTTATTGTTATTAGATGATAAAATATGAATATTACTTAATACATGACTATTTTTTTTAAAAAAAATTCATAAATCCTTTAAAAGAAAATCCAAGAAATGTCATTGACAAGCGTCCAAGTCCCAAAAATATCATCGGCAAGTGTTAGTTCCAAGAAATGTCATCATACAAACGACTTTGTCCCAAAAATGCCATCGTCGTTAGGGTTCCGTCCATCCTGTGCCATTAAGTTCTATATGATGAACAGTGTATTTAACGGTGTAAAATAAATGAAACCCTAACGGCGATGACATTTTTGGGACAAAATCGTTTGTATGATAGTATTTCTTAGAACTCACACTTGTGTCAATGGTATTTCTGAAGTTGGACGCTTGTCAATGGCATTTATTGGATTATCTCTTTCTTTAAATAAGACGGACGATCAGAAATAAAAAATGCAGTCTTCGTGGGACTGAGGAAGTAGACTTCAAAAGTTGAGAGTTCCAAGCTTGTTCCTGTGGGGATTGTTTAGTTGGTCAATTCAATTCCTAATCACAGTCAAACCGTGTGAGCACATTGATAAGCTTTTGACCAAACAAGTAGTGGTTTTCATAGCACTACTAGTACTTATTTTGAATTCATGTCGACAATTTACAATTTACCCAGATGTGCAAATCTAGCAATGATGGAAAAAGTGTAATCAACAGAATTTTTTTTTTACCTACTCTTCCTTGTCAGTCATGTACAGAAGGATACAAAATATGACACAGAACAATAATCGAGGGTGTAACGAGCACCACTATTTCTCACTAATTCCTGAACAGCTAAAAGAAAATGTAAGCTCAACAGATATCATAACTATGCATGCCAACTCAGAAACTGTCTGTTTCTTGAAATATACCTCTAGGACAGGGAATCAACAGGAGACAGAGTCAAGAACACACCCATCTTTTTCTGTGACATTGTTATCTTTTATTCCTTTTTGCACATGGAAGAACAGTCTGATGGATGAAATAAACTTTTTTTTCCAGCTAGAAAGAAACTTCACAAGAAATATCTTGCATCGCTGTTCTCAAAATAGCATAAACAGGAGCCAACTTTTAACATGGTCAAGATGGCATCGCTGTTCTCAAAATAGCATAAACAGGAGCCAACTTTTAACATGGTCAAGATGGTGACCAGAGAGAAAAGGTGAGTGCTACTGCTACACATGTTAGTAGCACTTAGCACCATCTGCCACGCACGTCTACAGCTAACCTGAAGCACTCCGCGTGGGCTAATTAAACTGAGCAGCATCTAATCTAGTCTTGTGACCCGTTCAACACGGTCATCTAGTCTTCAAAAAACTTGATCAATTTTATGCTGTCAAATATAATGAAAGGGAAAAAAAAACTCCATCCACACACACAACCAATGATCCCAGGTTTCATCTCCTGAACTTTGAAACCGTTCGAGTTGCCTACTCCATCTGTTCTATAAAAAATAACCATGTTGACATATCGTTCGAGTTGCCTACTCCATCTGTTCTATAAAAAATAACCATGTTGACATATCATAGTATTACGAATCTGGACATGTCTCTGTCTAGATATCTAGTACTAATTGGCTTTTTATGGAACCGAGTGAGTACCTTAAAGATATATTTGTGTCTAGCTTGCATAGGCTGTGTTTAGTTCACGTCAAAATTTGAAGTTTAGTTGAAATTGGAACGATGTGATGGAAAAGTTAGAAGTTTAAGTGTGTAAGAAAGTTTTGATGTGATGGAAAAGTTGAAAGTTTGAAGAAAAAGTTTGGAACTAAACACGACCATAGTTCCACGAATGTAACTCAAACAATTAAAAAAATTAGGCCCCCCTTAAATCGTAGGAATGAGAAAAACGGGCAAAACAAAGGATTACAAAAACATATGAATGACCGGAAAGGAAATTTTCTATGAGGTTAGAGCTCTTGCTAATTTTCCTCCAAATTTTTATAGGATTGTTCATTCCATAGAAATTTTAAAAGATATGATAGGATTCAATCTTTTGTTTCAAAGATCTTCCTAAGATTTTTTTTCCTATAGGATTAAAATCTTCCAAAATTTCTATGTTTTTCCTATAAATCAAAGGAGCAGTGAACTTAGACCATTGGCATAGTTGAGGGATAAAATACAAGGTTTTTTTAAAGAAAAATTGAAGTGTAGATAGATTCTCTCTTCTATGAAGTCAACGTTACGAATCAAGTTCAGTTGACGTGGTACACATAAACATCTCATTAGCTCAGAAAAAAAATGGAGTTTAAATTATTGCCCTAAACAATATACTCCTATCCTACCAAAATATAGCAACCTAATTGATTATACAACACCTAACAACACAAATTTTAGCCATATTCATTAACTCCGGGACAGGGGCAACGCTACAGTCGAATCATTGGGGTTAGTCGACCCTGACGATTTTGTGAACATCTCGTAGTTATTTTTAGTTTGTATCAGGGTTCACCTCTTCGACTTAGTATTGGATTCCGAACCATTGTGGTATGACTTTTCTTTTCCAAAATTTGATAAATTTTGGTCAAATTTTACTGTTTCAAATTTGAATTCTCAAAATGAAACTTAATTTGGAATCTACTTTTGTCCCATATCAAAACATCGAAATTGTGTGGTTTCCAACATGTTTTGGTTGAAAACATAAACTTTAGTTAGTACTGACCCCGGATAGTGCTCCATGGAAAGGTAACTTTTTACAGGACAGTGCTGAACCCACGGCTGATATATATACTCCATTTGTCCATAAAAAATAATCTAGTACCGGATGTAATATATTCTAGTACCACGTCTGAACAAAAGCCTATCTAAATTTGTAGTATTATGATGTATCACATTCGGTACTAGATTGATTTTTATGGGCGGGAGGGAGTATTTTATTGCATGTAAACATTCCTGAGCAGTAGAGTAAGATTCTGTTCCCAGCAAAGAGAGCTTGGTCACTATTCTATTGCTGTCCAGTTTAGCTATCTGCTCAGAATCTACAGACTGATAATATATAAGAATCCAGAGTTCTTGAGTAGTAATGAGTAAGTACATCTGAACCTCACCAGCCGGCTCATCATCATATCCATGTGAGCCATTGCAGGTTTTCCATCCTGAGCGCTGCTTTGGAACCAAATTTTATCAGCTAATAGGATGGGATCAACTTGCAGATAAGATGCCTCTGACCATATCACCACCACCACCACTAGTGTGAAATGGAGACTTTAAACAGCCATTCCATGTTCCAACTTTCACAGGTCATACTAGTTTCTTTCAGACTTTCATTAGGCATGGAAATCATACCAACAGAAATGTAGCCACCGCCCTCAAAATCCACCTCACAAGTCCAGCGGTGTTACTCTAATCACATACCAAGAAGAAGAAGAAATCCAATATCTATATACAAAGGCACACAAGGCCTAACTGAGCCCAATGGCATCGTGCCATCGTCAGTTCACCACGAGGCCATTGGAGCCAATGGCCGATTCTCGACGAAGTTCGTCGCCTGCCCATAGTGAGAATTGTGCAGCAGGATCAGCTTCAGGCCCTTGGCGGGCTCCATGGGCCTTGGGATCCTCCTCCTGGCTCCATGGTGGCTGTTGTAGTAGTTCTCCTCCAGGGTAGTCTCGTCCAGGCACGACCAGGCTGAACCTCTCGGCGCGCTGGCCGCCCACATGAACCTGCTGGAGCACGGGTTCACCAGGGTCTCCCTGAATTCCTTTGCTCCCTCGCAAGGGAATCCCTTCAATAAGACAGAAACACAATGAACTCAATTTTAAATGGGTGGAGTATGGTTTATACTCTGGTTCAGTGGCTCTAATTTGCATGAACTGCAAGGACCGAGTCAAGTTAAGGAGTTTAAGGTTACCTCTGCCATAGCTTTGATCTTAAGCGTGACGCTGTTGGACAGGATGACGATGTTCTGGTTTCCTTTTAGTTTGTTGAAAAGGAGGGCGCAGTCAAGAACGCGATCTTCTGTTTTCGGGGAGACGATATCTGAGAAGCTTCTCGGGGAGAACAAGGCTATCGGATTGAAGGTGCCGGCAGAGATTTCTCTTTCTCCATTGTTGCATAGCGCTGTAGGGGTTGCAGGTGGAGTTGGTGCTACTGGCAGCATCTCGGTTGAACTCTGAACATGGATCCACCAGCTCTCCTTTTCCATGCACTCATTGATCCATTGGAGCATGGAGGTGGCCTTTGATAACATTCTGAACAATCTCTCCCGCTTTTTCAAGCACTCAAGCTCCCTGATCACTGACAAAAGGGTAAACAAGCTTTCAGCTAACAAACAAGAAGCATAGCATGGAAGATGCAGTCGGTTCAGTTAAAAACAAGGGTATGGATTACAAGTGACAACTGCACTAAACTCAATAAAGCATATTGCACTGTGAGCGACAAACATAGTGAGAAATGCAATGCAATGGACCACTTTATACATAGGTGAGCGTGCGCATGCTAAACAGCACAAGAACCAAACATACAAGGTTAATTGCATCTATTTAGTACTATCTCCATCCCAAAATATAAGGGCTTTTGGCAATATAAATGCATAGCCAAAAGCCCTTATATTTTGGGGCAGAGGTTGTAAGAGAATAGCAAGACAGTTAAAGCTACAGAAGCAACTTGTCATTCACTCAACATCACAAAATCCATGGATTACAGGTAGTAAAATCTAGCATGGCATATTTGTTAGAACTAAGCAGCACGACAGAATGACAGATCATGAATTCAGATATAAACAGTACATAAAAAGAATATACGCTGGAAGATATTGCAGGCAACCAAGTTAAAGCATTGGTTAAATGTCTAGTAGACCGAAAGGTAGGTGGACGGGTGAAAAATTTACTATGATAAAGCTCTTAACTTACCAATCATTGGTATGACCAATTGAGTTCCTTTTAAGCCTCTTAGCAGCATGATGGACTTCCTAGATTCATCATCAAGAAGACATTCCATATCAGTTACCATGGTCCAGACTTTCATTCCTTCTTTGGTCTTTTCAGACTCTTGTCCTTTGTGCTGTTCAGCAACAAAAATTAACTTAGTTCAGATTCCTTATCAGAAGAAAAAAAGGGAAAAAATATGTAAAAAATGGAATATTATTGACAAGAACTTACTGGAACATTATTCAGTTCACCCTCCAACTTCATTGCCACATCAACTGCTCTAGGATTAACCTGGGTACTATCAAGTGAACTAGTGTGTCTTAAGGGAGAATTCGACAAGAGTGTCTGGAAGGGGAGCCTATCAACCACCCTTTTCTTTGTGATAGTACTTTCCATTCGTGCACGGTTTTCAGACAAATCCTTTGTTTTCCGAGAAGCAGAAGATACTGGCGTCAAGTTCTCTTTGTCAGAGTAGAAGGCCTCTTGATCTTGGTCAGCATCCACTGTGAGGCTCTTTGGAAGACATCTCCTTGCTTTAATGCCTCCTGAAGATATAGGTGTCAAATTTTCCTTATCAGAATAGAAAACATCATCATCTACTGCGTGACAAACTTTGGACTTTGCTGATAATTCATTGGGTTCTTGTCTATGGATCCTCCTTTTTGAAGTGCATTCTACAGACAGCGAATTATCCACCCTTGGTCCAAGAACCTTCCTACCAATGATGGGCTTCAGATCCCTGGAGGCTGGTGTCACATTCTCTTTGTCTGGGAACAGGTTTCCTTGTCTCACAGGGGATATAGTATCATACTTTTCAGGAGAAAGCACTGAGGTTTCCTCGTCTGTAAGGATGCTATCTTTGAAATCTAGATGTGCAATTGTCATAAACCCTGCATGGCTCTTCTGCATATTTGCATCAACTGAAGTTAGCGGGATAAGATTCTTGGCGATAAGTTCATTTGAATTCATCTGTTCTCCAATGCTCAATATGGAACTTTCATCATCTGAAAAGTCGTTATGTTCCAAATTAAGAGGGGAAATGGAATCCATCAATTCTTGGGAAATGGTAGTGGGCTTCAACCTTAGCTGACTTCTCTCCACTATTATATCTCCTGAGACAAAGGGGGTGATGTTCTCCTTGTCCCATGGACTGTTCTCTTCATTTTCTTCATTTCCTTTCATGTTCGAAATTTCAAATAGATTCTCACTGATTGTGCCTTCACTCTCAGAGTCCTCAGGAGCCACAAAAATCTTACTTTGAGCAAAATTCTCATTGCTTGTGAGAGTTGCATCCAAGTTAAGAAGGGTTAAACCTTCATGCCCTGTGTCTTTGTTGCTGTTTGTATTTTCATCAGATATGTCTTGCATGAATGGATTTTCTAAGATGGGCCCAGACAACTCCTTATGTACAGAAGCACAAAGCTGTAGGATTTTGCTGTCAGTGAAGTCATCGCCTTTGAAAACCAGAGGGGAAACAAAATGCAATAATTCTGATATCTTCTGTGGATTTTCACAAACTGAATCTTGTGAGATACAATTCACAGAGTTGAAATCATTATGCTCTGTCTCCTTAGCAACACTCAGCACGCAGTTTTCATTATCTGAAAATGTTTCATAGTCCAAATTCAGAGGGGCAACATAATGCACAAATTCTTTGGATTGAAGATGATTTGTCTGTTCCTGATTCTCCTCCATCATAATTCTGTCCAAGATATTCATCTTTTCCTTTTCTTCAGCTTCTCCGACATAAGAATTATTAAACAAAACCATGCAGGCTTCACATTCTATCCCACAGTTCTGAGAACATATAGGATTCTCATTTTGGTTTTCTTCTTTCTGATAGCTGTAACTCAAAGGAGTAATTCTTTCCTTGCTTCTGCCAGTCTCAATGCGGAGGGTTTTGACTGACTTCAACTTGGACCTCCTGGCATTTGAAGTGTCCTTTTCGCCTGACTTGACTGATCTTCCAGCATCTTCCACTGTGGCAAGCATTGGTTGTGTAATCGAAGATTCAACAGAATATATAACATGGTTCTCTTCAATCAAATTTCCCTCAATCCTTCCCTCTCTGCTGTCATCAAATTCTGGAACTGAAGATTCTTCCAGAGCAAATAAATCAGCGAACTCAGGTATAGGTGGTGCTGAGGGAATCACATTAGCATGAAAATCAATTTGTTCTGACACAACTTGTTGGCTTGTCTCCTGAGAATTATATCAGATAGTTAGCCTTCCAGAATATGAACTCAAAATTCCAAAGGGAAAGAAAGAAAATCAAGTAGTAGAACCTAAGTCAACAGTGCGATTAGTATTTGACTGTAAGCAATGGAGATTTTGATTTGGTAGGATTTAACTTCAACATGCAAAATATATACCATGCATCCAGTGCAACACATGGGCGTATAACATTCAGACAAATAGCCAAACTAATTGTTTAGCTTGAGATGAAAGTTATTTTTATAATCAATGCATCTAAAGTAACAACCATTCGCAAGCCATATGAAATCACTTTGGAGCAATTTAGATAGTGCACAATATAATCAGCAGCTCCCAATATAACACATAGATTTTTACCCTAATCTGCTCACATGCACAACGCATTTAGGCCATTATGAAGTGGCCGAGATTTTCAAAACCACAACGCAGAAGATTTCTATAGATGGTAAAAGCATCACTAAAATAGCATTAGGCAGAACTCCAGAACGACAGTGTATAGCAAAAGCAGCTAAAAGTCATCGTTTATTAGAAACTTGACATTTCCAATGAAAGGGGCAGGGGCACTACTCTAAGCAACTACTAATTCAAAATTGCTGGGTACTGGATTATTTAGTTATCAGTTAAGAATTAACAGAGCAGAGCAAATAGGGAATCCAGTAGCACATATTAGACTTCAAAATAGTTTGTAATGCATTTCATAAAACTGTGAGCATAGAGTATCAATAAAGTGGATGAGCTAATAGTCATTTGCCATGAAAGAATTTAGCATGTATTTTATTATTTTGGCAATCAGCAGCAGCCAAGGACATTTCTATCGCCTGCATCATATGAATTTCGGCAATCAAGCCTATTGCTTAGCGTTTCAAAACGCTCAACACATATGTCCAGAATTCTACCAAACTATAGAACATGATAACATGACAAAACACACTGATAATTTCAGCATCCAGTTACATGAGTTTACGGGGATCAGACCTGATGAGTCTCAGTATCCGCTGACTCCTTTTGATCAGGCTCCAACTGCTTGCTTGCCTCCTGAGCATTTCAACAAACACTTATATTGCAACAACCATGCCCCCAAAATAATCACAGCTATGGCACTGATCAGAATAGAGAATCTGCTACCTGACAAGTACTAAGCTCCTCCTTATCCTCCTCCAGCAGCGGTGGCAGCAGATCCTCCATGTCAAATGCTTCCGGGAGCGACAGCCAGTGAAGCCGGTATTCCCTCCTCGAGCTCCCAAGCCGCAGTACATCACCGGCTGTCAGCTCCACCGGAGTGTTCGGTGGGATCCTTCGTCCCGAGATCCAAGTCCCATGCACTGTGTAAAATTCACAGGACAAAAATGGGTCAATGCCATGTTAGCTTTTGCCTCATTTTGATCCAAATCGCAAGCAAATATTCGCCATCATCGCAGGAGCTAATCGAGTGATAATCGAAATGAGCTAACGCACGCGTCCACCAAAAATCCCCAAATGAAGCCTCAATCAAAACCAGCCACGCGCACAGGGAGATCGAGGGAGAGGCGGAGCGAGAGGCGCGGGGGAGGAGCGGAATCTCACCGGAGGAGAGGTCGGTGACGGTGATCCGCCGCTGGCGGCGGCGGGAGCGGACCTCGAGGTGGAACCTGCTGACGCTGGGGTGGTCGACGAGGACGTGGCACTCCGGGTGCCGCCCGAACATCACCGGCGGATCCTCCTCCTCCCCACCCCGCCCCCGCGCCGCCTCCTCCACAGGCAGCGGCGACGGGGGCGCGTTGAGGAAGATGTTCTTCAGCACGACTCCCCCCTTGGACACCGCGAACGCCGCGATCGGGGCCTCCTCCCCCTCCGCCGCCGCCGACGCCATGCTGCAGGCAGGGCTAGCGATCTGCGCGTGCGCCGCGATCGGAGACGAGGCGGCGGCGCGACTCGCTGGGTTTGAAGCGTTGGGATTTTTTGGGGGATACGAAATCTGTGGAGACTAGTAGTAGTAGAGGCGGGGGATCTCGCGATCGAGGAGACGTTGGAGGAGGGGAGAGGAGGCGCCGGGTGGGTTCGGATTTGGAAGCTTCGGAAATGCAACGGCTAGAAATTTTATTCTAGAAAAAGATAGAGATAAGGACAAACGTGCGCGTTCCGTTGGGCCGGGCCTGTAAGATGTTTGGCCCAATCAGCATTGGCTCATACGAGGCCTAGCCCATTTATAGGGTTGGGATTATTTTTGTTGGTAATAAGTTTAGGTATCTTAATTTGTTGCCGAGTCTAAATTTCGTCCCTGAACCACAATACTAGATAGATAGGATGCGTCACTCAACTCCCATAACCAGTTGAAATAAGGTCCTTATGCGGTTTGCACAATGATTTTGGTTGACGTGACTTATTTGATTAGGTCTTCGTTCCACGTGGGATTGACGTGACGCTTATGTGGTAATTCAATCCGGAAAAATAATAAAATCATGGGGCCCACATGCCAATTACACCACAAAACAATAAAAAATGGTGGGGGTCCACGTGGACCCTATTGTCATCCTCTCACCTTCCCTCTTCTCTCTCCTCTCTCTTCCACATTATAATTTTTAAATATTATAATATAATTACAATGCAAGTGTATGTAATTTACATTTGACTATTTTTTAAAAGAAAAAATTGTGGCACCATAAATATAAGCAGTCCCTTCTCTTTTTTCTTTCCTTTTTCCTCTTCCAAATTTCTCTCATCATAAATATTTTTATTTTAAAATTATCATCGTTTAAGGTGTATATGCTGTGAGATTGTTACTTCGCAAATGCTTTTCATCTATAGTTAAAAAATTTTACTAATTAAATAACCAAAATTTAATCTTTGGTTGATGAGGTATAGCAAAATGTTTTAACTTATGGAATAGATACTAGATCAATACTTCAACACTTCCCATCAGCCGACGAGGATGCCTGACGATGAACCCAAGTGTCTGTGTCACCGACGCGGCGCCACGTTGAAGTTCATCGACATCGGCAACACCTGCGACACCACCCAGGGTTGGAAATTTTGGACCAAAATTTCGGTCATTTCGGTCCCCTCCGATACGATATTACTTCGGCCGAAATTTTTAAATTTTTAAATTTTTTCATGAATTTTGGTAATATTTGTTCAAATTCAACTAAATTTTGTTCACAATTTCAGAAATTTCGGTGACCTCCGATCAAAGTGAACCCTGACACCACCCTCTGCGACCATTCCAGTGGCGCCTTCATCGTCAAGACATGGACACTAAGGATGAACGACGACGACAACATGGCGTGGACCATGGACACCATGATTGATGCCACCAACGCCTACGCTACCACCAGCGCATCCCACGTGTCAATCCGGAGTACCCCGTCGCGAGCACAGACGACGCTGGACATCGAGAAAATTGACATTTTGCCGTTGTCAAGATAGAGTTTCACTAGAATGCCATCCCACAAGTTAGCTTCGTTAAAATACCACTTTCAAACTAGACTAACACGGTACAATGCCATTTTTTCAACTTCTTCACAATTAAACGATTTTTCCATATTTTGTTTCGTGAAGGTGACCAAAATACCCTTCTCTCCCTCTCTTTCGTTCCCATCTTCCCCTGGCATAGTAGCCGCCGGCGCCGCCAGGGTGGGACACAGCTCAAGCGGGACGGGGAGAGTGACCAGGAGACAGTGTGCCGCCGCGCCCCTTCCCTGCCAGCTCCTCGGCGGCGCAAGCAAGGAGTCCATGGTCGAGCGCGCTGGCCCGCCAGCCGAGCAAAGGAGAACCAATCTGCGGACGACATCAGTTGGATAAGCATAGTATCATACATACACCAATATACAGGCTTGCTACTTCGCGTGACACACAGGGAGCTACCAAGTACCAACAATCAGCAGTACGCACATCCTGGCCAGAGGAGCAAGGTCGACCTCCTCGGTGTCAATAGTGGCCGACGGCAAGCAGCACATGCACAACAGAAGGGAGGCGTCGGGGCAGTGCGCGGCCGCGGACTGCGACGAAGGGCGAACTGGAAATGGCTGCAGGAGAACAAAGACCAGTGGAGGGCGGAACTTGTTGCTTCTTTCGGCAGGAGAACGAAGAACAGGACTCGGCAGGTTCGATCGATTTATCCAGGGGCATTTTGGTGAGTCAAGTTATGAAATTATAGCAAAATAATTTTAATTAGGAAGAAACGGAGAAAATGGCATTGTAGCGAATACCACTTGGTTGAGAGTGGTATTTTAATGAAACCATATTTAAAGATGGTATTTCAGCGAAACCCATTTTTAAGGAGGGCATAATCTCTATTTTCTCCGCTGACATCACCTGAGATACCGGGGTTGGCCTGTGATGATTTAATTTGTTGAGGGCCTATATGCATTCTTTGCCATGACAATTAACGATTTGTTTAGGGCTCCCTATGAGTTTGAGAAAGAAATGACTGTTGATGGAAATTAAGGCCGGTGAAACTTCTTCTGTCTGCTCTGTGCGACAGACATAAAAAAAATGCATGAGATACTTTGTTGTAAATTACTTCTGGTAGTACTACACTGTGCGCTTTTGATATTGGTATACCAATGGTAGAGATCCTAATTACTTGCAAAAAGAACCTTGTTGTAAATATTATATGTATTCTACAATATAATAAATCATATAATAAGCTACATAGTCACAAAACTACACACCCTGTTTGAGGAGCTCGAGATCCTGATAAGTAGGTTATAACAATATAAAAATATTGGGTTTTTCAACTACTGACTTTTAATTTATTTTTTAGATTATATGACTACATACTCTCAAAATATAGGTGAGAACCTATACCGTTTAGAAAGCTAAAGATTCTAGAAGTTGTAGCTACCATAAACTCCCCAAACAAAGGCAAAGTTTGATGTTGAAAATTTAAGGATGAATAGTCAGTTCACTCCTTCAACTTTTGCTCAGAGGTCGAATTAGTCCTTCATGTTTTATAATGTCCAAACAGGACCCTAAAGATTATCATGCGGCTTAATATAGTCCTTACACCCACTTAAAACGCCACATGGACATGCCACGTCATTCGTGCATGTAAGATAACATTTAAATGTCCATTTTAACCTTCAATTTTCTATCAAATAAAGAAAAGAAAAACAAAAAGAAGCAATCATAAAACAAAAAATGTTAATTTTTTTTTATCTATCAATGCTACATATTTTTGCCAATGGTCAAAAGCTTTTTTTTGTGTGTTTTCTCAATAGTTTTTCTTTATTTCATATGAAAACATAAGGGTGTAAAGAACATTTAAATATTGAATTTGCATGCATAGATGATGTGGCATGTACACATGACATGTTTAGAGGGTCTAAGGACCATATTGAATCACACAATGAACTTAAGGTACTTGTTTGGACAACACGAAATGTTAGGGACTAAATTGATCCTTAAGCGAAAGTTCAAGGATCATGTTGGGTATTCACCCAAAATTTAACACAAATTTATGTACTTAAGCCATGAAGCTGTGAAATTATGGATTTAGCATTGAATTTATTGCAAAAGGACAGCATTGTTGTCCCGTTGAAACTTTGAAATATGTGTATTGTAATGAAATTGGCACCAAAACTATAGTTTTCATATACTATGATTCAATATATAGTTTTATGATAAATTTGATGGTTAACATGTAGTATTATAATATTGTGATTGACATATCTACTTAACATATCCAGCAGAACTTCAATCATCGTTTCTTAAAAGAATTACTCATCTACTTTTGGTTCGAATTTATGTAATCAAATTCAATAAGTCAAATTATAGTTTTGTCTGAAGTAACTCCTCTCAGTTCTATTGTGTTGGTGCTTTCATCTTTAAGGGTGATGTACATCATTGTCAATTTTCTTTGCGGAGAAACTTACGATTCTTTATAAAGTACTTTAAGGTATCTAAATTTTACACTAAAAATTTTGATACCTCGAAAAACCTATAGTATCTAGAGATACTAAGTTTTACAATAAAAGATGATTATATTAGGTCACCGTGCATGGAAAGCCCCATTGACTAGTTGCTCTGGAAAGAATGGTACTGAAGGTGAAAGTCACTAGTACAAGAATAAGGCTTCAGGATACAAAGCTGATTTTTTTTTTCGGTGCGCTTGCACCAAATCAATATTTTCCTGATGGAATTTATCATTAGTGACGGGCATGCGAGCACTGACAAGAAAACAGGATTATCTATTCTTGGCGTGACAGTTATCTCTGTGTATAAAATTACATAGTAGCTTTTGTTTCAAACATGGTTAGATATCTACATCGATGGTTTGGTTGCTCAGCCTATAAATGAATTGAAGAGTTGTAGATTAAGGAATTTTGTGAAATGAGTGGCATGAATGAACTGAAGTGCGTGATGCAGCTAGCTAGCCAGACCGGCCGCTCTCTGGTGTTCTCTCTCTAGCGCAGTTGTGAGTTTGAGCTTCTCCTGTCGCTTGTGTTCCTGTTTAATTTTGCTATTAAAATTTGAATTGCATTTGTTCATTTGGCCTCCTGGTAAGTATGGAATTCATCTAATTATATCATTTTCCTCCATACTAGCTCCATAAAAACTGATCAGAAACATGAATCTTGTCTTCTAGAATAGATTTGATCATCAGTTGACACGTGCTATATACTCCCTCGATGTCTCTGTCCCAAAATAAATGCGCACTTCTAGTTCAAATTTGAATAGAGGAGCCTATTTTTTGTTTGGGTTAGTTGGAAAATCCATATCATTATAAATTTCACGGTTTAGAAATATACTATTATTATTCACCTATTTGTAATTATATCATTTCAATTTTAAAGTATTAGAGATATGCCACTATATATCTTTTTACTGTACTCCCTCCATCCCTAAATGTTTGACGCCGTTGACTTTTTTAAACATGTTTGACCATTCATTTTATTCAAAAACTTTTGTGAAATATGTAAAACTATATATATACATAAAAGTATATTTAACAATGAATCAAATGATAGGAAAAAAATAATAATTACTTAAATTCTTTTGAATAAGACGAATAGTCAAACATATTTTAAAAAGTCAACGTAGTCACACAATAAGAGACGGAGGGAGTATTTTCTAACCTTTTAGGACAAATCTACCCCTGTCTTCTCCATTCAATCGTTCATCCTTTCTTTCCTCTGATCCTCTCTACTGTCCCCTTTCAACCTGTCATCGCCGCGTCCACCGCAGCGTCGCACCCCGCCGTTGCGCTACGGCTCCTCGGCCTCCTCGCCGGACATCGCTCTCCGGATGTGAGGACTGAGGCGCCGCCGGATCCAACAGCAGCAAGCAAGCCCTGTCTACAGCCTTCCAATGTTGAAATACTTTATTTTGCTGCAACCCTCTAGCATCCTGCTCCAACCTTGTAGCGCACAAATTACAAATACTTTGTTCTTGTTGCAGCCTTACTGCGTCCTGGCATCCTGCTTGTCTAGGGATTGTTCTTGCTGTATGCCAGAGCTGAGAGGAGAGAGAAAGGGAGGGGAAGAAAGAAGAGGATGAGGAGGAACAAGAGAAGGTAATTTGGTTTGGAAATCGAAGTGAAAGGGTAAGTAGTGGTATATCCCAAATACTTGTTAAATTATAATGGTACGGATCCAATTAGCCCTATTTTTAAACAGAGGGAGTATCTAATATGTCTTGACGCCCATTCTGCAAAATTAATATAGCTATCATGCAAGGGCAAAAGATTTCACATGCTTGTTTTGACTTGTATTTTTGGTGTAGGAGCAATTAAGAAAGGCAAGTCCTCAGAAAAAGGAAATACCTGATTATTAATTTTTCATGCAGGTAATTCTTAACAAAATTAGAATGAATATTTGCTAGGACATTTTTGAACACCTTTACTATTAAAGTAGTAGGTGACACTTCCATTTTTGTCCAGAAAAGAATGCTTGGTTCACACTTAGTATTTATAACTATTCAGAGTTTCTTGCTTTTATTATCTATATGAATATAACTAAGACATAAATTCGGCAGAGTTGGTTAATTGGTCATGAAGTTTACCACAATCCGGCAGTATCTGTTGGTGCTTATGGCTAGCAGTATAATCAAAATCATGTGCAGCTCATTATATGGGAACGAGACAGATCGACTCTCACTACTTGAGTTCAAGAAGGCAATCAGTATGGATCCACAGCAAGCCCTGATGTCCTGGAATGACAGTAATTACTTTTGCAGCTGGGAAGGTGTCTCCTGCAGGGTGAAAACTCCACATCGCGTTATCTCTCTAAACCTCACAAATAGAGGATTAATTGGGCAGATGTCTCCTTCTCTTGGAAACCTAACATTCCTCAAATTTCTCTTTCTACCTGCAAATTCATTTACTGGAGAGATCCCTCAGTCCCTTGGCAATATGCATCACCTGCAAATTATCTACTTGAGCAACAACACATTGCAAGGAAAGATACCTAATCTTGCAAACTGTTCCAACCTCAAGGTGCTATGGCTGAATGGAAACAATCTGGTAGGACAAATCCCTGCAGATTTGCCTCAACGCTTTCAAAGCTTGCAACTCTCAATCAACAGTCTTACTGGACCCATCCCTGTTTATGTTGCCAATATCACAACGCTGAAAAGGTTTAGTTGTCTGTATAATAACATCGATGGCAACATACCAGATGATTTTGCAAAGTTACCTGTGTTAGTATACTTGCATCTGGGTGCAAATAAATTGGCAGGTCAGTTTCCACAAGCTATCCTGAATCTTTCTACTCTTGTTGAACTTACCCTTGCTTCCAATCATCTGAGCGGAGAGTTGCCGTCCAATATTGGTGACTCTGTACCAAATCTCCAAAAGTTCCAATTGGGCGGCAACTTCTTTTATGGGCATATCCCAAATTCATTGACAAATGCTTCCAAGTTAAATCTGATCGATATATCAATCAATAGTTTCACTGGGGTTGTGCCTAGATCCATTGGCAAACTTACCAAACTGTCTTGGTTAAATCTTGAGCTGAATAAATTCCATGCACATAGCCAGAAAGATCTGGAGTTTATGAACAGCTTAGCCAACTGCACTGAGCTACAAATGTTCTCCATATATGGTAATCGCTTTGAAGGCAATGTGCCAAATTCTTTTGGAAACCATTCCACTCAACTGCAGTACATACACATGGGATTAAATCAGTTCTCAGGATTAATTCCTTCTGGTATAGCAAACATTCCCAACTTGATTGCTTTAGAATTGGGTGGTAATCTGTTTACAACTGTGATTCCAGATTGGCTTGGAGGTCTCAAAAGCTTGCAGACCCTAAGTTTATTTAACAATTTATTCACTGGACCCATTCCACCATCTCTGTCCAATTTATCTAATTTGGTAGAACTTGGTCTAAGCACAAACCAGCTCGATGGGTACATACCACCAAGCTTGGGATACCTCCAAGTGCTTGAGGAATTTACTATTTCCCATAACAATATTAATGGTTGGGTACCAAACGAAATCTTCGGTATTCCAACAATATCATTAATTTGGCTATCATTCAACTATTTAGAGGGAGAACTTCCTTCTGAAGTAGGCAATGCCAAGCAGCTCATGTACTTGCACCTTACATCTAATAAACTGTCTGGAGATATTCCAAGTACTTTGGGTAACTGCGAAAGTTTGGTAGACATCAAGTTGGACCAGAATGTTTTTACTGGAAACATTCCCATAACATTAGGCAACATAAGTAGCCTAAGAGGGCTTAACTTGTCTCACAATAACTTAAGTGGGACAATACCAGTGTCTCTTGGTGACCTAGAACTTCTTCAACAACTAGATTTGTCTTTCAACCATCTTACAGGTCATGTCCCAACAAAAGGAGTGTTCAAGAATACGACTGCCATACAAATTGATGGGAATCAGGGGCTTTGTGGTGGTATACCAGAGTTACACCTGCTTGAATGTCCTGTCATGCCTTTGAATTCAACCAAGCACAAGCATTCTGTTGGACTGAAAGTAGTGATCCCATTAGCCACAACAGTGTCACTTGCTGTAACAATAGTATTTGCCTTGTTTTTCTGGAGAGAAAAACAGAAGAGGAAATCTGTATCTTTGCCCTCATTTGATAGCAGCTTTCCCAAAGTCTCTTACCACGATCTTGCTAGAGCAACAGATGGATTCTCGGCATCTAATTTAATTGGCAGGGGAAGATACGGTTCTGTATATAAAGCACAACTGTTTCAGGGTAGAAATGTTGTTGCTGTCAAAGTCTTCAGTCTAGAGACAAAGGGAGCACAAAAGAGCTTCATTGCAGAATGTAATGCTTTGAGAAATGTGCGGCATCGCAATCTAGTTCCTATCCTTACTGCGTGCTCAACTATTGATTCCAGGGGAAATGATTTCAAAGCCTTAGTGTATAAGTTCATGACACGTGGTGACTTGTATGAGTTACTATACTCAACTGGTGATGATGAGAACACTTCAACTTCAAATCATATTACACTGGCTCAGAGGTTAAGCATTATAGTGGATGTAGCAGATGCATTGGAGTACCTCCATCACAATAACCAAGGAACTATTGTCCATTGTGATCTTAAGCCTAGCAATATTCTCTTGGATGATAATATGACAGCTCATGTTGGGGATTTTGGGCTTGCAAGATTGAAAATTGATTCAACAGCATCAACTTCTGCTGATTCAACTTCTTCAATTGCAATAAAGGGCACAATTGGATACATTGCTCCAGGTGCCGCCCATTTTCATACAGCACTATACTTTTTTTTTCCATTTTCAATTGAGAATTGTTCATGCAAGTTTCATTAACATTTTTTTAATTGAAGTTTCATTAACATTTGGAATAATTCAATAAACTCTCCTTTTCTAAATGGTCTATAGAGTGTGCATCAGGTGGTGGTCAAGTTTCAACTGTTGCAGATGTTTATAGCTTTGGGATTATTCTTCTTGAAATATTTCTACGGAAGAGACCAACAGATAATATGTTCAAGGATGGTCTGGACATCGCAAAATATGTTGAGATGAACTCTCCAGATAGAACACTAAATATTGTTGATCCAGAATTACTAGACGACAAACAATTGCAAGAAATTCCTGTAACCATGAAGGAAAAATGCATTGAGTGTTTAGTTTCAGTGCTAAACACAGGACTTTGCTGCGTTAAGATATCCCCTAATGAGCGCATGGCAATGCAAGAAGTGGCTGCAAGGTTACATGTCATTAAGGAGGCATATGCCAAAGCAATCTCTGGTAATAATGGCATTATTTGTATCATACGGAGTACTATATAAATAAGTATGCAAACAGCTGATGCTTGAGGCTTGCATTGCAGATTCGCAGGCAGTTATCAGCGACAAAACTTAGTCGCTGACGAAGTAGAACATCCGGCACATGAGGTTGCATGCTGTTTTTTTCTCTCGTATTTATTGTAAGGATTCTGACGTAATCTGATGGAGAAAGCAGGCATGCATGCTTGCAGTAGCAAATATGTTATGCTTTTTCCACTGAAAGTTATAAATAAATTTGGCTTTGTGACATTATTGAATTATAATTATGAGAAACTGGATATATTTTGTATTGTTGCCAAAAATGATGACATTTTCCTCCCACAATTTATTCTAAAGGTTGCCAGTAACTTCTCCAGAATGACCACAATATAACATAATCTTCCAGATCAAACGCATGCAAGAAAGGGTAGAGATATGATATTCTTGTAATTTCTAATGCATTTATATAAGAAAAGGATGCAGTTCTTGCAGTATTATCAGACGGCATGGAACAGAACATTTTCAGCAGGGACTCTCAGGGCGTCCTGATCCTATTTAATTATGAAATGATGCAAGATGCAAGGAAGAATGTAGTGTATACCTCCAATTTTGTCCTAACTTTTACTGTTCCATCCTCTCTGCCACAAAGAATTAGGCAATAGATCTGCTCAGCTCTGCACAGAAAAAAATTGGGGAGGGGTTGGATGGACGTGAGGCAGTGGCTCGGCGGCAGGCACCAGCGCTGGCAAGAGAGGCTGGGAAGCAGCGGCGCCGGCGCCGGTGAAGAAGGTGGGCGAGGAGGAAGAAGGAGGGCGGCCGACTAGGCTAGGGAGAAAGTAAGTGCACATCCAGAAAATCATTTTGTTGGTGTTATAATATATCTATACTAATTATACTTAGATCATGGTGTTATAATATATGGATAAGCAGTTTCAGTACATGTTTTTCTTCTGCTGTAGATCCGCCTCTGGGAGGAGGAGAAAGAGGTGGCCATGGGAGGTTAGGGTAGGGAGGTATTAGTTGCCGGCGTAGCGTAGCGCTGGGGTGGTACAAGGCGGCGCGGAGATCTCCGGCGACTGGCCGGCGACAAGTTTCGCCGGGGAAGGGGATGCATTTTGCAGGAAGGTCCTTAATATTTTTGTGAAAAAAATGACACTTACTAATGGTCCTGTTTTGCAAAATAGCCCCTGCCTCGTTGCTGGTGGGCTGACATGTCCACATCCAGCCTGGCCCAAATTAACTGCTGATAGGGCCGGGCCGATAGAGTATGAGAAACAGAATTACGAGCCCATTGTCAGTGTAGTTAACGATGAAACTGTTTGGAAATGCCATCGCTCTGCCCATCAACCGTGAATAATTTTCCGAATCGAACCATCGATTTTATTAATTGGGTATTGTAGATCTCTTGGAATTCGACGGATAGATCGATCGAGCTAGGAACTCGAAAATATTAATGCGTCCAAATAAACAGAAATTTCAAAGTGCTCTCGAGAAATTAAAATTATCTAAATTTCATAGTGCCATCCGTTGATTCCTAGTCAAACTCATCTAAATCCGCTAGCCGCGGCCATGGAAACCCAACCGGAGATGGCGGTACCCACGGTGGCCGGTAATGCTCGAGCACATCGGCGAACTCGAGGTCGATCACGAGGATTCCTACTCCAACTCCTGCACAGCCGACGCCGTCGCCGCCAACACCGCGGCGGTGACCTCGCTCGCTGTCAGACCCCGGATATTCAGAGAAAGAAATGGAACCCAGAAATCGCTTTTGTGTGCGTCGCAAGGACCTAAACTAGGGTTCCTACGCTAGTAATCACCGACTCTCCCCATTGTGTCACATGGTCCTTTTGCTCTGTGATACTGTCAGGTCATAGACAAACAGTATAGCCAGCACAGTAACAAGAACAAGCTAGCATGGTGAACTACGAGTAACAATTTTTTTTCAGGAATAACACAACCCCAAACACCATATCGAAAATTATTAACTTTTAAGCATGAGTCACCAGCCTTCCTCTCCTAGTACTACACATGACAAACAGTAACAAACGGAAACAAGACGATCTCTACGCATACCCTTTGCCCGGCAGTGGCCGCCGCCCCGCGCCGCGTCCTTCCTCCTCGGCCTCCTTGCGCGCCTGCTCGACGCGCTCCTCGACCTCCCCCTCCGTGTACCCTTGCTCCTCGAGCGCGTCCCTCAGCAGGAGCAGCCGCAGCTCCACCTGCCGCTTCCGGTCGTGCTCCAGGATCTCCTTGCTCGGCTTCCGCATCCCGCCGGCGTCGTCGAACCCCGGGGCCGGGGGCGGCGCCTTCGGGGGCCCGCCCGCCGACGACGACCGCGGCTTGATGAAGAACTTGTTGGTCTGCACGTGCCCATTCGTGCCCGACCCCCGCGCGGTCTGGAGACCGATATATGCCGTTGTACATTGCGGCGGCGGCCGGGGAGGTGGTGGTGGTGGTGGGCCGGCGTAACCCTAGCTAGGGTTTCGATCGGTTTGGTTCGTCGCGAGATCGCAAGGCAATGTTTGGCTAATGGGAAATGGAAATGATTTCCACCAACAAAAAGACATCTTTAAATCCTACCCCCATTTCCCATTATCCAAACACACCCCAAATTCGGGAGGGAGACGGGATGAGAGAGAGAGAGAGGAGGAGGAGGAGGAGGCGAGCGTGATCTTATTCGGCGGCGCTTCGTGGGACGGAGAATAATAATTCAAGTCGGTTTCTGCCCCACTCGAATTGATGAAATTTTGGATTAAAGTGTACGCTTTTCAAACTGCTAAACGGTGTATTTTATATGAAAACTTTTGATATGAGAGTTATTCTAAAATATCAGATTAATCCATTTTTTAAGTTTGTAATAATTAAAACTCAATTAATCACATGCTATTACCATCTCGTTTTGCATAGAGCACTTAATCATCTTCATCTATATCTCAGGAGATTCAAACACCACCTACATAGGTTGCTTCGTGGCGAGATGACGCTACATATGGGGTATTTGTCGGCGGAAAGGGAAATATACATGTTTTTTCTTAAAAAAAACTGGAAATATACAGTTCAACCTTCGTTGTTTACTCTATGCTGATAAACAGACAAAAAAAACGAAGAAATCAAAATCAAATTTATAGGTAAAACTTTTATGTTATATATTTTTAAATGTCAATGTAAGAAATAAATTTTAATATAAATACTCAAAACTAACTTAAATTTTGAAAATTGTCTGCACTAATAAACTAACAAGCAAACGATGTTTTCAATCTCACCAGTAAAAAGGTCCACAGGTATGCAATAGGGAGGGTCGACGATACAAACATGCCTTGTCCTCATCGGCTTCTTCTTTTTTTCTTTTATTATACCGTAAGTTTACACATGCACACACCACAGTAAACGCAACACACTCACGTACCCACGAACTGTCTATGCGTAATATTCATGGATAATACTCCCTCCATCTCTAAATATTTGACGCCGTTAACTTTTTTAAATATGTTTGATAGTTCGTCTTATTAAGAAAAATTAATTAATTAATATTTCTTTTCCTATCATTTTGATTAATTGTTAAATATACTTTTATGTATACATATAGTTTTACATATTTCACAAAAAGTTTTTGAATAAGACGAACGGTCAAATATGTTTAAAAAAGTCAACGACGTTATATATTTAGAGACGGAGGGAGTATTATTTAAATCTTATTGGATGAAGTTATACAACCATGAATTCAACATCACACCACTAACGCTTCTCCATGAGTTTTCTCAAGGTGAAATTTGCATGTTTATGAATAGACCTTGATTTATTTAATTTTTTTTCGGGGGAACAGACCTTAACTGCAGCTTTCAAAACATTTAGGACCTCTTTGATTCAAAGGAAAATTCATAGAAATTTTAGATGATTTCAATCCTATAAAAATTTTTCCTATATAAATTTTGGAGAAAATTTAGGGGCAATTGCATCCACACCCCCACTTTCGAAGCCAATTGCTGTTTTACCCCCACTTTTTAGGGTTTGCACTTTTACCCCCTTTTTAATTTGAAGCAGCCGTCTACCCCCATTTGTGACAGCCGTTTGGTGGGTCCCACGATTTTGTGTTAAAAAATACAAAAGGAAATTTAAAAAAGGTTTTAGGAAATATGATATTACGTTTATACCCCTAAGGGAATGGATAGGAATATAGGATGAGTGAGTCTCCTCCCAGGCTGACACCACCATGCGTCGTTTTCCTGGAGATCAAAACCCTAGCGCCGACTGAGACCGGGCGGCGGCGTGCGCGCGGCGCGGAGGCTGCGGATCGAGGGCGCGCGAGAGCGGAGGCGTCGGCCGCAGGAACATTGTTCAGAGAACTCTCAATCGTGTGTAGTGGAGTACTAGTGTGTATGGTCACTGAAATGGCACTTTTAAGGAGGTGTTGCTATTGCCTTTTGCTTCACTACTCGGCTCCATTTATCTAAAAATATTAAGAGTAAATTGTGTCCGCGGTACATAAACTTGTTAGGTGGGTGCAATTTAGTGTAAAAACTTGAAAAACTCTCGTTTTGGTGCACAAACTTGTATAGGTGCGTGCGGACTATGACTAAATAGAATAGCAAATCTAATTTTGCTGAGTTGGATGATGAGTAGACCGCCAACTAAGCATTCACGTAAGAAGGACAGGTTTGCCTGCTCGTAAGCAATGGCCCTGTTTTATCAGAAAACCCCTTCTATTGTTTGGTATTTCGATCATGTATAATTTTTCAGTGAAACGAATCTGAGAGGTGTTCATAGCGGCGGGGAGCTGGGGAGGTCGAATCCGCGGTGGCTGTAGTGATGGGGGTCGAGCCCGATAGCTACGCCGTGGGGGGAGTCGAGTCCGACGGTGGCTACAACGGGTAGGTCAAGTTTGACGGCAGTGGCTGCAACAGTATTGCCGAGACTGACGATAGTGATAGATGGCGAGGAGGTCAAGTTTAGTGGGAGAGCTTAGAAGTTGATGCTGCGGTAGGCATTTGAGTGGCTTGCTTTAGGCCAACATCGGTTATCTCAGACTCTGACAATTCATATAGCAACTTTGAAGCCTAGCTCCAATGCTTCAGTGCAGACATTGAAGCAGCAAGGAATTAAGCCATTGTGCCGTCAGATTAACAGCATGAACATTAAATCCACTGAAGCAACAAGGATATAATGCTTAATTGTACACATTGTGACAAAATCTGAACACAATGAAACACGTGAGTGCATATTTTGAACAGAAACTGAGATCCTGAATAAAATTCAGTGAATAACCTGAATGAAAACTAAATGCATAACTTGACATGAATTTGATTGTGCACTAGTAATGTAGCTCAAAATCGATAACATGGAACCAACTTTATGAATGCATAGTATAAACTACTGTTTCTTTTTCTTGGGAGAGTTTTTCTTCTTGGGTGCTGCACTTCTCTTCCTCAATGTGGCCCTGCCTTGTTTGGTTGATGTGGTTAGTGGTAGTTGAACCCCTTCTCTCCTATTAGTAGCAATGAAAGCAGACTCTGGCACTGCTCCTGGATTCACCCTTTCTTGATGGTTGCTAGCAGCCTGTAAAAGATTATGTACTAATTTTATGATGGTTGCTATTAGCTGACAAAATGCTAGCTTAATGAAGGATTGTTTTTTCTTTGAGAACTTAATGAAGGATTGTCACCTCCTTAATAAAAGCTTCCACCACAGATGAACTCAGATAGTTAGAATTTTGCTGGGGTATGCTAAGCAGGTGCATTTCCTGAAACAAATATATGTTCTGTTTAAAATTCCTTGTTAGTGTAGCTAAACATATACACAAGCAAAATGAGCATCAATAGTACCTGAGTGATGACAGGTTCCTGAAACAAATATACAATGAGTTTAAAATTCATAGTTAGTGGAGATAAACAAATACACAAGCAAAATAAGTATAAATATTACCCGAGTGATGACAAGCTCTTCTGAATCAACAATTGATGAAGTCGCCATTTGCTGCATAGGTTGCTTCTGAAGTTTTAAGTCAGCCTTCCTCTGTTTACAACTAGTTTTGTTGTGACCACCATTTTTGCAGTAGCTACAATGCATCTCTACTCCATGCTTTGAAATTTTAGTCCCACCCTCTAGTTCTTGGGGCTGTTTTCTCCTAGTTTTCTTTGGCCTCCCCACTTTCTTCTCATATACTGGTGGCTTCACCTCTATACCCTGCATCTTCTCCCAGTGGATACTATCTCTCAGTGGCATTATGTTGTAGCTATAAGCTTGTTCATAGCACCTGGTTGAATAGCAAAATGACACTACATCCTCTGGCTTGATTCTTTCATGTCTTAGACAGGAAATGGCATGGTTACAAGGAATCCCAGTGAGCTGCCACCTCCTGCAATCACATCTCTTTACATTAAGTTCAACAATGTATTGAGATCCTCTGTCGCTAACCTGAAATGCTCCCATCCCAGCAGGCAAAACATAGCATGTATTAGCTATCTCTGTATTTTTCTCGACCTTCCGTTTTATTTTTGGGCAGAGGCCACATGGCCAATTCCTTTCTAGTTCTTTTTGCTTGGTGTACAACCTGTTCATGATCTGATTTCTAATCCTCTCAAGCATAGACAAAATAGGCATCTCCCTGGCATCAAGAATGTACTTGTTAAACACTTCTAAGTTATTGTTAAGAAGGATATCACACTTCGGAAAGTCACTGAAAAAGGCTCGACACCATTGGTTTGGAGGAATTTCTTCAAGGTACTTATAAGCTTCACTACTTAATGCCTTCATCTTTTCCATATTGGCATTCCACTCGGGCACAGTGCTAGATCTTGTAATAGCCCAAAGTTGGTTCTTTAGTGTCTCCCTTTATGTAACACTTGAAAATTTTAATATAGATGCCTCACACAGAATCTTTGTTCAGCATGAGAAAACTCCCTTCTCACAGCTGGAACAAGCCCCTGGAAACGAATTATAAAGAATTATAGTTAGGAACTAAAATGTAAGTTATGTATATTATGAAAAATCAGACGAAGTCATACCTTCTGCCTATCAGTCATCACTGTCCATGCAGATGTATTCTCAATGCCAAGGTCTTTTTTTAGAGTGTCAAGAAACCAACTCCAGCTTTTCAAGCTCTCAACTACAACTACTGCAATTGCAATGGGAAAAATGCAGTCATTTGGGTCCATACCAACAGCAGTTAGGATATGGCCACCAAATTTTGTTTTAATATGGCATCCATCAAGACAAATGATAGGTCTACACCCAGACATAAACCCTCTCTTGCAAGCATCGAATGACATATACAAAGTATGGAAGCAACCAAAATGTAGGTTCAGGTAGAATGAGCTCCCTAGGTTAGAGGTTCTCAATTCTTGTCCATAGTCCCATAATTGGTTGTACTGAGATATTTCATCTCCATATATGGCCCTCATAGCCATCCTTCTAGCTCTACCTAGCTTGTGCCTAGATGGTGTTAAGTGGAGTTCCTTCTGAATTTTCTTAGCAAAGCTCATCGGTGTCATTTTGTCATTATCTCTAAATTCCTCAATGTACCTTTTTGCAAGATACTTAGCTGTGACGGCCTTGATCTCCCACTGTTTAGAGCAGGTGTGCTTCTCTATATATTCCCTTACCACTAAGCATTTGACTCTATTATCCATAGATGCAGACAACATCCATGGACAACCTTCAGCACACTTAGCTTCAATTCTTGTTTTGGTATTCCGTGTCTTCTTAATAGCAACTCGGTTCTTTATAGTATATTGATCTATTGCTTTCCTAAGCTCTACAGCATCTGCAAACATCATGCTAACCTTGAACTCAGGTGTCTCCATGTCTACATCAGCCCTAAAACTCTTAAAACTGAACTTGATTTCTTCTTCTTCTTCTTCAGAAATATCTGGCATCATCAACCTTTCATCTTCAGATGAACCATAGTCTGAACCCTCCTCTTTATTATGCGCTAACTCAATTTGCCCTTCAACACAATTATCAAACAAGTCATCATCCTCATGATTAATCTCATAATCACTATCAACAAAATATGGATCTTCAGTTCTTGACTCCTCTTCATCATCAATTTTAGCGTCGGTAGCACGTTTATCTACAATCAACTCCCCACCATCACTCTTAGCCCTAATTATTTTACTTGGTTTCACAGCAGTACGCAAAGGATCTGAACCAATAATTGCCACATCATCTAAGTCACTAGCGTCGACTATGTCTTGATGATCTGCATACAAAACAAATGATCGGACCCTAGGTACAAGAGCGACCATACTATTAGTGTCTGCATCACACTTAACCCTCCTCAACCCATCATTTAATTGTTTGCCAGGAAGCAACCAGTAAATTTTGGTGTTATCAGATTTCTCATATCCTAGTTCTTCAATGAAATCATCAACCCACAACAGTGACCAAGAATCTGACTCACAATGGTCAAACCAGCTTACTCTACCATCAACATAAGCCCGGTTTACACTATCTCCTGATTTATCTCCTTTTGTTGCTAACTCAATTGGCAGTAGGCTATCGTGAAACTGATCTCTAGCATGGGCATCATCGTGGGCTACAACACAAAAGAAGATTCGGAGGAATCGGAAGATGTATGAGGGGTTATTTACAAATATGTGTAGCCAACTCACGCCCCCATAACGTGTGTATGCGCCAATGTGGCATCCTAATCACGAGCCAACTCAATAAGATTGGTGATGAAGTCATGTCTTGGCCTTGGTTCGCACGCACTACGCAAGTTTGTGTACCGAAACGAGAGTTTTTCAAGTTTTTACACTAAATTGCACCCACCTTACAAGTTTGTGTACCGCGGGCGCAATTTACTCAAATATTAACTAAAGTCCCTTTTTCTAATCATGGCTTTCATGAGCCTTAAACCCAAGTTTTTACAGACAAGTGACAGGTCGATGAATCAGGTCACTGTAAGAGCCTGTCAATACATTGTGCAGAGCGTGCAGCATCAGTGCACCTTCAGCCGTGGCTTATTTCTATGGGACACTATGTCAAAATTTTGTCGAAATGCTGTCGTAATTTTATTCAAATTTTGGTCAAATTTTGTATCTGCCTAGTATTTGTGATTTTTATTTGTTAAAATATAAAAACATCACAAGAGATGCTCACATTTGAATTATTTATAACACTCACAAAGCTGAAAAAATGGGGGCAAAATCACACAAAGCTGAAAAAATGAGGGCAAAACTACAATAACCAACAAGGGTATATATGTCATTTTCTCTATAACTAACACCGTTAGTTGTGGCTGTTACAAATGGGGGTCCATGGCTGCTTCAAATTCAAAAAGTGGGGTAAAACAAAGTGGGGGTATGGATGCAATTGCCCCGAAAATTTAACACGAGGTAGAACGTCATGAAAAAAAATCCTTTGGATCTTTATATCTCCTTGAATTTCTGCGTTTTTCCCATGGCTTAATCAAACGGTCATTCATATGTTTTTCTTATGTTTTTCTTGTATTTTGCAATTCTTTATTTTACACTTGCATTCCTATCATAATCATATGTTTTTTCTAATTGTCCGTTTTTGTTCATCTATGTGATTCAAGGAGGCCCTTAAATTAATCCAACAAGCAGTATGCTACTCCCTCCATTTCTAAATATTCGACGTTGTTGACTTTTTTAAATATGTTTGACCGTTGGTCTTATTCAAAAATTTTAAGTAATTATTAATTCTTTTCCTATCATTTGATTCATGGTTAAATATATTTATATGTATACATATAGTTTTATATATTTCGCAAAAGTTATTGAATAAGACGAACGGTAAAATATGTGCTAAAAAGTCAACGGTGCCAAATATTTAAAAACGGAGAGACTAGTATCGGCTGTGTTTAGTTCCAACCAAAGTTTGGAATTTGGTTGAAATTGAAGACGATGTGACTGAAAAGTTATGTGTGTATGAAAGGTTTGATGTGATAGAAAGTTAGAAGTTTGGAAAAAAACTTTGGAACTAAACACACCCATGGATCAGGATCAGTATAGAGACAGATACATGCAATCGATCCAACACTCCCCTGTACGAGGACAAAGCTTAGGTGCAACAGGTTACTTCCCGCGGTGGCCAAATTCACACGAGCAGACAGAAAAACCGCCACGTACGCTTGCCAAGTCACGGGACGATGCTTACCTCCACGCTCATCGTCACCCACCGTGAATGCCTTGCTGCTCGATCTCTGCACCTGCGTTTGCTGCCGCCGACAAGCAAGCCACGGCCACGAGCAGCCATGGATTCCTCCTCGATCGCATCGGTGACCATGTCCTCACGCCATTGCAAGCACTCTGCACTGCAACAACCTATAAAGACTCAGCCGCCATTGACGCCACCGTTGCAATCTCCATGACCAGCAGCAGATCAAGAAAATGGCGGCGGCGACGGCGAGAGCGAGACGGCCTCATGTCCTCTGCTTTCTCCTCCTCGTGATGGTCATGCCATGCGCGATCTCGGCCGCTGATCTGGCGTCGGACGGCCGTGGGAGGTTGTATCAGGTGGCCATGGACCAGGCCGCGCGCGCCCTCGCCGAGGCCCGGGCGGCGCGCCGGGACGACCCGCGCGACGGCGTGGCGCGGCGGGGCGCCGCCCAGGCTTGGGCCGACTGCGACCAGCTCGTGGCGTTCGCCGTCGGGCACCTGAACCGGACGGTCGCCGCGGCGGCGAGGGGGGTTGACGGCGACGACGTGGCGGCGTGGCTCAGCGCCGCGCGCACAACCGTGGGCACGTGCCTCGACGGGTTCGGCGAGCTCGGCGCGTCCCCCGGGCCGGAGTTCGCCGCCGCGCTGGCGAACGTGTCGAGGCTGGTGACCGACGCGCTCGCGGCCACCGCGCTCCGGCGCGGGACGGAGAATGGCGCGCGCGCTGCAACAAACTCAGGCGATGGCGACGGCCGGATGCTCCCGCTCGACATGGCGAGGCCGGGAGACGCCGACGTGGTCGTGGCGAAGGACGGGACGGGCCATTTCTGCACCGTCGGCGAGGCTCTCAAGGCGGCGGCGAGGCGGGCGACGAACGGTGGCGGGAGGACCGTGGTGTACGTCAAGGCGGGCGTGTACAACGAGAACGTCGAGGTGTGGACCACCAACTTGATGCTCGTCGGCGACGGCATTGGCCGGACGGTGATCACCGGAAGCCGCAGCGTCCGGGGAGGCTACACCACCTTCAGCTCCGCCACATTCGGTACGCCACGTTCATCTCTCTCTCTCCTTGCGAGCTGTGAGTGTGAGTGTGTGACACTGACATGGATGGATGTCCATGAAGCCGTGAACGCCGACGGCTTCGTGGCGTGCGGCGTCACGTTCAGGAACGCGGCGGGCGCCGGGTCCGGGCAGGCGGTGGCGCTCCGCGCCAGCGGCGACCGCGTCGCGTTCTACCGGTGCAGTTTCGAGGGACACCAGGACACGCTGTACGCGCACACGCTCCGCCAGTTCTACCGCGAGTGCGCCGTCGCCGGCACCGTCGACTTCGTGTTCGGCAACGCGGCGGCGGTGCTCCAGCGCTGCAGCATCCGCGTCCGCCGCCCGCCGCTCCCGGGGCAGCCCGCCGTGGTCACCGCGCAGGGCCGCGTCGACCGGTACGAGCGCACCGGGTTCGCCATCCACGGCGGCCGCGTCACCGCCGCGGCCAGGTTCGGCGCCCCCGGCGCGGCGGCGTCGGCGCCGTTCGAGGCGTACCTGGGGCGGCCATGGAAGGAGTTCTCCCGGGTGGTGTACATGGAGGCGTACATGGACGCCACGGTGGGCGCGGCGGGGTGGCTGGCGTGGGACGGCACGGCGTTCGCGCAGAGCACGGCGTTCTACGGCGAGTACCGGAACTCCGGCCCCGGGTCCGGCACGGAGGGGAGGGTGAGGTGGGGTGGGTACCATGTCATCACCGATCCCGGCGTCGCGGCGGAGTTCACCGCCGGCGAGATGGTGAACGCCGGCGAGTGGCTGGGCTCCACCGGTGTCCCTTTCACTCCTGGACTCTAGCTCTGTATGTATATTGGCATTTTGTGCTAGGGACTGGTGATTTTGTGTATACAGGGACTAGATTGAGGTCCCCATCATTTGTAAAATCAGCCGCGGATAAAATTTAAATTTTAAATTTAAAGTTGATTTTTTATAGAAGTTTATTTTCCAGCATTGACTTTTAAATCACTAATAACTAATAACGTATATATAAAAGTTTAATTTATAAGTTATACTGTTATTTACTAATATACCGTATACTATGTATTATCCCATTTATCCGTATATGTCCAACTGATGAGGAACTAAAACTACTGACGGTATCCTATCTTATTATAAAGTTATAACCCACTAACTCTAACACTCAACATGCAAATATGCCATCTCATCATCCACTAACAATAATTACATGCAAAACTAATACAAACATGCAACATCATCTATAATTCATTGAATTTACAAGTCAACATCTAATCATCCTCCTTCACATTATTTTTCAGAATATTTTTAACATGTATATATCCAACATTTTTATAATCCTTAACATATATTCATGCATATAATCAAAGTGCGGGATATCATGTATATTTCATTTACAATCTCATACAGAGTCTATTAAATGTATTTATCTTAGAACATAGTTTGACAAACTATTTTTATTTGTTGTTAGTAACTAATATAATTTTTATTTTTATCTCGATTATTAAAAAAATTTAAAAGTCACTTAGGAATTTCCGTAGAAAAGCGCGGGGAATCACCTAGTTATCTCATAGCTGTTCCAAAGATTGAAAGTATATTGTAAGATACACGACGCTAGCAAAAATAGCGGCCCAGAACATGGACCGGCTTGTAAACATACTGGACCAATATGCAAAGGAAAAAGTTCACCTGCCATCCCTTACACCGAGTTTGTTAGACATCCCTTATCCTCAATATCAGAAACCGGCGATGGTCGGCGCTGCTCCAGGTATTATCCGGGACACGATGGAGCGACATGGACGGTGGCGGCGGCCGGAGATGGCGCCGCTGCAAACCCACGCCGCCGACACGAGCCACAGCGACAGCGACAGGAGAAGAAGAACGGCGTGCCGGCGCTGGGGCAGGAGGAGCAGGAGGCGTGCACACCGCGTGTGCCAACTCCCTCTTCGCTGCAGGAGCTCACCAACGACGCCTTCAGCGGCGACGAAAGAAAAAGGAATAAGAGGATGAGAAAAATAACAAGAGAGTATGGGAGATTGACAAGTGGACCCATGGGCAAACTTGTCTTTAACCAATATTTCTCTCTCCGTTTTATAGAAAATAATAAATTAATCCCGCGGGTGTCCAGCAACTAATTACCACATTTTTACAGTGTCCACGAGTAGATTTACTTTATTTAGGTGTCTCACAACAAAGGTCACAAATTTTGAGTTTTCTATAGCAAATTTTGCCTAAACTTTATAGTATTTGCTCTAAGTACGGTCCAAATCCTGTAGTTCTACAGTATTTGTAAAGAAATTCAAATGCAAGGAAGAAAACAGTTAAACAGTTGAAGGTTGTATTTGCAATTTTTGTAGATGAAAGGGGAAACGCTAGTCTGTGTGACACGTCACTCTCGTTCCGGCTCGGCCAGTCGCCGACGGCCAACCTCGCCTCCCAGTCGCTCACCGCCGCTCGCTTCCCGGCGGCTCAGGCGGGCGCGGCGATTTCGCTTTACTCCATATAACGCCGCTGCGGGCCGGCGGCCGCGGGCGTCGGCCATGTCCCCGCATGGGGCTATGGGCGTAGCGGCGGCTGGGACGCCGCTGAAGGCGGAGGAGATGGCCGGCGGGTGTACTGGATGGATCTCCGTCGGCCCGTCGGCGACAGGATGGAACGGCGAGGTGAGGTCCAACCGCCCAAATTTTCTCTTCTTTTTTTACTTTGTCTTCAAATCTATATTGAGAGCACTTACTGTTTCTGCGATTTGCATTCAGTGTCCATCTTGGAGCTACCCTTAGAAATTTTGGGATAAGTTGCTTGATTCATGAGGTTATGCGATTTACAAGAGCATATAATGCAGTTGTTTTCTGTTGTGCATCTGCATCCTAGTCTAAATTAATATAATTGACATGGTTTGCCTTTTTCTTTTTTGAAAGAAAAAGAAGGATAATAGAATTCAGAATAGACATTTGTGTGCACTGTGCAGAATTTGGCAGCAAATTGTTCAGCTGGAATCAATTATTGCAAATGGGGGTCATTCAGCCGCAAAGCCGACTTGTTTGAATGGCCAGATGCAGCGAAAGTCTCTGACAGAGACAAAGAACATGCAAGCAATGAAGTCCACCGAGAACCAAGGACTGTAGTAGAAGTAGCAAAGTCTCTGAAGAAGAAAATGTTAGAACTTAGTCCATGAATCACGGAAGACAAGTTGAGTTTGCTAACCGAGCATCAGATGATTGGCACGCCTATAAATCAGAGAATACGGTGCAGTAGCATACAGTCTGTCAGAGCTTTGCTACTAGATGACTTCAAAATCAGGCTGCCGATCTGTAAGCATTTCCTTGTTTAGTTCATTCCTTTCCATTGTTCAGAATTGAGATATCTTTTCATTAAAGAAGATAAGTATTGAAAACTATAAACTTATAAAGATGGCACTAAGCCAAGAATCCAGTTTAGAATTGGTTCCCTGACAGTGGCTTGTCACTCTAGTATATATTTGATCAGAAACCGCTTGTGTTTTGGAATTGATTAGACCAGGAAAATAGCTGCTAATTCTATGCGTTGTCTGATAAATGATCCATCTGTGCTAAAACTGTAGGGATCAGAAGCGAACTTGAAGTGAACTGAGTGGCAGCTACATCAGTCCAGATTCAAGACAGAGTTCCATTCCTTCTGTCTGGCCACATGATCCAGATCTACATTTGAACATAGCTAGTCAATAATGATGGTTATTACAACTGGAAAGATTATCTTGATTTTCTTAGCTTGCACTGCACATGTCGTCACCTGCAGTTCCTTATATGGAAACGAGACAGATCGAGTGGCACTGCTTGAATTCAAGCAGGCAGTCTGTCTTGATCCAAAACAAACCTTGATGTCCTGGAATGACAGCATCCACTTTTGCAATTGGGAAGGCATCTTGTGCAGCTTGAGGATTCCATATCGTGTCACTTCTCTTAATCTTACAAATCGAGGTTTAGTAGGGCAAATCTCTCCTTCACTTGGAAACCTCACATTTCTATCAATTCTATCCCTTACAGAGAATTCATTCAGTGGACAAATCCCTGCATCCCTTGGCCACTTGAACCACCTCCAAACTCTCTGGTTGAGTAACAACACTCTGCAAGGAGTTATACCAGATTTTACAAATTGTTCCAGTATGAAGGCTCTACGGCTGAATGGCAATAATCTAGTTGGAAAATTTCCGCAGCTGCCTCATCGCCTTCAAAGTCTGCAACTTTCATACAATCATCTTAGTGGAACCATTCCTGCTTCTCTTGCTAATATCACAAGGCTAAATGTGCTTACCTGCACATATAATAACATCCAGGGCGATATCCCACATGAGATCGGAAAGTTATCCAGCCTGCAATTCTTGTATGTAGGTGCAAATAAGTTGGTTGGCAGGTTTCCACAAGCCATCTTAAACCTTTCTACTCTTATTGGTCTTAGCCTTGGGTTTAATAATCTAACTGGAGAGGCACCATCCAATCTTGGTAATTGTCTACCCAACCTTCAGCTACTTGAATTAGAAGACAACTGCTTTCAAGGGCAAATCCCCTCTTCGTTGATAAATGCTTCCAAGCTATATCGTCTTGAGCTAGCAAGCAATAACTTCACCGGTGTGGTGCCTAGATCCATTGGCAAACTAACCAAGCTATCTTGGTTAAATCTTCAGTCCAATAAACTTCAAGCTCGTAACAAGCAAGATTGGGAGTTTCTTGACAGCTTAGCCAACTGCACTGAGCTGAAAGCTTTCTCGATAGCTAGTAATCATCTAGAAGGACATGTGCCAACTTCATTAGGTAACCTTTCTGTTCAGCTTGTACAATTGTTTTTGAGTGGAAATCAATTATCAGGTGGTTTTCCTTCTGGCATAGCAAACCTTCCAAACCTGATTTATATTGGACTGGACAACAACCAGTTTACTGGTGCAGTCCCAAAATGGCTTGGAACTCTCAGTAATTTACAACAGATATTGTTACATGAGAACATGTTTACTGGGTTTATTCCAACATCCCTTTCAAATTTATCTGTACTGGGATCTCTCTGGCTAGACTATAACAAAATTGGAGGACCTTTACCAGCAAGCTTGGGAAACCTGCAAACGCTTGAAACATTGAGCATTTCAAACAACAAACTCCATGGTAGTGTACCAATGGAGATCTTCAGAATCCCAACAATACGGTTAATTGATTTGTCTTTCAACAACTTTGATGGGCAGCTTAGTGCCAGGGTAGGAAATGCTAAGCAACTCATGTATTTATATCTTTCATCCAACAATTTATCTGGAGATATTCCTAGTTCACTGGGCAATTGTGAAAGTTTGGAAGGCATCAAATTGGGCTCGAATATTCTTAGTGGAAGCATTCCTACTTCATTAGGCAACATAAGAAGTCTGAAAGTTCTCAACTTGTCTCACAATAACTTAAGTGGATCAATACATGCTAATCTTGGAAAGTTATGGCTCCTTGAACAAGTAGATTTGTCATTTAACAATCTCAGCGGTGAGATACCAACAGAAGGAATATTCTTGAATGCAACTGCAGTGCACATCAATGGAAATGAGGGTCTTTGTGGCGGGGCACTCAATTTACACCTACCCACATGTTATGTCATGCCTTTGAATTCATCTAGGAGTGAACGATCTATTTTGCTGTATTTGGTGATATTATTTGCTAGCCTGGTGTCAGTTATATTCATATATCTATTATTGCTCTGGAGGGGAAAACAGAAGAAAAAATGTACATCTTTGACCCCATTTGATAGCAAATTTCCCAAAGTTTCTTACAATGATCTCGCCAAGGCAACTGAAGGGTTTTCAGCATCTAATATAATTGGAAGAGGAATATACAGTCATGTTTACAAAGGGGAATTGTTCCAAGGCAGAGATGTGGTTGCTGTTAAAGTTTTCAGCCTGGAGACAGAAGGAGCAGAACATAGTTTTATCACGGAATGCAATGCTTTGAGAAAAGTGCGGCATCGCAATCTAGTTCCTATCTTAACTGTGTGCTCAAGTCTGGATACTAAGGGAAATGATTTCAGAGCCCTGGTGTATAAGTTAATTCCACAAGGAGACTTGTATTCTCTACTGCACTCAACTAGAGATAGTGAGAATGGTTTCACTTCGAACATCATTACATTTTCTCAAAGGCTAAGCATTGTTGTGGACATAGCAGATGCATTGGAATATCTTCACCATAACAACCAAGAAACTGTTGTTCATTGTGACATAAAGCCTAGCAATATTCTTCTGGACAATGATATGAAAGCTTATGTTGGAGATTTCGGTCTTGCGAGGCTCAAAGCTGATGCTGCAGTACCATCTGTCGGTGACTCAAACTCAACTTCTATGATTGCAATAAAAGGAACCATTGGATATGTTGCTCCTGGTATTATTTCCTGTTTTTCAATTTAACTTGAGAATTTTTTGTGCTTCTACCAACATTTGGACTAAGTTATCCTTGATTGATGTCTACAGAGTATGCATCTGGTGGTCAAGTTTCAACTGCTGCGGATGTTTATAGCTTTGGAATTGTTCTCCTTGAAGTATTCTTACGGAAGGGACCGACAGATGATATGTTCAAGGATGGTCTGGATATTGCAAAATTCGTTAGTATGAACTTTCCTGACAAGATACTAGATATTGTTGACCCTGTATTACTACAAGACGAACTGGATTGCTCAAAGGAATCTCCAGTTGCCATGAAGGAAATCTTTTCTGAGGGTTTACATTCAGTGCTAAACATTGGACTTTGCTGCACCAAGCAGTCCCCGTACGAGCGCATGGACATGCGAGAAGTGGCTGCAAAGCTACATGGAACAAGGAGGCATATCTCTGAGGCAACTAGGTAATATAATGTAAGATATGTACCCTGCCTATAGCTGTGAGATACTCTGCTACCTTCTCGCATGGCATGTTTAATATTGTCACTCTCTCTTATATAATGAAATCACAACTCTTGTTATTGCTGTAATAATCCGAGCACTACATTTGGTTTGGAATCTTACACAATTACACTGCAGATACATGGTATTGTTGGAAACTCTGCACTGTTATCATATTCTTTTCTTTTAGAGTAATTGATACCAATATTCAGCCCTCATGCTTTTTGCTGTTGATGGAGATAAGGACTGGTCAGCTTTATATTCACAGAACATTGAAAATTTTCTTGTTAGTTCCTTAATTTGTCAACAATGGAACTTTCTTCTCAGCTACTAGCTGATTTGGGTGATGACTGCCATCTGCGTTGAATTTTGTACTCAGCTGTTTTTTTTCCCCTGTGAATGGACTGGGAAATTGGGTCTCTCGAACGAAACCTTATTTGGTTTGATGTTGTGTTTCATAATCAATTTGATTATATTTAATGGATCGAATTATATATAACACATGTCACATGTGGTACTTGTTCTGGGTTACAACTTACAATGCTTTGAGATTGCTCATGGCATAAAAGAAAAATACAAGGGCCTGCTTGGAAGCCAGCTGGTATTTGACCCGAAACTGGTACTCCCTCCATCCCTAAATGTTTGACGCCGTTGACTTTTTAAAACATGTTTGACCGTTCGTCTTATTTAAAAAATTTAAGTAATTATTAATTCTTTTTCTATCATTTGATTCATTGTTAAATATACTTTTACGTATACATATAGTTTTACATATTTCACAAAAGTTTTTGAATAAGACGAATGGTCAAACATGTTTAAAAAAATCAACGGCGTCAAACATTTAGGGAAGGAGGGAGTACTAAATACAAGGCAGAAAATTTTGACTGGCTGGACAAAAATTTGTGCTGAGAAAATCATCAACTTGCTATGTTGCTATTGCCTTTTGCTTGTCGTCGTCTCAGTTAGACTGGTCTACATGAAATCATACAATAATAAAACTTGGGGGGACCTGACAGTATAATTAAATCCAGTGGCGTCACCATTGCTGCATCAATCAATAGTGTAATCTGCCTCTCATCAAGATAAAACCATGGGCAAAAGTTAGGCACGTCCTCCACTTGCAGTCATGATTAGTATCTTCTCTGGAGAAAAACTGGTGTTTGTTCTGTCGATTAATTCGAAGGTCTTTGCCAAGACAGTGCAGACGCCACGGCTCTACAAAATGAGGCAGCTGATTGCTGATGGCCACTAGACTGCAGGCTGAAGGCTACTCTTCTCGCTGGTAAATAACCTTCTTGAATGAATGTCGATTGATCTTTTAATTTAATTTGTTTATGTTCATCTATTAATTGACTGCTTTGGGGGCTTTTGTGGGATGGGTCTCCATGTATCTACAGGCTTGTTTCTGTTCATGAATTTTATGCATATTTAATACCCCCCCCCTCTCATGTTGCTTTGATTTTTTTTAAAGTCAAACTTCTTGAAAGTTTGATCAAGTTTATAGAAAAATATAGCTAACATTTATAGCACCAAATTAGTTTTATTAAATCTAACATTGAATATATTTTGATAGTTTCTTTGTTTTATGTTGAAAATATTGCTATATTTTTCTGCAAATTTGGTCAAAGCTAAAGTAGTTTGATTTAGAAAGAAAGTTAAAACGACTTATAATATGAAATTGAGATAGTACACATATGATTAGAAAGATACTGTTAGATGATAAGAAATTATTGTTTCTTTGTTACCTAGAACTTGTTTTGCTAGCTTCTGGCTTGCATCCCCTCTTTCAAGTCTTTGACACTAGAGCCCTTCTTTTCAATGACTGGTGATCATATTTCTTTTCTTTTTGTTTTTACGAAACTGCGGGAGTCAGATTCATCATTCATTAACTAGTATAAAAAATATATGCGTAGTAAAAAAACCAAAAGAAAGAAAAATCATAACTGTATGTTTCTGAATAAGTATATCTGCTAACTGTATGTTTCTGAAGCTACTTCTCAACTCTGATTCTGAAGTCTGAAGGACAGTTGCATTCATCAACCTATAGCAGCAAGCAGCTTTCATGTTGTGGAATCTTTCTGACGAAACGAGGTAAAGAAAAATAAAAGCTTTATGGTACTTCACATTTGTCCATTTACCAACATTCCCTAACTTTCTTAAAACACCTTCTCTATTGAAACTTTAGGCTCTTGAATGTTCTTTCAAAAAGAACACTTGCCAGACATGTGTTGACCCCCTTTCTCTTTCTCTGTCTGCATATATGATATAACCAAGACCTAGCACTATTCGACCAAAGAGCTGGCCATGAAGATCACTATAATTGGACTGTTTCAGTTGCTGCTTATGGTGTGCAGTGCAGTCCAAATCATTTGCAGTTCGTTGTATGGAAACGAGACAGATAAGCTCTCACTGCTTGAGTTCAAGAAGGCAATCACTCTTGATCCCCAGCAAGTCCTGATTTCTTGGAATGACAGCAATCACTTTTGCAGCTGGGAAGGAGTCTTGTGCAGAAAGAAGACAACCAATCGTGTCATTTCTCTTAACCTTACGAACCAACGTTTAGTAGGAGTAATCTCCCCTTCTCTTGGAAACCTAACATTCCTAAAATTTCTGTACTTAGACACAAATTCATTCACCGGAGAGATCCCTCTGTCCCTTGGCCACCTGCATCATCTCCAAAACCTCTACTTGAGCAACAACACATTACAAGGAAAAATACCTGATTTTACAAACAGTTCCAACCTCAAGGTGCTACTCCTCAATGGCAATCACCTCATTGGACAATTCAATAATAATTTCCCCCCTCATCTTCAAGGGCTGGACCTTTCATTCAATAATCTTACTGGAACCATCCCCTCTTCTCTTGCCAATATCACGGAGCTATTGGGTGTTGGTTTCATGTCAAACAATATCAAGGGAAACATCCCAAATGATTTCTCAAAGTTCGTCTCGATTGGGTATCTTGCTGCGAGTCAAAACATGTTGTCAGGAAGGTTTCCACAAGCCATCTTAAATCTCTCTACTCTTGATGTTCTTTACCTTGGTTTTAATCATCTAAGTGGAGATTTACCATCAAATCTTCTTGACTCGCTACCCAGCATAGAAATACTTTCATTGGGAGGGAACTTCTTCCAAGGGCATATCCCCTGCTCTGTGGTAAACTCTTCCAACCTAGGTTTACTAGACATTTCATCTAATAATTTTACTGGGCTTGTACCAAGTTCCATTGGAAAACCTACCAAACTGTATCACCTAAATCTTCAGTCCAATCAACTTCAAGCACACAGAAAGCAGGATTGGGACTTTATGAATGGCTTAACCAACTGTACTAGGCTACAAATGATCTCGATAGCTAATAACCGTCTACAAGGCCATCTACCAAGTTCATTAGGTAACCTTTCCTCTCAACTTGGAATGCTACATTTGGGAGGAAATCAAATATCTGGTGTTTTACCTTCGGACATAGAAAACCTCTCCAGCCTTACTTATTTCCGGATTGATACCAATGAAATTACAGGTGTCCTTCCAGAATGGCTTGGTTCTCTTAAACACCTACAAGTATTAGGCTTATTTAACAACAACTTCACGGGGTTTATTCCACCGTCCCTTTCAAATTTGTCTCAGCTGGTATATTTAATTCTAGATTTTAATGAGTTCGATGGACACATACCACATATCTTGAAAAACCTCCATATGCTTTTATCATTCAGTGCTTTCCACAACAATCTTCGAGGTAGCATACCAAATGAGATATTTACAATCCCATCAATAGTTCAAGTTGATTTATCTTTCAACAATCTAGATGGACAACTTCCTGCGGCAATGCAAAACAACTTTCAAAGTTGTCACTTGCATCGAATAAGCTATCTGGAGATATTCCTAACACTTTGGGTGATTTTGAAAGCTTGGAATACATTGACTTATCCTGGAATAATTTCACTGGGATCATCCCTGCTTCCATAGGAAAGATAACAAGTCTAGAGGTTCTCAAATTCTCACACAATAACTTAACTGGGCCAATACCATCATTGCTTGGTGACCTACATTTTCTTGAGCAACTGGATTTGTCATTCAACCATCTTAAAGGTGAGGTTCCGATGAAAGGAATATTCCAGAATGTGACAGCCTTGAGCATTGGTGGAAATGAGGGACTATGTGGTGGATCACGAGAGTTACACTTACTCGCATGCCCTGTCATATCTTTGGTCTCATCTAAGCACAAGAAATCAATTTTACTAAAAATACTAATCCCAGTTGCCTGCTTGGTATCACTTGCTATGGTCATATCTATTTTTTTTACTTGGAGGGGGAAACGGAAGAGAGAATCCCTATCATTACCTTCATTTGGTACAAATTTCCCCAATTTTTCATATAATAATCTATTCAAAGCAACTGAGGGGTTCTCATCATCCAATTTAATCGGCAAAGGAAGATATAGTTATGTCTATGTAGGAAAACTATTTCAAGACAACATTGTTGCTGTTAAAGTCTTCAGTCTAGAGACAAGGGGAGCACACAAGAGCTTCATGGCAGAATGTAATGCCTTGAGAAATGTGCGGCATCGCAATCTACTTCCTATCCTCACTGCATGTTCTAGTATTGATTCTGAAGGCAATGATTTTAAAGCTTTAGTCTATGAGTTCATGTCACAAGGGGACTTGCATAAATTTCTATACACAACCAGAGATGATATAAACTTGTCAAATTTGAATCACATTACATTGGCTCAGAGAATAAGTATTGTGGTGGATGTATCAGACGCATTGGAGTATCTACACCACAACAATCAATGGACTATTGTTCATTGCGATCTGAAGCCTAGTAACATTCTTCTAGATGATGATATGATTGCTCATGTTGGAGATTTTGGCCTTGCAAGTTATAAAACCAATTCGTCAATGCCATCTCTAGGTGATTCAAATTCAACTTCTTCACTCGCAATAAAGGGAACCATTGGATATATTGCTCCAGGTACTGGTTAACTGTTTCTTGTATTGCATTGCACTGCTTCAAATTGTATTTCATTATCTGACATGCTGATGTGAGTGAACTTGAATCTTGTCATATGCAATCTACAGAATGTTCACATGGTGGTCAAGTTTCAACTGCCTCGGATGTTTACAGCTTTGGAGTTGTTGTCTTGGAAATATTTATTCGGAGAAGGCCAACTGACGACATGTTTAAGGATGGATTGAGCATTGCAAAGTATGCGGAGATCAATTTCCCTGATAGGATACTAGAGATTGTTGATCCCCAACTTCAACTAGAGTTGGACGGCCAAGAAACTCCAATGGCAGTCAAGGAGAAAGGCCTACACTACTTGCACTCTGTATTAAACATTGGACTCTGTTGCACCAAGATGACACCGAGTGAACGCATCAGCATGCAGGAGGCAGCTGCCAAGCTGCATGGAATCAGAGATGCATATCTCAGGGGAAACTGAAGAAGCAGTGCAGTTACCTCAATGGTTTTGGTTTTGTCTGAACGCATTATATATTATATATAGCATTATACTAGCATGCATGTGTGCATCTTGTTCTGGTTAAATAGATCGGTATTGCCTTGAATAAAGAAGTGGCCATTGTCCTAGAGCAGCAAATGTTTTTAGATTGCTGTTTGATTCATTTCTAATTTTGAAACGAGGTTACATAAACATCAGGTGTTTTTCGTCGTTCACTGTGTGAGTTAAACTTGAGCTTGTACTGAAGGATGAAATCCTACACAAAACGACATCAATACTCTTGTTTTTTAGCAGTTTGGAGGTTTGGTCATCTCTGGCAGACTGGTACTAATTGAACCTACTCCTATACGGCTAATGGGTTCAATACCGAGATACAGTAAGGGACACAACTATACCGAGAGTGCTAGCTGGATAGTGCTATAGAGAGACACCCTTCTTTCAAAAAAAAAAAAAGCTCACTCAATATTTATGTATTTTTTTTCTTCTTAGAGAAGTTTCTCTTAAATTACTTATCCGATTTATAATTCGATTATACCGTTGTGTTCGTTGCAATTAAATCTTTACAACAAGATCTTACATAATTATATTTTGATGAAAAATTATATATTACTTTTATCATATATCTAAATTACCTTTAGATTTCACTAAATTACTTCTTAGGCATATAAAAGTAATTCAATAAAACCTAAAAGTAATTTATATATATTATAGAAGTAACTTATAACAAAAGGAAAGTAACTTTAATGAATACCTTTTTCCATAGGACATGAAGTCATATTTTATCCATACAACGAATTTACTTCTAATGTCGTGACAAAGTTACGTCCGTTTTATTTTAAGTTATTTTTATAATATATGTAAATTACTTTTAGACTTTATTTAATTTACTTTTATATGTCTAAGAAGTAATTTAGTTAAATCTAAAAGTAACTTATATATATGATAAAAGTAAATTATGTATATAATAAAAGTAATTTACAAATATAAATATGTTTTCATCATAATATAATTATGTAAGATCTTGTTATGAAGATTTAATTGTAACGAACACAATTGTGTAATCGGATTGTAGATCGGATAAGTAATTTGAGAGAAAACTTTGTTTGAAGAGGAAAAAGGGCATGCATGCATGTCGTACGAGTACGATGTAGTAGACTCCATGTCTTCTCCATATTTAGGTGTCGCTGGTTAAGATAAAAACGAGAGGCCTCTCCAAATAGATTTCACGTACAATAAGCTATTAGGCTAAGCATTATTTTCAAAAATACCTAAAATACCCTTGCAGACATACAAAATTAACAATTGATTTATTTCATTAGAAGTTTAAAAAAATATGAAAATTTTTACGTGGCCTCATTACACAACATGGGAGTTTGTATAGATGTTTCAAGTTTTTTTCTGGTATATTTAATTTTTAGAATTTTTTTTGTGGTATATGAGAGAAAATTTGCTTATACGAGAGAAATATCTTGTGTAGTGTATGAAAGATGATTTATATTAAAAACATCAATAAAAAATATTTTATACAGCATATAACATATAAGTTATACTTTTTCTAAAAAAATATAAATGTAAAATAACCTATATACAAACTTCCATGTTTTGTAAGGAGGCCACACAAAAGTTTGGTAAAATTTGCTACAGAGTATCCTTCTAAAATTTGCTATAAGTTATACATTAAACGGTAGGAGATTTGCCGTATATATTAGAAGAAATAAAACCAAGAGAGTGCAGAAACGAAAACAACAACAGGCCACAACAAGTCCTGTGACAGAAATTTACAACCCAAGGGAAAAAAAAGACTGTGAACCAGGTTCTATCAACAGCAGTAGAGCCTGGATTGGTTGATTAGGTCTATATTCTCTTTAATTAGAAAGGCCACCTGAAGCTCGCTTTTTGAAGAATCCTGGAAAATCCTCCTATTACGTTCTAACCAAATATTCCACCACGTTGTTAAAAGGACACTCAGAATTTGCTTCCTTCGTGATTTAGGCTTGATCGTGCAGAGGGTGCTCCACCAGTCTTCAATGGAAGCTGCTGTATGTTGATGCGGTGCTTGAATGTCGAACCATCTACTAACATGGTTTCCAAACCAAAATCGTAAAGGGGCACTCTTTTGCTAGATGTGTGGCATCCTCGAAGGCCCCCCCTGCATAAACTACAAATCCAGTAGTTTACAGAAAACATGATTTTCTCTAATGATGTTACAGAGCGACAAATATTTATAGTTTTGCCGTTTGATTTGTTTCTTTTCATACGAGGTGATCATATTTAATTTACATCATGGATCTCCTAGTTCATCGTTCATTAAATTCATATATGAGGCCCCATTACAAATATTCAGACCGCTATGATTGGTGAATTTGTGGATAGATGTATAATGTAAAACAAAACCCGTTTCATATTATAAGTCGTTTAATTTTTTTCTAGTCAACTTTATAAAAAATATAGTATTATTTTTAATCAAAAAACAAACGTATTATCAAAATATATGTAATTTTATATCCAATAAAATTAAATTTGATATTTTAGATGCTGCTAATTTTTTAATAAATTTGATTAAACTTAACAATGTTTGACTAGGAATAATATCGAACGACATATAAATATGAAACGGAGGGAATACCAATCAAGGCCACTGCTATTTTTTTCCTTTCATCTTTAAAACTTTCATCCAAGATTTTATATGAAAAAGTATCCGCTAAGAATGCACGTTCCAAATACCAATCAAAGCGGCGCAAAAAAAAAAGACAGAATTGTAATTCTGGGCTTTACGTGGGCCGTAATTGGACCCGTCGATCCCCTTGACGGAAAACCCAACCGACGCCGCCGCCCGATCCATCGGCGGCCGGCGGCGGCCGGTGGGTGATGCTCGGCGGCGGACACGAGGTCGAGGACTCCTTCGACCCCTGCTTCACCGACGCCCACACCGTGTCGCCTTCCCGCACCTCCACTCCGCGCCTCCTAGCTTCCGCCTCGTCACTCCGCCGGCGGTGTCGCCCTACGCGACCACATCGCCGGTGGGCGGTGGCGTCAAGCTCTGTCAGGGCGGCCGGAGACTCCGCGCTCATCCGGATAACCTGCGGATCGCCGGATCATCTGCAGCATATACAAGGTAAAGTAAAACTACTATCTCCCATTTAATTGCTAGGTTACCTAAATAATTGTTAGTACATATCTGAATGCACTACTCTACGATTACAAGACGAGAAGGACTTATTATCTCATAATTTAATTGCAGGATTATTATTATGGAAAATTACGGGTCTGAGTGGCTGAGATTTTCGTTTCTGATGAATCTCACTGATGTTGAACAATGATCACAGAGCAAGTCGCCTGCTGTCGTGTCGTCGTCTCAGGTTAATCGTATCCCAGAATGGAGTTAACATGGGACCGATCAATCCACCAATTGTTAGAATCATATAAGAATTCCTTTCAAAAAAAAAAACAAAAGAGAGAAAAGAATCATATAAGAATTACTTGTGGAACTGGAAGTATAATAAAACCGTTGGCGTCATGTTGTCAAGGGTAGTATACTGTATACTGGAGACGGAGGCTACATTATTGGCCACTTGGTCATCAGGTGAGATGAACAAACAGGTTAGCTCTACATAGATCAATAATATAATTGCCTAATCAAGACAAAACTATGGACAAAAAGTTAGGTAATCCTCCATTTTCACTGAAGATTAGCCTCCTCTCTGAAGAAAAACTGGTGTTGAGTTGAATTCCATGGGCTGGTAGCTGGTTGAGTTGAAGGCCTTAGCTTGCCATGATAGTGCAGACGCCATGGCTCTTACTGCTACAAAAATGAAGCAGCCGACGATGGCCACGAGGCTGGCTGCAGGCTGCACCCTCTCGCTGGTAACCCCTCACGAATGCATATATTGATTGATCTTTTAATTTGTTTCTATGTTCATCATTTTGTTAGTTCCATGGAATAGTATATAAATGTTGGATCAATCGTCTGCTTTTGGGGATTGTATGGAATGAGCCTAACTATACCTACAGGCTTGTTTCTGTCTGTAAACTTATTGCGTACTAGATACAGATGATTAGAAACACTATATTTCCCTTTTTTGGTGAGATTGTCAGAAATTATTACTTCTGTGTTACCTAGAACTTATTTGTTCAGAATATCAGATAGCTTTGCTAGCTTTCTGGCTTTCGTCCTCCTTTCAGGTCTCTGACACTAGAGACTTTTATTTTCCACCGATTGGTGATCATTTATCTTGCTATAAGCCTTTATGTTTCATCCCTGACTCTTCTGTCTCAATGGCAGTTGGATTGATCAGCCCGTATCAGCAAAGGATTTTTCATGTTGCTGAATCTTGCCAGAGGAAAGGATATCAATTCTGTCTGTGGAGACGAAGTAAATAAGAACAAAAGCTTTCTTGGTACTTTACATTTGTCTATTTGCCAACATTCTCTAACCATCTAAAACAGCTTCTGAAATTTTAGGCTCTTGCATGTTCTTTAAAAAGGATTACTAACCGATATGTATTAATCCCTTTCTCTTTTGTCTATGCATATAAGCAAGACCTAAATTTATTCGTCCAAGGAGCTGGTCATGAAGATCACTGCAATTGGGTTGTTTTTGTTGGTGCTTATAGCGAGCTGTCCTGTCCAAATCTTCTGCAGTTCGTCGTATGGAAACGAGACAGATAAGCTCTCACTGCTTGAGTTCAAAAAGGCAATCAGTCTTGATCCCCAGCAAGCCCTGATTTCTTGGAATGACACCAATCACTTTTGCAGCTGGGAAGGAGTCTTGTGCAGGAAGAAGACACCCCTTCGTGTCATTTCTCTTGACCTTAGCAACCGAGGTTTAGATGGACAAATCTCCCCTTCACTTGCAAACCTAACATTCCTAAAATTTCTTTACCTAGACACAAATTCATTCACAGGAGAGATCCCTCTATCCCTCGGTCACCTGCATCACCTCCAAACCCTCTACTTGAGCAACAACACATTAGAAGGAAGGATACCTGATTTTACAAACTGTTCCAGTCTCGAGATTCTATTGCTCAATGGCAATCACCTAGCTGGACAGTTGAATAATAGCTTTCCTTCTCAGCTTCAAAATCTGATACTTGCAGAAAATAATCTTACTGGAACCATCCCTTCTTCTCTTGCCAATATCACAGGACTAAGAGGACTTAGTTTCATGTCAAACAATATCAAGGGAAACATCCCAAATGAGTTTTCAAAGTTCGTCATGATGGAGCTTCTTGCTGTGAGTGGAAACATGTTGTCAGGAAGGTTTCCACAACCCATCTTAAATCTCTCTACTCTCACTAATCTTTACCTTACTTTGAATCATCTAAGTGGAGAGGTACCATCAGATCTCCTTGACTCTCTACCTAATCTACAAGAACTTCTACTGGGTCACAATTTTTTTCGAGGACATATCCCTCTCTCATTGGGAAATACTTCCAACCTACGTTTACTGGACATATCAAATAACAATTTCACCGGCATTGTACCAAGTTCCATTGGCAAACTAACCAAATTGTCTTTGTTAAATACTGAATTCAATCTACTCCAAGCACACAAAAAGGAAGATTGGGAGTTTATGAACAGTTTAGCCAACTGCTCTAGACTACAAGTTCTTTCGATGGGACATAACCGTCTAGAAGGCCATCTACCAAGTTCGTTAGGGAACTTATCCACTCATCTGTGACAACTTATTTTCTCAGGAAATCAGCTCAGGATTTTTTCCTTCCGGCATAGAACACCTCTCCGACTTGAATTCTTTAGGACTAGATAATAATGAATTAACAGGTTCCCTTCCTGAATGGCTTGAGAATCTTAAAAAGTTACAAAAGTTAACCTTGCAAAACAAAAATTTCCCTTCCTGAATTGCAGTTATTCCGTCATCTGTTTCGAATCTGTCTCAACTAGCAGTTCTCGGACTATATTCTAACAAGTTGGAACGGCACATACCAAGCTTCGTAAACCTGCAAATGCTTCAACTACTAGTCATTTCCAGTAATAATCTTCATGTCAGCATACCAAAAGAGATATTTAGTATTCCATCAATAATTGCAATTGATTTATCTTTCAACAACCTAGATGGGCAACTTCCTACTGAGATTGGAAATGCTAAACAACTCGTATCTTTGGGACTTTCATCCAACAAGTTGTTTGGAGATATTCCTAACAGTTTGGTAAGTTGTGAAAGTTTGGAATACATCGCGTTTGACTCTAATATTCTCAGCGGAGGCATCACCACTTCATTAGGAAGCATGAAAGAGAGGATTAGGCTTTCGACCCAAAACGAGGAAGAATTTTCATTAAAATTTTTTAATTATAATGTATTGCGATCCCAATATTTCATTATATTTCTCATCCTCCAATAGCTATTGTATTACTTTAAAAAAACATCATTACCCGTTGCAATGCAGACATTTTTTTTAGTTTTATAAAAAGAAAAAAAAGGACATGCCTGACCTAGCAAAATAGATTTGTAGCTTGTTGTTGTTGCTGTAGTTAAGTACTAACACTTCTCTCATGCATAGATACATGATGCAACGGACCTCGGGTGCGGTAGACCCCGCGGTCTCAGGCGGTCCACTGTCCAGCAGCGGCGATAAGCCACCAGCCACACATGAAGAATCGGCAGTGGTGTGGAGCTTTGTTTTTCAAAGTCAACGGGAAGTCCTCGCGCCCAAGGACCATTACCAGATATGCCGAGCGCGCAATGTGGCTGTCCAAACCCAAACAAGCCTATCCGGTTGGTTATCAACCAACAATGTGGCGGAGACAATTGGCCAGAACCACTCATGATGGCCGCTCATTTACTCAATGGTGTACAAAACTACTTGACCGAAAGACGCGCACAAAGCTAGCTAGTTTCCTCTGAGATATGAATCTTTGATTCCGTGTAGCTTGGCAGCAACCTCCTGCATGCTGATGCGTTCAATCGGTGTTGTCTTGGTGCAGCAGAGTCCAATATTTAGCACACTGCGCAGGCAGTGTATGCCTTTCTCCTTGACTGCCATTGGTGTTTCTTGGCAAAGGTCCAGCTCGTGTTGCAGCTGGGGATCAACAATCTCTAGTATCCTGTCAGGGAAGTTCATCTCTACATGCTTTGCAATGCTCAATCCATCCATAAACATGTCTTCTGTTGGCCTTCTCCGAATAAATAATTCCAAGAGAACAACTCCAAAGCTGAATACATCTGAGGCAGTTGAAACTTGACCGCCCTCTGAGCATTCTAGAGTTTCATCCAGCAAGAGTTAAGTTCACACAAATCAGCATGTCAGATAATAAAATAAAACTTGCAGCGGTGTAATACAAGAAAAACAAACTAATACCTGATGCGATATATCCAATGGTTCCCTTTATTGCTAGGGAATAAGTTGAGCTTGAATCCCCTAGAGATGGTGTTGAAGAACCGGTCTTGAATCTTGCAAGTCCAAAGTCTGCAACATGAGCAATCATATCATCATCAAGAAGTATGTTGCTAGGCTTCAGATCACAGTGAACAATAGTTCCTTGGTTGTTATGGTGCAGGTACTCCAACGCATCAGATACATCGACCACAATGCTTATCCTCTGAGCCAATGTAATGTGGTTCAGATATGAAGTGTTTTCATCATTTTGTGCTGAGTGTAGTAATGCATGCAAGTCACCTCGTCCCATAAACTCATAAACCAAGGCCTTAAAATCATTTCCTTTTGAATCAATACTTGCACATGCAGTTAGGATAGGAACTAGGTTGCGATGCCGAACATTTCTCAAAGTATTACATTCTGCGATGAAGCTCTTTTGTGCTCCCCTTGTCTCTAGGTTGAATACTTTGACAGCAACCATATTATCATCTTCGAATAATTTTCCTCGATATACATAACTGTATCTTCCTTTGCCTATCAAATTGGATGTTGAGAACCCCCCTGTTGCTCTGAAAATCATATTGTATGAAACTTGGGGCAAATGCCTAGCAAACGAGGGCAAAGATAAAGATTTTCTGTTCTGTTTTCTTCTCCACATAAGCACAGTAAATTTGACCATAGAAATTGACACAATGCTGGCTATTGGGATCACTACTTTCAGTATTATTGATTTCTTGTGCTTAGATGAAACCAAAGCCATGATAGGACATGCTTGTAGGTGTAACTCAGGTGGCCCACCACAAAGGCCCTGATTTCCATCAATCCTGAAAGCTGTTGCATTCTTGAAAATTCCTTTCGTGGGAATCTCGCCCTTAAGATGGTTGAATGACAAATCTAGTTGCTCAAGAAATTGTAAATTGCCAATAGAACCTGGTATTGAACCAGTTAAATTATTGTTTCAGTCACAGTCTAGTCCGCTACACTTTTCTGCTCAACATGTCTCTCTTTGGCCTAGCCCGCAATTGGAGCTATAAGCCCAGCTCGCACATACTGTCGTGTTCAAGCTCTAGAAAGTAGTCCCATGCAATCCCCCCATCAAATTCGGCCAAATCTTTCTCAATTTTTTAAAATTGATTGAGGGCTTTTGATGCACTCGACCACTCTTTTTGTTTTTCCCAAAATTGAAGTGAATCAGTAACACTCGGGATAAAAACATCCAGGGAAGCTCCAGCTGCCGGCCATCATCGGCAACTGTTAAATAGGGGATTGAATTTGGTGAATTAAAGCAGTATTGAAAGGGAAAATCACGAGGAAAACAAAGATGGAGGAGTGAGGAATCGATTTTTACAATCAATTAAAGGAGTAAACGTACGGGGAGGTACATGATGTTGCGGTGGCTGAGGCGCGCTGCGCACGCGGATCAGACCGGAGGAGATCGAACAAAAACCGGGCAACGAAAAAAATGTTCCACGTGAAAAAAAACTGCGAAAAAACTAGACGGCCATTGAAAAAAAAGGGCGACAAAATAAAAAAAAAACGAGCGGAGACGGACCAAACCGTAACTCACGGTATTATGAATATCTAAGAAGTAATTTAATCAAATCTAAAAGTAATTTACATATATGATAAAATTAATTTAAATATATAATAAAATTAATTATATATATGTTTTTTATCAGAACATGACCATGTAACATCTTGCTATAAAAAATTATTTACAACGAATATAATGTATAATCCGATTGTTGATCGGATAAGTTATTTGAAAGAAATTTTATTTGAAGCTTACCTATTAGGAATCTTTTATTTATACTGTTGCATGCTTGCACACTTTGACGTGAGAAAAAGATATATTGCTACATTTTACCATTTATTGGTATAATAGTTGGTTTTGATTAATTAGTGCACATGTACTCGGAGAAAACTACACGTCGGGCGCTCGATCTGGGGGTGGGGAAATCGGGCAGCATGCAAAACTAATTTAAATTGTTTTTTCTCTTAAATTATTTATCCAAATTATGATCCGATTACACCATTAAATTCGTTGCAATTAAATCTTTGAAACAAGATCACACATGGATGTATTTCGACAAAATTTTTTTAGCTTATTATTGAATTATTTTTAAATGTTGCACGTTGTTCCACCAAGTATATCGGAATTGTTTCACTAAGTAGATCGAAAATGTTTCAATCGTTTAAATCGGTCGTTGTTTCACCTATATAAAAACAATGTTTTAGCAAATAGCGAAAGAATGTTTCAGATCACTGCAACATTTGATCCATACATAGTGAAACATTATAAGTACACTAGGTGAAACATTTTTGGTGGAACAAAAATTGAAATGAATTCCCTTAATAAAGGGTTTCCATAATATGTAGGTGATTTGTTGCAAAAGAATGTTTCAATTCACTGCAACATTAGATCTATACATAGTGAAACATTGTGAGTATACTATGTGAAACATTTTTGGTGGAACAAAAAATGAAACGGATCACCTAGTTGGACAACTGAATAATAATTTTCCCCCTAAGCTTCAAGTGCTGACTCTTGCATATAATAATCTTACTGGAACTATCCCTTCTTCCTTTGCCAATATCACAGGACTTAGAAAACTTGATTTCACAGCTAACAATATCAAGGGAAACATCCCAAATGAGTTTTCAAACTTCCTCATGATGGAGATTCTTCTTTTGGGTGGAAATATGTTGACAGGTAGGTTTCCACAAGCCATCTTGAATCTTTCTACTCTCACTAATCTTCACCTTAGTTTTAATCATCTAAGTGGGGAGCTACCATCCAATTTCCTTTACTCTCTACCCAATCTACAAGTACTTGCATTGGACTACAATTTTTTTCAAGGCCATATCCCCAGCTCATTGGGAAACGACTCCAACATACGTGTACTGGACATAACAAGTAATAATTTCACTGGAGTTGTACCAAGTTCCATTGGCAAACTAAGCAAACTGTATTGGTTAAATCTTTAATCCAATCAACTCCAAGCACATAAAAGGGAAGATTGGGAGTTTATGAACAGCTTAGCCAACTGCACTAGGCTACAAAGTTTCTCGATGGCTTATAACCGTCTAGAAGGCCATCTACCGAGTTCGTTAAGCAACTTTTCCGCTCATCTCCAACGACTTCATTTAGGAGGAAATGCAATATCAGAGTCTTTTCCCTCTGGCATAGAACACCTCTCAAACTTGATTGCTTTATCAGTAGGAACTAATGACTTTACTGGTACCCTTCCAGAATGGCTTGGAAATCTTAAACAGTTGCAAATATTAAGTTTATATGACAACTATTTCACAGGGTTTATTCCATCATCCCTTTCGAATCTGTCTCAACTGGTAGCTCTCACACTACAATTTAACAAGCTGGATGGGCAGATACCAAGCTTAGGAAACCAGCTGCAAATGCTTCAAATATTCAATGTTTTGTACAATAATCTTCATGGTGTCATACCAAATGCGATCTTCAGTCTTCCGTCATTAATACAAGTTGACTTATCTTACAACAACCTACATGGACAACTTCCTATTGACATTGGCAATGCAAAACAACTAGTATCTTTAAAGCTTTCATCAAATAAGCTATCTGGAGATATTCTGAATGCTTTGGGTGATTGTGAAAGTCTTGAAGTCATCAGGTTAGATAGAAATAATTTTAGCGGGAGCATCCCCATTTCATTAGGCAACATAAGTAGCCTAAGAGTTCTCAATTTATCTCTCAATAACTTAACAGGGTCAATACCGGTATCTCTTAGCAATCTACAGTATCTTGAGAAACTAAACCTATCATTCAACCATCTTAAGGGCGAAATCCCAGCAAAAGGAATTTTCAAGAATGCTACAGCTTTCCAGATTGATGGAAATCAGGGGCTTTGTGGTGGGCCACCAGCCTTACACCTAACCACATGTCCTATTGTGCCATTAGTATCATCTAAGCACAATAACTTAATTTTACTGAAAGTGATGATCCCACTAGCCTGCATGGTGTCACTTGCTACAGTCATATCTATTATTTTTATTTGGAGGGCAAAACTGAAGAGAGAATCAGTATCGTTGCCATTTTTTGGTAGCAATTTCCCCAGAATTTCATACAATGCTCTTTTCAAAGCAACAGAGGGTTTCTCAACATCCAGTTTAATTGGCAGAGGGAGATATGGTTCTGTCTTTGTAGGGAAACTTTTTCAAGAAAACAACGTTGTTGCTGTGAAAGTTTTCAGCCTAGAGACAAGGGGAGCAGGAAAGAGCTTCATCGCAGAATGTAATGCCTTAAGAAATGTGCGGCATCGCAATATAGTTCCTATCCTCACTGCATGCTCTAGTATTGATTCTAAAGGCAATGATTTCAAAGCTCTAGTGTATGAGTTCATGTCACAAGGGGACTTATATAATTTACTATATACAACAAGACATGATAGCAACTCTTCAAAGTTGAACCACATTTCATTGGCTCAGAGGACAAGCATTGTGCTAGATGTATCAAGTGCATTAGAGTACTTGCACCATAACAACCAAGGAACTATTGTTCACTGTGATCTGAACCCTAGCAACATCCTTCTAGATAAAAATATGATTGCTCATGTTGGAGACTTTGGCCTTGCAAGATTCAAAATCGATTCTTCGTCACCTTCTCTAGGTGATTCAAACTTAACATCTTCACTCGCAACAAGGGGAACCATTGGATATATTGCACCAGGTACTGGTTGGGATTTTATCTTGTTTGGTATATATTGCTACCTATTTTCTTTTTACTATTATGTGACATGCTGATGTGTGCGAACTCAAATATTGCCAATGAAATTGTAGAATGCTCAGAGGGCGGTCAAGTTTCAACTGCCTCAGATGTATTCAGCTTTGGAGTTGTTCTCTTGGAACTATTTATTCGGAGAAGGCCAATAGACGACATGTTTAAGGATGGATTGAGCATTGCAAAGCATGTAGAGATGAACTTCCCTGACAGGATACTAGAGATTGTTGATCCCCAGGTGCAACACGAGCTGGACCTTTGCCAAGAAACACCAATGGCAGTAAAGGAGAAAGGCATACACTGCCTGCGCAGTGTGCTGAATATTGGACTCTGCTGCACCAACCCAACACCGAGTGAACGCATCAGCATGCAGGAGGCGGCTGCCAAGCTACACGGAATCAATGATTCATACCTTAGAGGAAACTAGCTAGGGATCTCTCATAGCATTGTGTTCATCTTTCGGTCAAATAGTTGTGTACACCATTGAGTAAATGAGTGGCCATTGTCCTAGTGAAATACTGAAATGTGGCTTTGTCACCACCTGCGACAAATGTTTATGTTCTAATATACTGTTTGATTTGTTTCTGCTTGATATTAGGTGGCCAATACATCTTGCATCTTCCATAAGTCATTGTATTTCAGACCTCATGTTGGCTTAACAGTACCATAGCTTGTATAGTGAATGACCAAGAACACAAAAAATCACATGATGGAATGCTCATGTCCCGTCCTTTGCATTGTTAGCAGTTGGGGCCTTTGCATAAACATTCATCTGCTTGCTTGTCGTAGTTTATCGTCCACTCGTATAGCTTTGGCAGACACCGGTTACAGCACTTGCAGGTCGAAAGGCTTTGATCCTGCTCGAGGTAACAACGATGGAAGAAACTAGAAACTAGTTAAACTACATTGTGCAAGCATCTGACATGACCATCAGAATTTCCGAGTACTTTGCCCTGAACTGAACTGATAGTTGGCAGATGGCATTGCAGGATGCCTCAGCCGCTCCTCACTCACAGCGTGTCTTGTCCAGCTCTTTGGCTACTAGCAAGATAGCGGTGAATGCCGTGCGCCAGGGGCGGGGACGGGCTTGGCCGCGGCCGTTGCCTCTGTAGAGCACCGCGGTCTTCACTGCCAGAGAGGGTGGACCGGCCTCCACCTACGCGGGCCCTAGACGGCGTTGCCTCCGTAGAGCATCCGGCCTTCAGTGCTAGAGGGGGTGGACCTAACTCCACCTACGCGGGCCCTGGACGGCGTTGCCTCCGTAGAGCACCACGGCCTTTACCGCCAGAGGGGATGGACCAAACTCCACCTCTCATGAGCTCCGGACGGCGCCGCCCCTTTAAGCCACATGGTCTCCACCACCGAGGGACGTCGCCCTATCGAGCGTTGTCATCTGCCACGACTGAGGAGGTCGCCCCACCGTTCACTTGAGCCCCTTCAGTGTGGTCTCCACCGAACGTTGGGGTATCCAACGTAAACCTTCAGGCACACCACAACACCCGAGTAGGGGCTAGAAATTATTTGCTCCCCCCGAATCCCGGAGCCAGCAGATGAGGGGGTACCGTTGGGGAATAACCCCAAGCCTAGCATATACTATTAGAGAGGACCTCCATACTTAGGATGTTGTATAAACTAATATAATAATAGACTAGAACATCCCAATAGCATTGCCCCTCTAATGTAATTGATAAGGGTAACACTATAATTTTCAGTTACATATAAATAAAATGAGCCCTCCAAGTGCAAGGGAGGAGGATCTTCTCGCATGGCATCGAGGGAGGAGTGATCCTCTCTCCCCCATCTTCTCTCCCAAGGATTCAAGCTTGGGCTCTCTCCCACGGAGGAGGGGGGCCCTTGCCATGCATGTTGGACTTTGTTCCAATAATAACGCTGCTTGATCACCAATGACGAGCTGAGCCAAGGTGCAAAGAACTTCGGAGGTGAATGCAATAAGCACAAATGTCATTCATCGGCCTAAACGATGAGCAAACAGTTCGAATGGAGAGGGAAAATCATGTGGGGATATCACGTAAGTGTATAATAATTTAGAAAAATATTGGGGCCCTATTGAAAATTTGTAACTTTTTCTTTCTTTGCGAACACAAAATATGCTAACTTGGAAGTAGAAAGTTTCTATCTATATAAATTTCTTAAGAAATTATTCATAATTCATTCGTGTTACCCTCGAATAGGGATCACAACATCATTAAAAAAAGTAATTCAAAAAATCATTTGTATAATTATGAACAAACTAAAAACAACAAGAGAAACTCAAAATATTATGAATGTATAAGAAGTAATTTAAATCAAATCTAAAAGTAATATATATATATATGATACAATTAATTTAAATATACAATAAAATTAATTACAATATATATTTTTTCATCAGAACATTATCGTATAACATATTGCTATAAAAATTTATTTACAACGAATATAATGATATATTCCAATTGTTGATTGGATAAGTGATTTAAATGAAATTTTATTTGAAGCTTACTTATTAGGAATCTTTTATTTATACTGTTGCATGCTTGCATACTTTGACGTGGGAAAGAGATACATTGCTATATTTTTACCATCTATTGGTATAATAGTTGGTTTTCATTAAGGGTGTGTTTAGTTCTTTGGGTATAAAGTTTTTGAAGTACACAGACACACATTTGAAGTATTAAACGTAGACTAATAACAAAATAAATTACAGATTCCACCTGTAAATTAACTGTGAGACGAATTTATTAAGCCTAATTAATCCATCATTAGTAAATGTTTACTGTAGCATCACATTTTTAAGTCATGACGTAATTAGACTCAGAAGATTCGTCTCGCAATTTACATGCAAACCGTGCAATTATTTTTTTTCACATTTAATGCCGGATGTACGTGTCTAAACAGATGTGACGTTTTTGATAAAATTTTTTTATCTAAACAAGGCCTAATTAGTGCACATATGTGTCTCGAGGTTTTCGCAGGGGCTCGATCCGTGGCGCCGGGGAGTATCGCCTCCGCCATCGTCTACGTTGCCGACAACCAGCTCGGTCGTCGTCCTCGTCAGCGACGTCAGCTCGACTGGAGAAGACTGCTACTCCGCCTCTGCCAAATCGATACCCATCGATGAGACGTATCAGCTACGCCGCGCTGAACCAATAGCCCAAAAACTGAATCGTTTTCCCTGCCTCTGACCTACTCTCTCCGTTAAAAAAAAAATCTAGAATAGGTGTAACATATTATAGAACAACGAATTTGAACAGATGTATAGCTGTGTTTAGTTCAGCGCAAAGTTTGGATTTTGGTTGAAATTGGAGATGATGTGACTGAAAAGTTGTGTGTGTATGACAGGTTGATGTGATGGAAAAGGACTGAAGTTTGGATTCAAACTTTGGATCTAAACACAGCCTATGTCTAGATTCGTAGTACTAGGATGTGTCACATCTAGTACTAGGTTGATTTTTTATGGGACGGAGGGAGTACCATTTTGTCACTCTCTGTGAATTTGGGCCTGTCTAGATCCACTGGCAAAATTTTACACCTGCCACATCAAATGTTTAGACATATGCATGGAGTATTAAATATAAACGAAAAAATAACTAATTACATAGATTGAGTGTAAATTGCGAGACGAATCTTTTAAGCCTAATTGCGCCATGATTTGACAATGTGGTGCTACAGTAAATATTTACTAATGCCGAATTAATTAGGTTTAATAAATTCATCTTGCGGTTTATAGGCGGATTCTATAATTTGTTTTGTTATTATACTATGTTTAATACTTCAAATATGTATCCGCATATTTAATGTGACACGCTAAAACTTTACCCCCTTGATCTAAACACAGCCTTTGTCTCACGGAAGTATATCTGTTGATTGTTGACTACAGTAAAATCGTGGATGGATGTGTGGTTGCTGGTACATCACTCGTTACAGGAGGGGAGGGAGGACTGGAGGAGCTCCTCTGTAGCTCTGCTCCTTTTCAGCACAGGTCGTCTTCACAGGTAAGGCTGTATTAGTTCCACGTTAAAATTGGAAGTTTAAAATAATTGGAACAATGCGATGGAAAAGTTAGAAGTTTATGTGTAGAAAAATTCGATGTGACGGAAAAGTTAAAAGTTTGAAGGAATCTAAACAGGGCCTAAAATGAGCCAAAAGCCTGTCTCACATTGGGTTCAAACTAATGCTGCCTTCTTTTCCGCATATCTAAATGATAATTTTTTCCTTTTTCGTTATTATAATTTTCAAATTATTAAATAGTGTGTTTTTAAAAAACTTGTTTATCTTTAAAAAATTCAAATGAACTCAACTTTAGAGTTTGTAAAAGTTAACGCTTAATCATTGCTGCGCTAATGGCTTATCTCATTTTATGTGCCACCACCAAATCGTATATTCAAACTAGTCCCAAATCACTGGTTTTGAGCCCATCTTTGACTAGTAATGATATAAAAAAAGGGGGAAAAATATGATATCAGAAAATGGTCAGGACTGCCTATCATAGTTTTGGCTTCACATGGTTCTAAGTTTGTTTCTTGCGTCTTCACCGTGTTCGATCCGTTGAAGTTTCTACCAAGTCACATGACCAGCGTTTTGGAAAGACAACAAATATGGAGATGTTTTATTACAGCCTCAAGGAGTTGTAAAATACTATTTTGGGGGAGTTGGGATGGTGACAATTTCTGCAGGCTGAGGGAGACTGGCGCTGATTGGCTCCAGATTGGCCATTGTCATCCCTGTACCAATCACACCCTGCCCAACTCTGCTTGAGGACTCTCCCTTTTGGTTCTTGCAAATTTTCCATGTGGAAGATTTTTCCATAGCAGCAGCGAGGACCTGCTAGAAGGGACAGATTTTCAGATAATGCTTGCATCAACCATGGATAGAGGTTGAGAGGGGTTCTGAAGAGGAACCTATTCCCAAGCAAATGGCTATAAGTAGGTAGCAGCTGACTGGCACCACCTATGTACTGCACTCTGCACCAACTGCCCAGCACAGCGTGTACTCCTTACTTGGTAAGGTACACTTTTCGTCCCTCGTCTAGCTAGTATTCATCGGCATTCTATCTGATTGAGCTTAGTAGGTGCTGTTTGCCAAAATTAGAAGTTTGGTTGAAATTGGAACGATGTGATGGAAAGTTGAAAGTTTATGTGTGTAGGAAAGTTTTGATGTAATAGAAAAGTTGAATGTTTGAAGAAAAAATTTAGAACTAAACTAGGCATTAATATGATTCATGTGGGTTTTGATTGTGCGACTGGTGTAGTGGTGTTCCACATTACACTCTTCATTAGTGCCAATAGGAGTTAGTATAGCCATCCTTCAGGGGTCAATATTTTTCCTTTTAAATTATTTTCTGTAGGAACAACTAAGAAAGCAAGTTTTCGGATAGAGGAAAAGCTGAATATTAATTAATTCTTCCTATCTGTACTTCTTGACACACCAATATTAATATTTTTCGCCAAGATATTTTTAATCACATCCACTATAAATATAGTAGGTGACGATCTTCCATGTTCCTTCAAAAAGAATATCAGTTCATACTTTTTTTTTGAAACGGAAGCCAGGCTAAGCTGGAGTTATATTAAGGAGAATAGATAGTATTTACAATATCACCAACAAAGGTGAAAGAGAGAGAAAACAAGGGAAACAAGGAAGAAAAGCAACAAGGAAAACCTAAAAGAAAGACCTAAGTGGATATTCTCGCGATGTTTTTTTGCCCCACACATGCTCCAAAGTTTGATTTCATCTTGAATTTTGGCGAGTAGTTGCGGCATGGTTTTCTCTTGATTTTGGAAAACCTTCCTGTTTTGTTCACACCATATTTCCCATGCCACCAACATGTGGATTGACTCGAGTGCTTTGGCCTTGCTTTTGCCTCCTTGAGATGTTCTTCTGATCCACCATTCCAACAATACTTCGTTTTCATCGTGTTGGTGTTCTATATCGCTGCAGTTCAGTCTACTCAGGACCCTCTCCTAGATCTGACGCACAAAATTAAGTGCAATCTTTGAAAAGATGTTGGGCGGTTTCAAGGTTCCTGTAGCATAGTTGGCAGAAATAGTTGTTTGGCCATTGTCTGATCTGTAGCCTATCTGCTGTCCAAACTCTATTTTGCAATAGAAGTCATGCAAAGTGTTTGCATTTGGAAGGTGCCCATTGCTTCTAAATCAGTTTTGCAGCCGCTAAGCTTATCCTGCCATTAAACTGTGCTATGTAGGCGGACTTTGCGCTGTATTTTCCATTTGCTGTCCACCGCCAAGTTATGGTGTCCTCAACACCTTCTGTGAGTGCAACGCCGCTATTCCACACGTGGTAGAACACCTCGAAGAATTCCTTGACTAGCTCAACCGTGAGATTGTGCCTAATGTCTAGTATCCATTGGTCATTTGCTAGTCCTTCGTAGACAGTCCTACCTTTCCTTTTGGCATGGTTGTATAAGGCTGGGGCTAACTCCTTCAATGGTTGCTCTCCGATCCAATTTGATTCCCAGAAACTCGCTTTGCGACCTTCACCTATTGTCACCTTGGTGGCGGAGGCAAATAGCCTTTTGTCCATTTCGTCACAAGGGGGAGGTGTTCCTGCCCAAGGTTTGTTTGGGCTCTCCCAACTGAACCATAGCCATCGCACTCTCAAAGCTCGTGCAAATTTCTCTAAGTCCAAGACTCCCAGTCCCCAAGTTTGGTGGGTGCACATACTGTTGGCCAATTTACTTTGCATTTGCCCCCACTAATCTCTTGGTCGCCAGCCCAGAGGAATCTTTTTCTAATTTTGTCCATATCATGCAGGAAATTTTTTGGGGGTTTCAGTGCTATTAGGAAGTATGTTGGTATTGAGGTTAGTACTGAAGAGACAAGGGTCTTCCTTCCCACCTGTTGCAACAATTTCCCTTTCCAACCTGCAAGTCGAGAGTGGAGCTTGTCCATGACTGGTTGGAGATGCGCTCTCTTGATTCTTCCTATTGTCAAAGGTAGTCCTAGATATGTGATGGGGAAACCAGTTCGATTTCCATTGAAATTATTCAGCACGTCCTGAAGATCTATGTTTTCACATCTTATAGGCACCACTGAGCTCTTGCTTAGGTTCACCTGTAGCCCTGTGGCACGTCCAAAGTTTTCCAGCAAGGTGATTAGACTGTCCACATCAGCTCGACTTGGGTTCAGAAAGATTGCTGCATCATCCGCATATAGCGATGTTCGGAACTTTGCCACCCTGTTTGATATTGGCGACAAGATCCCTTGGTCTTTGGCCATATCCAGTATCGTTTGCAATGGGTCGATTGCTAATATGAAGAGGTAGGGTGAAAGGGGGTCCCCCTGGCGCAGTCCTCTCTTGTGCATAATTACTTCTCATGTTGTTCCATTCAGCATTACCTTAGATGTGGTGGTTGATAGAATTAAGGCAATCCAATCTCTCCACCGTGTACTAAATCCTCTCCACGGTAGCATTTCCAACAAATATTCCTAGGATATAGAGTCAAAAGCCTTTGCGATGTCCAACGTGAAAAGGAGGCTTGGTTTCCTTTTGTTGTGCATCGATCTGACCAAGTTGCGCACATATAAGAATTTACCTTGTATGCATCGTCTTTTGATGAAAGCACTTTGGGCATGCAAGACCAGGTCATCCAATCTCATCGCGAGGACCTTCGATATGAGCTTTGCCACTGAGTGAATTAAGCTTATTGGTCTGAAATCATGCACCAGTTGTGGTGAATCTTTTTTTGGGATCAATGCCAAAATGGCTTTGTTGATGCATCCAAAATTTCCGCCTGCGAGTCTAAAGAAACTATCGAACATCTGAGAAATATCATGTTTTATGATGTCCCAGCACCCCTTGAAGAATGCCCCAGTGAAATCGTCAGGTCCGGGTGCCCTCTCTGTCGGCGACCCTTTCACCACATTCCATATTTCATCCTCAGTAAAAGGACCATCCATTGTTCCTTGTTGTATTCTCTGCACTCATAACGCATCCCAATTAAGTGTGCATTCTCTTAGTTTCTTTTCGCCTAGTATGGAGGTGAAATGATCATGTAGCAGCTTGGCCTTGTCCTCATGTGTGTATACAGCTGCATTTCTGTGTTGTAAGCAGTGTATGAAGTTCTTCCTTTTCCTAGCATTAGCTTTTATGTGAAAGAAACGTGTGTTTGCATCTCCTTCTTTCAGCCACCTAACCCGCGATGCTTGTTTTATTATTGACTATCCATAATCTCTTGCTTTTATTATCTTTGCATTTAACTAAGACTTAGAATAATTTGGCAGAGAAGGCTGGTCATGAAGATCGCTACAATCAGACAGTATATGATTTTGCTTATGGCTAGCAATGTAGTCCAAATCATGTGCACCTCATTATATGGAAATGAGACAGATCGACTCTCATTGCTTGAGTTCAAGAAGGCAATCAGTCTCGATCCGCAGCAAGCGCTGATGTCCTGGAATGACAGCACTTACTTTTGCAGTTGGGAAGGTGTCCTGTGCAGGGTTAAAACTCCACATCGTCCCATTTCTCTAAACCTTACAAACCAAGGTTTAGTTGGGCAAATATCCCCTTCACTTGGAAACCTAACATTCCTAAAATTTCTGTTCCTAGACACAAATTCATTCACCGGAGAGATCCCTCTGTCCCTTGGTCATCTGCATCACCTTCGAACCATTTACTTGAGCAATAACACATTAGAAGGAGCGATACCTGATTTTACAAATTGTTCTAGCCTCAAGGCCCTATGGCTCAACGGCAATCACCTAGTTGGACAATTGATTAATAATTTCCCCCCTAAGCTTCAAGTGCTGACTCTTGCATCTAATAATTTTACTGGAACTATCCCTTCTTCCTTTGCCAATATCACAGAACTTAGAAATCTTAATTTCGCGTCTAACAATATCAAGGGAAACATCCCAAATGAGTTTTCAAACTTCCTCATGATGGAGATTCTTATTTTGGGTGGCAATATGTTGACGGGTAGGTTTCCACAAGCCATCTTAAATATTTCTACTCTCATCGATCTTTTTCTTAATTTTAATCATCTAAGTGGAGAGGTACCATCCAATATCCTTTACTCTCTTCCCAATCTACAAGTACTTGCATTGGACTTCAATTTTCTTCAAGGGCATATCCCCAGCTCATTGGTGAACGCCTCCAACCTACGTGAACTGGACATATCAAGTAATAATTTCACTGGGGTTGTACCAAGTTCCATTGGCAAACTAAGCAAACTGTATTGGCTAAGTCTTGAAGGCAATCAGCTCCAAACACACAAAAAGGAAGATTGGGAGTTTATGAACAGCTTAGCCAACTGCACTAGGCTACAAATTTTTTCGATGGCTTATAATCGACTAGAAGGCCATCTACCAAGTTCGTTAAGCAACTTTTCGACTCATCTCCAACGACTTCATTTATACGGAAATGAAATATCTGGGTTTCTCCCCTCTGGCATTGAACACCTCTCAAACTTGATTGATTTATCATTAGGAACTAATGACTTTACTGGTACCCTTCCAGAATGGCTTGGAAATCTTAAACAGTTGCAAATGTTAGGTTTATATGAAAACTATTTCATAGGATTTATTCCATCGTCCTTATCAAATCTATCTCAACTGGTATATCTTGGACTACATTTTAACAAGTTTGATGGACACATACCAAGCTTGGGAAACCTGCAAATGCTTGAAGTATTAAACATTTCCAACAATAATCTTCATTGTATAATACCAACTGAGATTTTTAGTATCATGTCAATAGTACAAATCGACTTATCTTTCAATAACCTACACCGAAAATTTTCTACTGACATTGGCAATGCGAAACAACTAATATCTTTAGAACTTTCATCAAATAAGCTATCTGGAGATATACCCAATGCTTTGGGTAATTGTGAAAGCCTTGAATATATCATGTTAGGTATAAACAGTTTTAGCGGTAGCATACCCATTTCATTAGGTAACATAAGTAACCTAAAAGTTCTCAACTTATCTCACAATAATTTAACTTGGTCAATACCAGCGTCTCTTAGCAATCTACAATATCTTGAGCAACTTGATCTGTCATTCAACCATCTTAACGGTGAGGTCCCAGTAGAAGGAATATTCAAGAATGCAACAGCCTTCCAGATGGATGGAAATCAGGGACTTTGTGGTGGGCTACCAGAGTTGCACCTACCTGCGTGTCCTACCGTGTTATTGGTTACATCTAAGAACAAGAACTCGGTTATATTGAAATTAGTAATCCCACTAGCCTGCATGGTATCGCTTGCTTTGGCCATATCAATTTATTTTATTGGGAGGGGAAAACGGAAGAAAAAATCCATATCATTCCCATCACTCGGTAGAAAGTTCCCCAAAGTTTCCTTCAATGATCTTTCAAATGCAACAGATAGATTCTCTACAGCCAATTTAATTGGAAGAGGAAGGTTTGGTTCTGTATACCAAGCAAAACTATTTCAAGACAACATTGTGGTTGCCGTGAAAGTTTTCAATCTAGAAACAAGTGGATCGCAGGAGAGCTTCATTGCAGAATGTAATGCTTTAAGAAACTTGAGACATCGCAATCTAGTTCCTATCTTCACACTATGCGGTAGTATTGATGCTGAAGGCAATGATTTCAAGGCTTTAGTGTATGAGTTGATGCCACGAGGGGACTTGCATAAATTACTATACTCAACCGGAGATGACGGTGATGCTTCAAATCTGAACCACATTACATTAGCTCAGAGGATAAGCATAATTGTGGATTTATCAAATGCATTGGAATATTTGCACCATAACAACCAAGGAACTATTATTCATTGTGACCTGAAGCCTAGCAATATCCTTCTAGATGACAATATGATTGCTCATGTCGGAGATTTTGGCCTTGTGAAGTTCAGGACCGATTCCTCCACATCTTTTGGTGATTCCAACTCAATTTTTTCCCTTGCAATAAAGGGAACCATTGGATATATCGCTCCAGGTAATTTGAAAATTTTATCTTGCTTTTGTATTACTACATATTTCTTTAACATACCTAGCTATATGAGCTATACTTTGGTCTTATATATGCATTTTACAGAATGCGCTGAGGGAGATCAAGTCTCAACTGCCTCTGATGTTTATAGCTTTGGAGTTGTTCTCTTGGAGTTGTTCATATGTAGGCGGCCAATAGACGCTATGTTTAAGGATGGACTGAGCATTGCAAAGTTTACAGAGATCAACTTCTCTGACAGGATACTTGAGATCGTTGATCCCCAGCTACAACAAGAGTTGGACCTCTGCCTAGAAGCTCCAGTGGAAGTAAAGGAGAAAGATATACACTGCATGCTCTCTGTGTTAAAAATTGGAATTCATTGCACCAAGCCAATACCAAGTGAACGCATTAGCATGCGAGAGGCAGCCGCCAAGCTGCACATAATCAAAGATGCCTATCTCAGAGGGAACTGAAGAAGTTTTTCTGGTAGGAATACGGATAAGGCTTGTGTATATTTGTATTAAGCTTGGGACTGAAGAAGCTAGCAGTGCTATTATACTTTGTTGTTTGTTTTCATTTCTCTATGAATACATTACAACAAAAATTATCAACGAGGGATTTCCCAGCTGGTTGAGTAGATCTCAACCATTGTCTCACTAAGACATTGTGTTCCCTTTCTCTTAGTTACACTGGAGAACAAATATTTATAGTGAAGAGTATTGTTTATTTGTTTCTCCTTCATACAAGGTCAATGAAGTTTGGCAAATCAGAAATTCAGAAAATACTCCCTCAGTCTTTTTTTATGTCTAACGCCATTGAATTTTGAACATAACTTTAATAATTGAATTTTGAACATAACTTTAATAATTGAATTTTGAACATAAATTTAATAATTCGTTTAATTTTAAAAAACCATATAATCATTTTTTATTACAAGTACATTAAGCATGGTTTCTATTTTTTACATACTTAGATTAAACGAATGGTCAAATGTATATATAAAAATCAGAGATTTGTTCTGGTCCAGCAAATTATACCTCAATGCACCAGTACTTGGTGGTACCTGATTGAATCTAACCGTCCAATGTCCAAGGGCATGATGGGAATGGATCGGGATCAGGTGCAGTCCCTATAGAGACTGCAACTTTGGCAGTAGCCAATCTGAACCGTTCAAAAAAAAAATCAGACGGCTGGCTCACACCACCGCACTAGCTAGCACCCAAAAGGTCATCTTCTTCCTCGAGCGGTAGAGCCCTCTTTCTTCTCCATGTCAATGGAAGTGCTCTGTGCTTCTTCTTACTTCATGACAAGTTGACAACTACGGGACCTTCGTACAAACCATTGTTGTGAAAGTGTTCAACCCGTCAAGGAGATTCTATTTTTCGTGCTTCATCATGATGTTCTTCTATGAACTCCCATAAAGTGATAATCTGCACTGCCACTGTCAAACGCCAAGGCAGTAATTAACCTGCGAGTAGACCAAGCCAACCTCGCCTCCTCCTCGTTCGATCCTACCTAGCTACCCGTCCAAATCACCACCAAACCACGAGCATCAGGCAAGTAACAAGCTAAGCAGCACAACTCCTGGCCTTGAGCCCTTCTCACCCATTGATACCTCCGCCTTGTTGGTGACCACGCTCCGGGTGCCGCCTCCACCGCTCCACTCTTGAAGCCCACTGGACATGGAGAGGACTAAAGGGTTGTTAATTCGTAGACGTCGGATGCTTCGTGGATGGTTAGATCAGGTGCTACTGCTAAAGTTGCAGTAACAATAGCAACTTCACCTGATCCGAATCCGATGGGAATCATCCTGGACTCCACGCCACCCATCCTCTCGCAGGCACCACAATCCCCCCAACACTTCTCCCCACTGCAAAATACTCCATGGGCGTTTGACGCTGCCGATTCATTCCCTCCCATCAATGCCGCTGCAGCACACCTGTTTTGTCGGCATGAGTAGTGCTGAGCCATCAGTTCCACCTACATGCAGGGGCGGATCTATAGTGCAATGACCAATGTCAGGCGACACTGATGGCTTTTGGTAAAACCTATAGCAAAACTGATTATCTATATATTATAACACCATGATCTAAACATAATTAGTATATTATGACACTAATAGATACGTTATGACACCAACGAATCAATTTTCTGGATCCACCACTGCCTACATGGTTGCACAAGAACCCACGCAGGCTTCCCGCCGATGTCGAGGTGCTGCAGCACGCCGGCGTGCTGTGTCGCGTACGGCAACCACTACTTCTAGACAAGCAGGGGCACTAGAGATGGTTCTCTTCTTCCGCTCCGTCGTCCGGCCGCGGTGGTGGGACAAGCCAGACCCCGCCTGGACGGAGGACACACAGTGACAATGCGATGCATGCACAGTGAGGATTGATTCGGAGTTTCTGACTAATGGTAGTACATAACAGATTAACAGATATATAGGTACATTACTAATATGGTACTCCCGAGGATTATGTTGCCATTTGCAAATCTCTGCACAATGTTGAATAGTTCCACATTGGTTGTGGAAGGGCAAATGACCTAAGATATAAGTGGGGGAGCTCCTCACCTCAATGGCTAGCTTTTAGGGTGGGAAAAACCCTTTACAATCCTACAATTGGTATCAGAGTCTGGCTAGGTTAACATCTCTGGCCCGATGGATACAGTGTGTGAAGGCCCAATGTGTGAAGGGGCCATGTACAGTGTGTGAAGGCCGGTAGGGCCCGAATACGGTGAAGGGCTGAGGGACACCAATGTGTGAAGGGGACATGGACATGGCCCTCGACCTCCCGCTTTAGGGCATATCGCCCAGAGAGTGAGTGCTTGTTTGCTCCATTGACGACGACTCCCAGGTGTGCTTGTCTTGGTCCGGCTCGTCTGTAGATAGGGACGACACCATGGCAGCGACGGCAGCCAAGGGTCACACAGCGGCGGCGGCGGCACGCATCTGGCCATCTGGGGGAGGAAAGACGCCGCTCCAATCCACTTCCCAAATTTTTTTTCTATGCGAAAATACCACCTTACCCTTCCACCGGTGCGGTACCACATAAACGACTAAGCAGTACATGGTGGTACCGATCAATATTAGCCGTTGGATCCGGTCCATCTAACAGCTAGGATTTGGTACCGCCCAAGCATGCTGGACAGTAAAAAATCTCACCTACATTTTCTTTTTGCTACAAATCAAAAGGACCTAATGTGGGCTCTTAATTCTCACTAGTAATCTCTCTGAGTCTGTAGTATCAGCACTGCTGGATGTAATTTCATTCAATGTAGGTATTGATCTGCAAACAATCCAGGTCGTTAACAACAACAACGGTTCAAAACAAGGAGCAAATTGCAAAAATACGTACTATCAACGACACAGACAGGGACCATTCGCTGCATCCCAGAAACAGCGGACGAATTATTACAGAAATCCATGGGCGTGAAAATTCTTGTCTTTTCAAATTAGGCTTGTTAAACGCATCTATAAGTTTTTGCATTCAATTTTTACCGTCCGTCTTATTTGAAATTTTTTTATAATTAGTATTTTTTTTGTTATGAGATGATAAAATATAAATAATAATTTACTCGTAACTCATGTTTTTAAATTTTTTAAAATTTTCAAATAAGACGGACGATCAAAATTGGACGTGAAAAACCATGGTTACGTACACTTAAAATGGGACGGATGTAGTACTTTGCTTCTACTACATGGAGCTGAGCCGGTGAGATAGATTGAAGATGAGGATCAAATCAACTTCGTCAAACAAGCAAATCATTAATTAGCACATAATTAATTAAATTTTAATTATCGTGAACTTGAAAAAGTTAGATTTATTAATAATATTTTAAAACAATTTTTATATAATTTTTTTTATAAAAAATACATTGATTAGTAGTTTAAAAAACATATTAGTAGATGCCGATATAAAATCTATATCTTAATTAGAAAAGAATTGGGCAAGAGTATCTATCCACATGATTGTTGTGGTGTCTTACTTCCATTTGATACCAGGGTAATCCATTTCATCATGCTCGTGGCGTGCAATGAGTGGACAACAGTGAACAGTTATTCCCCAACAAACTCTTTACGTATGTAGTTCTTGCCCTACTGCTACATAATAAGAGAGGCATTACATAATTTACAAACGATTAATTCACTAAAGGACCGTTATTTCTCCCAAATTGCTTGAAGACAAACGTCTGTGATGAGGAGTCACGTCGTCATTTGACTGGAGCAAGATCGAACCGTCTGAGTTGACTTAATAGCACTGATGGTAATTTATGCTATAGAACCGTTCCTGATGACTCAGTAACACACGCTTTGCAAATTTACACTCAAATGACCCGTCCGTGATGAGTACAACTTGTATACAGGACTGAAAGTGTGAAAAGAAGCGGGCAATCCTTAGCGGATTTGTGCTATGAAGTTTGGGCGTAAACTCGTAGCAAAATCAAGATTCTGCAGTAACTAATTAACGAGGTGGTGGAATAATCAATGGGGATGTTGCTGCCATCGCCACGACGATGGAAGCCACTGGGGGGTCCTGTCTAGATCTACACTCTCTGCAGTCGATCGAGACGCTTTTTTTTTTTTTTGGCATTTGCAAATTTGACACCGGTTTTTTTAATTTTGCAAGGGTGCCACTCGAATGGTAGTTCTAGTGGTATTTTTGGAATTTTCTAGTGGTATTCTTACAATAACGATTCAAAGTAGTGTTAAATTTGCAATTGCCCTTTTTTTTTTCATCGTTAAAACGACAATACAACTTGTTAAACGCCCAACAATAATGTCCTTTTCCTCTCTGAATTGCTAGTTACGAATTGTTTTAGATTGGATTGTTTGTGATACTAAGTTTTCAATTTAAATAGTTGTATATATTTGGTTGGATATAGAAGTCAGGTAAAATATACCCTTCTCTAAAAAAATAATAAAAAAAAGAAAACGAAGTCAACAGTATAGCTATGCAAACTAAGAATTAGTTGCGGAGTGCACAATTTGTTCATCATATTGCATCCGTTTTATTTACGCTTGGCATACATATAGTCCAATGAATATAGGAGTTCTCTATTTGTTGATTAACTGATTCTTTTAAATCTCAGTTACTTTTTTTAGAAACAAATACTTTTTTCATAATAACAATGTGTGCTTCAACATTATATCCTCACATTTTGGGATACCAGATTAAAATAAAGAGAGAATAAAACTGAGCTCCTCGACAAGGTGATATGAATAAATCGAGCTACATACATGCATGCATGTATGGTTGACTTAGACCAGTCAGTCGTCGATTGATATCGCCGATAAATGTTAGTCATGGCAATGTGTTAGCACGTACCGTGGTCCGTGGGTAGAAACTTACAATCTTATCCTTTTTTTTATAATAGAAATATATTATATCTCCATGCCTCATAAGACATACAACTATAAATTTGTTACAATCTTGTTATTTGGGATTATAGACGATGTATTAAATAATTAAAGCATATAAACCAACAAGATATACAGTACATCGTGATGAAATGTTTGCAGTACTTTTTATCTTTCGTGCTTGGGAAAATGGGAGATGAAACGAATGAGACTGGAGGGTGTACTTTGAGAACCAAGAGCTGTCTGTTTTGAGCACATATGAACAATAAAATTAAAAAAAATTGACTTAAAAAAAGTCAAGGGAGTATATTCTAAACCTACCTTTTGGTAGAAACTTACTTTTACAAGCA